AGAGCCTGCCCATTAATATGAACTGCTTTTGTTCTCCACAGCCTTATGTCCTATTTAACCCAGTGTGCTGGTGGTGTTTGAGGGGAAGGACAGGGTGATCTGCTTGGCTGGGTTTGACACCTCCCTGCAGCGCTGCGGAAGGTTCCGGAGGATCGCTGTAGAAATGCGCTGATGAGCCGATTGCTAACACCTTCAGGGGTGTCAGAGAAAGGATGAGGGGGGCTAGCGAAGAGCTGCTGCTTGCCCTGTAACGGCTCCCTGGAGCGCCTGTTAGCGTTGTGATAACATTGTTAGCCCTGCTGTTTGGGTAAATAAACCAACAGCTCCAAAAATTTGCACGTTGCTCAAACGTTCTCAGAGGCGTTTCTCAAAAAGCAGCTCATGATTTTTGTGAGGGAGAGAAGGGGGGGTGGGGGGTGTTGGGTAAGTGTGAGAGGACCATGTGTTTAAAGAGGGGGCTGATGGCTCCCTCTATACACGCACACTAGAGCCAGGGTGGACTGGCCAAGGCAAGCAGCTTGCTGGAGCCAAGAAAGAAAACATGGCACAATATGCTAGGAAGACTCGAGGTGACAGGAGAGAGGGCTGATAAAGGATGACCCATGAAATCCCATATTTGCAAACAAACACATGGCTGTTTGATAAAGCTTAGAGAAACACGAGTGGCAGAGGGAAGGAAAACAGATATCAGAATCGGGCCTCTCTTCTGCTTGCTCTTGTGATGTGAAGATAAAGCTGATACCATGCTGAAACTTGCAGCCAATGAGGGCAGGCTGCAGTCTTACATGCTGAAACTGACTATTGGTCATTAATTTTGACTGTGTAGAGTGTGTGTGTGTGTGTGGGTGTGTGTGTGTGTGTGTGTTTCCTGTGTAGGTAGGAAACTCAAAGAGAAAAACAGGGCTAGCTTACAGTAGAGTTTTTTTTTACAAAATGTTTCAACTGAAAAGGCAAAAAATGGTTAGGACTAGGTTTAGGGTTAAGATTACTAAAATTGAATAGCATTTTTATATAGTTATATATCGGTAGTTACATACTATTACATAAAACAACATGAAGCCATGTAATCACACTTGCATGCAAAAGTTTGGTTGCCCCAAACGTGGGGTCAAATGACATGTTTGTTGATTGTTCTTAGTGAAAATAAGTACACACCCTCAAGAGAGAGCACACTTCTGTACATTTTAATGTACAATTACTGTTCATTTGCTGAAAGAAATCAAAGTTTATTTTTTCCAATGTTAAACCCATGGAAACAAAAAACAAACAAAAAACAGGCAAACCAATAGAAACTGTGCACTATATTTACAGGAAAATTTCACATCTAAGCTTATTTCCTGTAAAGAATGAGTACACTTACTTTCACTTAGAAAATCAACAAAACATGCAATTTGTCAGGGAGTGTTCAAACTTTTTGCATACAACTATATATACAGTAGAAATCACAATTCAAAAGTTTGGAATCACTGTCACCTAATTAGTAGGAATCTGTAAAAAAAAAAAAGAGGAAAGTTTAGAATTTAGAACTATGAATTGAATTATACAATCCTTAATGACAGAGAAAGCTGTAAAACATTGAGAATAAAGTTATAATAAAGATAATATGCAGAATGCCTTGCAAATGTAAAATTTCAGACAAATAATTTACCAAGAAATTATAATGAAAGAGTAAATGAATGAATGAATGAATGAAGAAAGTGTATTATTTAAAATTTAATTACTTTTTAGTGTTCCCCAAAAACTTTAAATATTAAATAAAACATCTTGAAATACCTTCTGGTGTGTAGCTTATAGTATTTCAATATACACTGCATAATTTAAATTGAATACAGTAATAGCAGATATTAACATGACAAGTCATTACAAATTTTTTAACACTAGGGTATATCAATAATTTGTATAGGACATTACACTGAGCAGTTTTAATGTACAGGCTTACCAAAGCTCAAGTCTCAAGTCTGGCCCAATAAGCTGGGAAGGGCTCCAAATGATGCTAAAGTAAACAATGGGAAATAAATTATTTGATCACAGTTTGCAGCAATTTCCAACAAGGCAGTGTTATCAGTCTGTGCTGTGCTGCTCAGCTATCACTTTGTCAGGCTCAGAGTGTGATGACCTTTTTGTATCGCATCCTCTGTGTAATCTAATGAAAACATTTGCCAAAACAAAGCTTAGAAACAAGTTGAACGATCCAAATCTAAATGATTATTCAAATTCACTTTTAAAAAATGTAAAAACTTACAGAATAGTAACTGGATGTTCGACAGCAGCATTATGTTATGTTAGAGGACAAGAAGAACAATCTCCATCTCTACTAATTCTTGACAGGTTATCTTTCTTTAATGTTTGTCTGGATGTTAAATTACATTATTTTTGTGCAGCCATCAAATAAAAAGAGAACGAAAAGGTCAGCAGAAGAGTCACCTTACAGTAGGCTGGCTAATTACCTAGCGAATATGGCTAGCCTAAGCCTAGCTAACAGTTAGGGACAAATGTTAGATAACAAGTGCTAGCTAGCCAGCTAGTTCATCTACTAGCTCATTAGACAAGGAGGTGTGCGTGTGTGGCATTGAAGTTCAGTGGGACCACCTAAGTGATTTAGCTCCAGGGCCTATTGTAGTCTTAATGCAGTACTGGTCCTGACAAAGTATAAAAACAAAACATGCATGTGAGCATATTTAAGTGTGAAACTTGGTGCTGGCAGTGAGGCTAGGATAAGGCTTTCAGCTTCCTCTGCCTGGCACCTCAGCCAGCATGGCCGCTGCAGCGAGTGGGCGTAAGAGAGTGGCAACATTAGCATTCACTTAGACGCAGGCCACAATTACAGGCTCGCGCATGTGTGTGCGCCTGAATATTCCAGTGGGCCCCTTCAATGTGACCTTGTGCTCTCTCTTGGTAAATCACAAATGAATGCAAGGCACCTGCACCATTTTACACATCAACCTACCTTATGATTTTTTATCATCTTTTTTTTCATGCCATCCTTTTAATCACTTCACATTCAAAAAGAAAAAAAATGCATTCTCTCATCTGACATGAGGACATCTAAAAGGCTAAAAGGCACAGTCTATTTCCTTTTGTTAAGAGTAATGCAATAACAAAGAGGTGTAGAGGTGTTTGCCATCCAAAAGGGCCTCAAAAAAAAAACAGTTGTTTGCCTGCACTGCAATTAAGATCTCTTAAAAGAAGAGGATCAATAGGAAAAGCATTGCCACAACTGCAAGGTGGCATCAAGCGCCTACGATTTGCACAAATAAGCATAAAGAAAAACAACAAACAAACAAATAGTCCATTATCTCCTTTTGAAATCTATAATGTGTAATTTCTTTATCTTCCTGATTATGGTACTTTGTGCTGCTTGAATGGAAAGCCTTGCTACCTCCCCTTTCCTCGTTGTCACCAGACAGAGAGCAGCAACCAGCAGATAGAGAGATTGAATTCTATGTGGTAAAAAAAGAAAAGAAAAAATGAAGGGGTTAGAGATACGAACGAGGCCATAATAACAACCTAGTTGGGACAGTCCTTTTGCTTCGGTTCCATTTTCTCCAGCTGCATCGCACAGCTTCTCTCTGCATGAATGAAGGTGAATCTGCAAGAAACCTCCCACTTATTTTATTTTCAGCTCACTTTCCCATAATTACTCCCCCCCTAAACTGTTTGCACAACAATGCCGCAAAACATCTGCAAAAACAGGTAATTATTGTGTCAAGCCAAACTAATGCATTTTATATGGAGACTATGCTTCACCGGCAGCAATTATAACACATTTCCCTCTTGCGTAGCCCCTCACTCCCACCTCTCTCACCCTCCCCTCCTCTGTCTCTCTCTCTCTCTCTCTCTCACTATTTGTCCCTCTCGTTCTCTCTTTCTCTCTCTCAGAAATGATTACTTGTTGGATAATGCCTGGCATCACATGGAAACATAGAAGTGCTTATTGAAGTGTGTGTGCTTGGATGCATTTGCCACCTTGATAGCTTGCTGAGCAGAAAAGACACACTGGCCAAGCTTGTGCCTAATTCATTACAGATGAATACTTTCGGTTTACAAAATTCAGCATTAGGATAATACTAAGTGCAAAAAAGTTGTTTGTGAAAGAGCTTAACTCATCTACTGCATTCAAGCAATAAACTAGGCTGTAAACATATATTACAGCTTGAATGTGTGGTAGTGTTATTGGTGAAAAATATTATATTATTGTAAGTTTTAGTGCTCCTTCAAGACAACTTTATATTAAACTACACATACAATATTATCAATCCATTGTAAAATCTTTGTGACACAATGTGAAAGTTGATCTGCTCAGGGTGATCTATTCTTTCTCAGAGAAAATACTCAATTCACCCATGCATGCTCCGCACACAAATTTGCTAGCAACTGTTGCGAGATTGGACAAGCTTTACAGAACAATGGCAAAAAACCTAACCAAACTTATGAGAAATTGTACAACTGTCGAAATACAGAATTTTAGAGTGTGTTATATAAGGAAAAAAAAGAAAAAAAAACAATTTTACACAATATCCCCCTTACTTCAAAACATACTCAGTCAGTCAAGTAACAGAACTCCATGTCACCCAGAATGTCTTTGACTTTTACTACTTGTATTGCCTTTTTTTACTAAAGAAGGCATGTTTGGACACTAAACATACCTTGGTTGATCAACTACATTTGGGTTAGAGAGGAATTATATAAATTAGATTATTTTGTGAACCATTCCTTTAATGTCGAATGCTATTTATTTTTTTATGCATGTGAAAGGTGAAGCTGTCAGAACAGATACGTTTTTTGTTGTGTAATCGAGCACAGTGTTAATTTTGATTACTTTCAATTAGTGACAACAACTCACATAAACACACAGACACACACAGGCAGTGTTTACACCTGAGACTACTTCCATGTGCCAGTCGTGTTCTATACCAACGTTCTTTATGTGAATTGACAAATATTTGGCCGCTGTCCAAAAAAGTAAAAAAGTATCTCTGTTTTAACAAATTTATTTGCCCTTTTTATTGTGTAAAAATTCACGATGAATGAACCACTGTAAATGCTCCAAAATTGCTTATAATAAGATCTGTTTACTTTAAATTACATTAAAAGTACAGTTAACATTCCCATTTTGGAGACACTTTTTTTTTCCAATAGCAACGATATATAGCCATTATCACTAAACACATGCAGGTACATTAATAAGTCAGTAATACTCTGTACTGCACTTTTGAGTCTGAATCCAAATGCTATCATGACGGTGACAGACAAAGCAAAATCTATTTCACTTCACCTTCACCAACCTGAATCTGCATGCATAAATTTAGATTTAATAATCAGCCTTCAAATATCACTGCCGACAATGACGACACTATTGTAGTTCATGAATAGTAGTGTTCAACACAGCACTCAGCCTGTGTTCCCGGTGAGAGAGCCATTCGGCGTGTGGCGGAATGCGAGGCAGCCAGGTCCCTGGCGAGCCGTCCCTTTCACCTGGTCAGCGGGGAGGTGGCTGAGCGGGCCAGCATGCCAGTGGGGGGGAGCTCCTCCTGGGGTAAAAAGCAGCTCTAGTTGCCCCCCTGCTATCCGCCGTCGCCCCAGAGCCGAGGGTGGAATTGAGGGGGGAGGCGTCTTCCCCTACTCACAGACCTGCCGTTATCCAATGGTGAACGGTCGGGTGCCAGGGGCCTTATTTCCAAATACAGTCAGCTAATGCCGAGTGCAGAATCAATGCTGTAGTTTGTCTCCCTGCAAGTGGGATCCCATCTCCGCATCTGTCAATGTTGTGCTGGCACCAGTTCATATAATAAAGACACAAATAATAACAATTTATCATTAGTTTTTTCAGGTTTTAGTGAGTATTCTTTTCCATGCCATGCTTTTTCAGTGAAGTATCATATGAATGATTAATATAGGATAAATAAATTGATTAAAAAAGCAGGTGATGCTATTGGCCCAACACCACATTCTCTAGAGGAAACCTGTCCTCTGCAAAATGTTTTAGTGGTCTTTGAAGTTCACTGAGTGGGCAATTGTTGATGCCAACTGTTCAACTGAGAGACTAAGGAGGGCTTTTGTTCCTGCACCAATCAAATTAGGCCCATATTCTGAAAAAAAAACATACACAGAATACAACTACAATGTCACAAAAGAATTATATACATAGTTATTTTGTGACATCACAAAAACATTTAATTCAAAATAACTGATTTTGTCTGTCAACTGCCTACAGCAGTTTAGTCTCACTCTTTGACATTGAAGTTATAAGGAGTGTTTTAGCCTGAACTAGATTTTGAATGAGGCATAATACGAAGCCAACCAAACATTTAATTCCAATGGATAAAGAGAGGCAGGAAAAAAATAAATTATGAACAATTTCTGGCATATAAACCCACACGAATGCCATAAGTGGATTATCTATGTGTCTATCTGTCTATCTGTCTTCATTGAAACATTCAGGGGACACCATTTAGATACAGCCTGAGGTTGATAACAGTAAAATCGGGCAAATAATAGGACTCAACACTGACAAGCACATGTTTGCGTGTTCACAAGCATTTACACACAGTTTGCATTTCAGATCAGCTTGGTTTACATAAGGCATGGCAGGGCTGCTTCATAAAGCACTGCTCACACCATAAGATAAAGATACAACACTGTGTACCTCTGTTGACTCATTGCATACACTCTTCATGGCAGCAGCAGTGGAAAGAGAAATACTGAGAACATCCATTTGATCCTTGGCTCAAGTATAAGCACAGCATAAACACTACAATCTAACCTTGAAAACCTATGATAAACAACACATACTCCTATTTCTCCAGTCTTCTTCCCCTTGAACCAGACCCAGTCTGATAGGACGTGTCTCTTTATGCAGTTCACTGAGCTGTTTGTGTCATAAAATTGAGCTCTCGCAAGCCTCTAGTTCTCTCATCAGTAATTTCAATACTGTCAGTTAAATCAAAGAAGTAGGCTGTGTAGTCTATGTATGCAGTGCTTATCATTCACATGCATGTGTTAAATGAAATACTGATCATTATTTAACATTTCCATTTATAGGTGTGGAATAAAGACTGAATCGAGGCTTCAGATTGAGAGTTTAATAGGTCTTAAACATGATGCACCAAACCAAAAAGTGTAGTTTTGCAAGTATTGAATACATTTGCACAGTTACATTCTAATTCAACATGTGCCTCTGTGCAGTGAAATATATCATTTGTATTTGATATTGTAAACTGAAATTTCTTTTTATTTGAAGTCAATTAGTTTCCCTGAATTTTATTTGTAATCATTGGTGTCTTGTAATTCATATTCATTTTGAGGATTTTTTTTACTCCTCTTTGAAGAGTCTTTAAAATAGTTTTGGACTGTTGCTAAACTGCAGCTTTATGGCTAGGGTAACTCTTCATCTCAAATATTGAACATTAATCAGACCAATAACCATTAAAAGATCAAAAAGGCATCATACAACAAGACTCCAGACATGGACAATCTTGCATGCTTGTTAATGTAGCATAGTGCAGCTCCATACTGTATTTCACAGTTATTGTAGCAATCATCTGAACTGACTTTATTTAGTTCATGTTGCTGGTCATGTTAAAAATTACTTGTTATATCATACAATTTTAAAAGACTAAATTCTTCTTTTCTTGTAATCTTTGATTACAGTGTATTGATTTTTGCATTTTTGGAGTTTTAATTATATCACTATGCACCAGCAGGTGGGTAAAAATAATATTCACTAGTGAATATTCTATATTCACTCCTATAAACGTGTGAATATGCTCAGTTAGCTCAGAGACCCTCCCTGATACCATATTTTACTCAGAAATACGTCACAGCATCACTGTGAGAAAGCAAGGTAATGGCACAAGATACAAACAATAGTATCTCAAAGTATAAACAATGTAAATGTAACTTAAAAAGGTACAACGTGGTCTCAATTGTGTATCTTAAATGCGTTTTAAAGGTACTTCACATTCATGTTTCCACGGCAAAGGTGCATATTGTACCTCTTCCTAGCTCAACTGTTTTTTTAAACAGAAAAATAAAATAAAAAGCCTGGAGTCAAGACATAGCTAGAACACTATTTAAAGAAAGAATTGCAATAGCACCTGCTAACTAAAGGCACTGAAAACAGTACCACCCTAGTGATACCATGTGTACCCAAAAAATACTTCAGAACTTTTTTTGTGCAGAAGTAAAATGCACTATGATTTCCTATTTACATTGACTTTAAACAGTACCTCTATGTGGGTTTTCTTTACTCTCTCTGGCATTCTCTAAAGCATGTAATTTTTTTTTTAAAAATGCAATAGTTTTAACTGTGTTTTCAGCTCTAGCCATTCAGTGTGCTGGCATAATGAACTTACTGTGGATTCAGAGCGAAATCCCAGCATTCCCTTTAAAACAACACACACCGAGCACTCCATTCAAGAGTTCCAGCATCTATTAAATACACAAATATGGAGGTCAGAGGTCAATTAATGCAAAGAATGTTCTACACACAAATTACACGTTAGAGCATTACAGAGGAGGTCAACACAGAGAGAGACTTTGGATATTAATGCACTAATTGCTCTGTTAGTATAATGAAGTGGTGGAGTCTATTTAGTAGCACACAGAGAAACAATGTTAGTCAAAAGACAGCTATAAGATGCCTCAATAAAAGTAGAATGGGTCTTTTACAATCATGCTTAATGCTTGAATGGAGGGGAGAATTAATCAACAACACATAACTCACCATAAATACATAATGTAGAATTATACAGTCTCACCAGATGCCACTGACCACTCAGAGTGGGCGTTCATTTGAAGAGCAAATATCAGTCACCATTGACTTATTATTTTAGAAATACAGGTAGACATAAAATGTACTTACAATGTTTTCCCACAGACCTTATCGTATTTTGATCTTGGGCTGTAATCACTGTCTCAAATGAAATTCCTTGAACAGCCACAGGGAAAAAAAAGCACAGAAATAACTGAACACGTCAAAAGCCCGTTGTTCAAACTGATACAGTAATGGTTACTTCTGTGTTGTTCGTTCACACTACATGAACACTTCACTAAAGCAACCTGTAATCAGTAAATGTTTTAGAAACATGTTAGAGCATTTAATTAACTCACACTGAGGCACACAGCAGGACAGCAGAACGTTAAGGGATTATCGTAAACTGATTTGCTCTGGAAACAGCTAAAGCTGCAACGTTCAGTTCATCGAGTGGAGTGATTTGGTGGCCGTAATCATGGTTTAGTAAATTTAGAACACAGTCACATAAGAACGATGCTCATGGCCTTTGATTGAATTAGACATGCATATTACCAACACAGACAAATCTACAAACAGTACAAAGTAGCATGCAGTCCAAATGTATCATCTGTCATGGAAATATATAGAAAGAAATTAGCCACATATCTTCATCATTTACAATTGTACAGTGCTGTTAATTGTATTATTGCCATTTTGCAATACTATAAGTATTATCATTACTACACTGCAAATAATGGTATACTTTAGTACCAAGATGTGAGCAAATTGACTTATTTTAGAAATATAGCCCCCCCCCCGCCTTTTGTAACAAACTTAATATTTTGCAGTTTCCAGTGTATATTTTTGTCACTCAACCTTGGCAGCTTGGCACACATGGCTACTACATTTTATGTTCATTATGGATAGGTATATGTGTATATTTTTAGTTGTGTACTTTATTATTTTTAGGCTTTATTCTACTCTTTATATATTATTTTAACATTATCTTCAGCATAACAATCTCACTGCACTTTTATAAAGACAAATGTGTTTTGTTCTTTTTTATTCTATTCTACACTGCATTTGAATGCTCCATCTAAATTTTATCATGCTAAGGGCTATATTAAGGGACTGAATCTTTTAGTTCTAGTTGATCCTTCATAGTGGTGGGAACTGCCTGAGCTTCAGGATTAGGAACAATACCTCTATATGAACAGCGTTCTGGACTGTGGGCAACTCGCCACACCGCGACAAGACAACGGCCTTATTTCTGGGTCACAGCTGTCGCCGAACATATGCACACACACACACACACACACACACACACACACTCAAAACACAAATACACACACACAGAAACACACATCATCCTTCGCTCAATATCCACACTTACTGAATGCCCCAAAACCGCCACAGCTCCTGGGAACTACACATCTCTAAAGTGCATGTAGATAATAAAACAAAACATTTATTAAAGACATGAAACGCCAAATATATGTGTCATTTGTGGTAACACATACAGAAAAAAGTCTACTCACAAATGTAGTTGGTGAGACACATGAATTTTCTATTGTGAACTTTATAATGCTGTGACACCATAGAGGCTCTTAAACTGCTTTTTTTTCATTTTCAATTTTCATGTGTATAAAGAACAGCATAATTAAAATTACATTAAAATGTAATTAAAATATCTAATACGTAGTGAATTTGTTGTGAAATATTTTAGTCCAGATCTGATGAAACAATAATAAATAGAAAAGGTTTTACTTCTCACAAAATCTTGAACACTAATAGTAAGTGCAATAAAAAAGTAGTAATTTACATTGTCTTTCCATTTTTATTAAAAAAATTGTCCTGTAAAGTTCATAGAAAAAAAATGTATCATTAGCATTTAGCATCAGAGAGTATCCTCAGTTTGTTTTTAGTCAAAACATCACATTACATTCATTTCAACAAAATGCCAGCCTCTCAGTTACCCATTGGGGTGGTTTGATGTACTTAGGCATTTTTTGAATGCAATCAACTGAGAATGTTTTATTCTGGTTCACCTCCCAGTTATCAAAGGCACATCATTTTGGTAGGAACATAATTGTCTAGTTTGTCATGTTTTGCTTTTGTTGACAAAATGGGCATTAAGCAGTGTAACTATATGAAGGGTAGAATAAAGGTCTCCACCTGCATGTTTTGAAATTCAGTCAAGACCTATACATATCAAGTGGCTCAAAATAAAAGTACTGATCTAGTATCAATCCAACTCCTTCCCTAATCTCATATAATCACATCATATACGTACACAGAATCTTACATTAGATCATTTTAAGTAAATAAAGAACCCAAATAAGCACTCTGACCCTGAGAAGTCTGAGCTCAGAATTTCTGTATATTTAGATGTAGACAATTAAAAACAGAGCGACTATAAAACAAGAGTGATTTTAGTGATCTTGTTAACTCTTCAACATGACATCCAATTGTCTAATCCACAGTTGAAGACATTTTTTGATTGTTGCACTCAAGTCAACCATCTGGACACTGACATCCTTGGCAATGACAACACATTAATTAGCATGCCATGGCCAATTTGCTGATAAAGATCTTGATTAAGATTTGTTCGAGGCCCCTTTCAAGACACACTCCCCTCTGAATGTGAGATTGAGAATCAGTGGAATAATTTGCTGAATTCATGGATTTAGCTTTTGATATCTAAAGTCATTTCAGCTTGAGAGCACTGTTCAACTAACTGTCCATCCTTTATTTTGGATAATTTATTGTGATAATAGAGGTTAAGTGCCACGCTCCATGCTTTATTAATAAACAATATGCAGATAGTTACTGACACATTAAAAACTAGAAACAGTTCATTAAATCAAATTAAAGTGCATACTTCATCTGTTTTTGTGAGCTATTAACACCTCATAAATAAAACATATAACTGATATTTGACTCCACAGTTGTATGGGATATGATTTCCTTCCACAATGGATGCAATAAAACTGTGTTAGGGAGCCCTCTTCTGGACAAATGTTGAAAATGCAACATCAATATTTCTCAAAGTTGTTCCTTTCTTCAATGTATTCATTGTTGTACTCTAACCTGGATACAATATTGCTTGTTTCCAAAGCACAAAGTGTTCCTATTACGTATAGCTTAAAGTATAAAATCAGTGTCACATTTTAGCCTTTAGCAAAGGCAATGGTTCTATTCAGAACCATGGGTTCTATATAAACCCAAAAAGGGTTCTACCATTGTTATGATGTCAAGCTTGTTATAATAACTCTTTTTGGTGCTATATATGTACCACAATGGAAGTGTTTGTTTCAAATATAATAATTAGTTAAAATATATATGCGTATTAATGGGCTCCCATTTTCATTAACTTCAAAAGGAGTTGACAGATTTAATTATTTGACTCAATCACGTACAAAAGCTAAAAAAGCTTTTTACAAATGTTTCTTTAGCTATTTACGTGTACAACTGAAGTGCCAGCAGCTGCCTGTTCTATTCACATAAAAAAGTGCCGTTCATCATTTTTTTTACTCATTATTTTATTATTAGTTATCTTTCCCATATTCAAAATGCTTGAGAAAAAAATAAATAAAATAAAATGGACTCTCATGCATTCTCATACTTACTGAGGGTCTTAAAAAAGAACCACAAATTAATTCTACAATAAGCTGAAGGTTCATTCTCAATTTGGACAGAAGATGAATTTTATCAGACTGGCCTCCTTTTCAAGGCTATGTGGCCTTGCTTTCTGTATAGTTCAAGGGAGACATAAAGAGTAATATCAGTACTTTAATGTACAAATAAATCGCTTCTGCCTCAATGAAATGATCACTTTTCAGGAGAAGGACAAAAAATTCTTAACCTTAAGGAACGTTAACATAGTGAATTTTTTGTAGGAAGAAATCATTTTAGACCATTTTATTGGTCCATTCATCATGAAACGTTTACACAAATGTAAAGAGCAGCTAGAGTTTTCAAATTGTGTTAAAAAATCGAATTATGATATGGCATCATCAAAACATTACTTTTTATGCGCTGTAGTCTTCATTTTGTAAGTGGTCAGTAATGGAGTAACTGACATGGAAAAGTTTGAGAACCCTTTCATAGAGTGATGTCACACAAATACCTGAGGCTTAGAGATGCTAAAAGTACTTCAAATCTAAAATAAAATGACCAAAATTTTTTTTCAAGCGATGCTATAGAAGAACCACTTCTAGTCCTCTAAAGAACCTTCAATTAATAGTTCTTTACAGAACCATTTTTCTGTAAAAGAAATGTGCAAGCTGTTTTAAAGTTTAAAGAACATCCATATTATGTAAATTAAAGTTTTCTGTGTGTGAAGATTGCATGTCCAAGCTAAGAACCACTTATGTTTCAAATGTGTGATGTAATTTGTGCTATGTGTCATATCGCAAAATTATACTGACAGAATCTGAAAGAAAACATCCTGTATTTCTCTTTTTCTCTCTCCCTCTCTGACTTCCATGTCTCCTCACTCATCAGCCGACTGACACGAGAGGGCGTCTCTGTTTGGGTGCTCTCCCTGCTGCTTCTCCTCAGGCGGATGTAGAGGACAGAGAACAGAAGTGGAACACCATCAGTAGTGAGCAGCTGCTGGCACCCTGACCCCTCTCCCCTACACCCCCACCCCACCCACCCACACATACCCAGTGTCTTGCAAATGACCACATAACCTTCACCAAATTGGGAATCCCCCTCGGCTACTGAGGGTGCTCCATCCTAATGGGACAGTAAATCACCAGCGTGCACACAGAGAAAAACAGAAAGACACACAGGCGCATGTACACACTACATGCGCGCGCACACACACACACACACACACACACACCTACTTTCAAATGTTAATGATCACACTCTGTTCTCTCCTTGTATATTTCCATAAAGAGCTCGGAGGCCCCTTCAGAATAGAGCCATATGGACTGTGCAACAGGCCTTGCCTTAACCGACCCCTGAAAGGTTCTGCCAACAACCTAACACAAACTCACACAGACATTACAAAGCGACAGTCAGAAGTCAGGCAGCATTCTGTTGAAGAACAACAGTAAAATATTGTTAAACAGTACCTACAACATAATGGAGAAGGCACATGTGAAGTGAAAAAGTAAACAAAGAATTAATGTTAACATAAAAAAAACTTTACAGTACAATACAAATTGGAAATACAAGTGAATCAATGGGATGTTTAAACTAGATTTGGGTCTTTCCCCACTGACAGCAAAGCATAACCAGTACTTCAGAATATACTGCATGGAAGAATTATCCCTCACATATAGTTAAGCTATTACTGAAACAAATTAGAATTACTTATATCTAGGTCAAAAACTCTTCCCATATTGCAGTACGGAAATATATGCAGTATATGTACGTCTAACACAGTTAAATGTTTTGTGTTTTCCCTAATTTAACACACCTGGACAAGTACACGATGAGCTTGTTAATTAGTTAGTGAGCTGAGTCAGATGTGCTTGATGAGGGAAGACCACTAACGGGCAGCGTGTGGGAGCTCCCAGGACTGTAAGCCGTCTTGAAATGCCCGTCAGTGGGTGTAGTTACTCCTCAAAACCTGTAGATGGCGCCGTTGGCTCGATTGAAGCCCTGGGCTGGACAGACACTCCCTCCTGTGTTTACCTTTCCACACAGGCTGTCCCGAGATGGCACAGTAAACGACAGAATGATCTGTTTGTACAAGCTTCATTTTGCTTAAAATTACAGTCATCGATATGTAACACTTTGTGGACGGATAACCGTAGTTCTAGGCCTGTATTTCACCACAAAGATCCGCCACAATTCCGTAGTAGGCCTGTTTCTCGGTATAATTAGGTTTTTCCAAGAGGCTAATGTTCGCTTTAAGCGTTCAAAAACAGGCCTGTATAACGCATATGGAAACCCAAATAAAAGCGTAGCCGTTTACTTTGAGCAAGATCCCACCGAGGCGTGTAACGTTAACTCTGAGGGAGACACCCAACAAAGTTGTCATACATTTCTTGGCCAATGTGCTGTACTTTTCCGGTTCTGTGCGCGAGAAAGTGGGCGAGACATGTAGATCCATTCAACCTGCTTATAGCAAGGATCCGAAAATTGGATATCGACGCCTGTGTTTATCTAATCAGGTCAGCTGCATAGCTAACGTTGACTTGGAAAAACCGCCTTAGCAAATTAGCCCACATCAAGAAACGCCGTGTTTTCGCTGATGTTGGAGAGAGACTGCTAGATTCAGATATAAGCTAAATAAATGCTTCCACAATGGCAGTCAAGGTAAGTGTGTGTTAACGTCTAAATAATTGTTAACAGTACAAATTAGCCATCTTTCGTTCACTTTCTTACTCTCGAGGACGACACATCTAAACTTTTATCAGAATAACAGTATATTAGTAGGCTATGTGGACGTGGTTTGGGTGGTAGTAACGACTACGAAGTAAAGTGAAGCCGGAGAGATGTGCATCACAAACCGTAATTCCTTGTAAATGCTGTGAACGAATTTATCTAGGTTAGTTTACAACTAGTTGGAGTTGCAGTTGGGGTTCGTTCGTTGTTCTTGTCGATCTTGTAAACATTTAGGAAGCCTTTCCTGGTTCGTTTGAGTCATGTGAAGTAGGTCAGGTTTCCCCCTGGAGCAGTATTCTGTTTAGGTAATGTTTAACAAAGTGTGCCGATATGGGTAGGCCCAGTCTTAACAACAACAGTCATATTGTGAATTGTGACCCAGAGTCATTTCAGTTTTCCCGACATGTATAGTAGCTTGTTGTACCCAACACTTCATAATCCTCCCACTTATAGTATGCGCTCATCATTACATTGGCGTAAATGCACATTCCACTAGAGCCACACATTTTTTGGGAAGAAGGGGGCATATAGAAATATATTTTCAACCCCCTGTTGCTTTCAGCAGTAACAAAACTCATTTTTACAGGAATGGGAAGTGGGCAGTGTTGGGAACATACGCTACAGAACGAATAGAGAACACAACTATCAGCTGTGTAAAACCAGCAATCAGCATTTCCAGTTTAGGAGCACGTCACTGAACTGCTGTTGCAACATTTTGCGCTCAAAACAGAAGTATAAAAAGGCGTTGTAGATGGAAAGTGCTTGTTGAGATCAAGAGAAACCTGTTTGGTGTTTTGGTTATCATTTAGCTATTTGTTTAGGTGTCTTCTTTTTGCTGCAGGGGGAGTGTCATCAGGTGAATGTTTCTGATTTTAGGCCTACTTCATTGGCAGTTCTTATAGTAAAATGAAAACCCATTATTAACAAGTAAGTCTTAAACTGTTTTGACGAGTCAGATGTGCCAGGTATCTTCACTCAGTTTGAAAGAAAATGACCGATTATCAGAAGGATTGCTATGGGGAAAATCCCATAAGATACCAGCACCATTGTTTATGTTATGTTATTTTCTTTATTATTAAAAGCACAATTCCTGCTTTAAATCCACTTCACAAAATTAAACCCAGGGTCCCCTTGGCATTAGGTGAAAAATTAAGGTGAGGTTTATGAAGTCTGCAGAGTTAATGAACAGTTTGTGAAGTCTTGGGGCTGTCAGCTCAATAAATGTTGTATTTTTATATGTAATTTGATTATAAAAAACAAACATCTGTCACTCAAGATGGACAGAATTAGGAATGATAGAAGCCCCACTTAGAACAGTTAGCATTTATTAGAGATTTAATCTGTAAGAATGCAGCTCTTATTGACTTATATATCAGTTTGCTTCATCTCAGTTTCTTTCTGCAAGTCATACTTTTCAGTGGATTGGTTCTCCTTGAGAAATGAATAGAATAGCACTACATACTCACTGTCAGTATATATGTAAGATCTCTTTGTTGGTTTGCAATGACGTATTAAACATGTTGAATAGAATGCTGTTTAGATCTCACTATTGTCCTTTTAAAAACCTGCAAAACAGAACAGGTGACAAAAGTCTTTTCTTGGCTGTAGTGCCAAAAACCATGTATTTTAATACATTGCTGTGATGTCATCACTGATCAGTACTCAAACCTATCAGGGCCCAATTTCCCAAAAGCATCTTAGTGTTAAGATAATCTTAAATGATAGTGTTTAGTATGATGCTTTCACCACCACTTCAGAATCATCTTTGTGCTAAGATGCTTTCTGGAAATCCAGCCCAGATGCTTAAGTCATGTTAGTGGCAAAATATTTTTAATGTCATTTAACATTAGTTTGGAAAAGAAAACTGTCAAATCATTATTTAGGCAAGGAAGTATTGCAGAACATACCCGATGTATTATTAAATAGATGTTTATGCTAATAAAGGCTTTGCTTGTATTTATTTCTTCTAATCAAAACTTGTCTTTAGAACGCACTCACACCCAATAATTTTTTTAAGAATGTCTAATGATTAAAAAAAAAAAGACAAATCAAGACTGCAAAGGTGAAACAGGTACGCCTCTGTGCTTGTCACAATAATTACATATCAGCTGATCATAATTATTTGAGCTCATTGCAATTATTTAAGCTGACCGTGGTTATTTTCCACATTTGTTAACTTTCACGGTCAAGTGTTTACATCTCAACAAAAAATGTGAGTTAGGTGGGTTTTCATGGATTGAGCTGAGGCAAATGCATGTAAATAAAAGATAGCACAGAACACATTTACTGAGTTCATTTACGTCATGGGTCTTATGAAAACAACTTAAGTTTTATCTTCTGACAGGTTATGTAGCACCTTTAGAGGGCAGCATAAATAATGTTTGTTTATTTGATGTTTGTTGGGCAACAGTAAATAATGTTTATTCATTTGAGCTTGACTTGTGTCTTGCGTCAGTTGAAAGTTACTCATCGACAGCTACAAAGCAATATAGCTGATCCGCCAATTTGGCCACTTTTTAGACCTATACTTGCAACTTGTGTAGTTGCATGCAGAGAACAAAAAAGGCAATTGCATTGTTAATTGCAATAATAATTTTGCAAAGTTATTGCAGTAATAATCATTAGCTAAAAGTTTATGATCGTGATAGGCCTACTAGTAATGTAATTTCTTAGGTGACCAGCTCACTAATGTGTGTGCATGCTTTTTAGATATCAATAGGGCTCTATAAATAGCATATTTAATGGTATAAAACAAATGAAACACTAAAGATAAATTCTGCATTTCACAAAAGTCTAGTCACCTTTATTTCTATAGCACATTTAAAATACACCAGTGTTGGCCAAACTGCTGCACGATAATATAAATTAAAATATCCACTACTAACTAATCAAACTACACAATACATTCAACAAGGATAATAGCATGCATGGAAAAACAAATCAAATAAAAACAATAAAACAAAGTAGAAGAGCTACTTTGGAAAGACAAAAGAAACAAAGACAGAACAGATACTGCATAACGTAGTCATTAAAAGAACTCAGATGCAGCTACAAAAAGGCCCAAGCGCCTTTGAACCTCATCTGAGAGCATGGAATGACTGAGGGCAACTGGTTGGAAAATCGTAAGGCTGGCGAGGTGGAATGGAAACAGAGGAGGTCAGACATATAGCTCGGACCCAAGCCATGCAAACCTTTAAAAATGAATAATAAAACTTGAAATTCAATTCTATATTGTACTGGTAACCAGTGAAATGACGCAAGTACATAGGAAATGCTCTCCCTTTTTTTTGATAGCCATCAGGAGCCTCTCAGCTGCATTTTGGACCAGGTGTAGGCATGAAAACCTTGACTGATGGATTCCCAAATACAGCGAGTTGTAGTAGTCAATATGAGAAGAAATAAAAGCATGAACAGCTGTTTCCAGGCCCTTAAAAGACATGCTTTTAGAGGATGCTTTTAATTTTTGCTGTACTTCTAAGTTAAAAGAAGTTACCACTCACAACAGCGTTTATTTGCTTCTCATACTTAAGAGCAGAATCAAAAATAACACCAAGATTTTTTATGGCTATGTACAAAACAAGAAGTAAATGCATGTTCATGTGTGACTGACACAACAGTGTGTAAAACTGTGACGCTGTGAGAATCAGAGTCTTTGTGGACAGTTGTATTCTGTCTGTGCCATAGTTTTGAAATGTTTTAGGTGAATACAATAAGGAAATGAGTCCATATTATACTTTTTTTAGGACCTTTTTTTTTTTTAAGCTTTACATCTCACCCCATAACTGTTTTCTGGAGTGTACATTTTTTTCATACTGTATATACATATATATCTATTAAAATGTACCTTCTTGATAAATAAGCAATGATTATTTCCCAGTTGTGCATAATGATAATGCATATGTAGAAGTCTCTTCTTGCTCTCTGATCTTCTTTTTTTAAAAAAGTTAATTACATGATTATTCACCAGAGTAAATGACTAATTCCTAATATAATGAAACATGACAGCCTTAGCTCTTGGCTAGCAGTTGATAGAAACAAAATTTGATTAGGAGTTGTAAGGAGTTGTTTCTTTTTTGTTGCCGACTTGTGCAACTTGGGGAAAAATGCAAGAAATTAAATAAATTATTATTATCAAAGTAACATGTGATATTAACATAATATTAAAGTAATGTGTAATATGTATGCGTCTTATGCTGTGTGTTTAGTGTATAATAACATGTCGATGCTGTGGTTTGTTCAGGCTCAGGTACTGTATGACTTCACTGCTGAGCCAGGCAACAGTGAACTAAGTATCCGAGAGGGAGAAACACTCACCGTCTTAAATCAGGTGAGGATCAAGAGAGTCAACAGTCCTACACTACAGTGCCCGACATCCGTCACTGTAAACCTCCATCCTGTTTCTTTTTAGCATTTATTTCTGTAGCCTAGTTCTTTGGTTAGGATCTTACACTGGCACTTGTCTGAATACCAAAAAGTGGCAAATTTGTGTTCTTAACGGTCCAGCAGTGTATATTTTCAGGAGCTGTAAACTAAATAAAATTCTAGTTGATTTTCAGCTCAGTAAAAAATGACATACCTGGTATGTGCCAGTTATTTATTATGAGTGACTTTTTCTCCAAAAATGCCTGTGAATTTGGTCATTTCAGGGAAGAAAATGCTGCTTTCACTTCACACTGCTTTCACAGGAACTGATTACAGGAATCCAACTGTACTGTTTTTGATGTTGTAAGGCAGGATGTCACAGTGTTTTATGTATCAACATCTGAATAATTCTGAAGCAAGTTATCAGACTGTTCACAGCGTTGCACTTACTATGACTTGAATAAAGTTTAGCTATTTAGCTTTATATTACGCAGCCCTGTTTACTCTTCTAATATTTTCCTGCTTGGGCAATATTTTCTTTATGTAGAATGTGGGTGGAGGCTGGGTAGAAGCCCAGAACTCTAGAGGACAAACAGGTTTGGTGCCAGAGGATTATATACAGGTAAGAGGACAATACTTACATTTACAGCATTTGGCAGACGCTCTTATCCAGAGCGACTTACAATTTGATCATTTTTACACAGGTAGGCGAAGGTAGTGTTAGGAGTCTTGCCCAGGGACTCTTATTGGTAAAGCGTAGGGTGTTTGCCCAGGCGGGGATTGAACCCCAGCCTACAGCGTGGAAGGCAGAGATGTTACCCACTACGCTATACCAACCACATACTGCCACTATTCTTACCCCTATTAATTTTGTAATAGAGGGAGATTCACTCGAAAGAGGCTCCAAGTATTCTGTTGTAACTCTGTTCGTTAGGAAGAAGCAGTCTGAACCAAAAAAATACGCTACATACCTTGACGTATGTGTAATTGATTGCTTTACATGCGATGCTGTTTTTCTGCAAATCTCCCACAGTGCAAGGCTTTTTCTGATAGACTTTTCCTTTGAGCAGAAGTTGCAAACGAAGGTTAAATGTCGCAGTGGCTGTCCTGCGCCTCATTGCTCCAACGCGGGGGCATCCTGGCTTGTTTGAAGCTCCATATACTGAGGAGCACATTGCTGCAGTCTTAATAGTTGTCTGTTGCACAGTCCTGGTTATGTTATGCACTCACTGTAGCAAAGAATTCCACACTATAGTGGCTGAATTAATGATGGGGACTGACAGTTGTACATTTCTTATATACTTATTAACAAGGCATTTGATGAACATAAAGCTAATTGTTTAAAAAGGTAGTATTAGTAAATAGTTTTATGTTTGCCCAATCTTTGCGGGTGTTTTACCTAATTGAAAAGTAGCAAATATTACCTAGAATAAGTCAAAATGAATCCATGGTGTGCTGAAAATTTTAAGTCAATAAGAAAATTTTTAATCATAAAAGTATTGGTATAATGTTAACTATGTATTTACATCAGTAAAAACAAGAATGAGTTTTGTTTTTGATAACAATGGGCCTCATTCACCAACTATTTAAAAAAAAACTCTTCTTTCTTCTTTCACGCAGATTCTGACATTCACCAATGTTTTCTTATTTGGGATTTAGTCTTAGTTAAGAACAGAATCTAACCACACTCAAGAGCACAAAGGTGCGAACAATTCTGTGATTTAAGAACACACATAAATCTGATGTTGACTTTTTCTTAGGACCTTTTTCAAGAACAAATTTAAGAAAAAAAACTTAGATAGTGGTGAATGAGGCCCAGTGTCTTTGTTTTAAAGACAAAAGTTTTAGGAAAATTTCATCATGATTTAGTTAACTATTTTCTTACTTTCTAGTTTGAGTCAAACCCACAAATTCATTTGCAATTGAACAGGTAGCTGTGGAGAGAAGTTACTGTGATTAGTGGTTGAGAAGGCAGTGGCTATGCACATAGTCCAAGGTTAATTTGAGAAACCAGGAATCATGCTTCATAGTACACATCTGTGGTTAAAATTGGTGCAGTCATACGAGTCAAGCTAGAGCATTCTGGATGTAAGGTTCAGTAAAATAAACTAAAAATAAAATTCAATAAATTAGGCTTCAGGTACTTTTTTTTGGTTTGGAAGACCAGCATGTCCATTTTTTCCGGCTTGAGGCTTGATTGCTTAATGTAGTATGCCAGAATGTCAAGTTACAAGGTCCGCAATTTTATGTTAACTTTACCCACTTAACACTTGTTACGACAACTTTGATAAATATAGGTTATAATTAAAATTGCAACTCTTGAAATTTGAAAAATACACTCTTTAAATGTGACGTTACTGGCTTTGCAGACTAATTCAAGATCGGCAGCTTCTTCAGTGGGATCTTTTAATGATGCCTACAGTGCCACTTCCTACAGCACTGCAGCCCCTCAGGTATATTAAGGCCTCATTTATTACTCATTTGTTTGTTGTTTTAGCATAACATAGTCACCTCAAAGGAAAGTATCATTTGAGTGATTCCGTTTCCAAAACCCTCCAAAAAAAGTCTTTCGTTAGCAGAGCCAGTAAGCATCATTGCCTGATTGTCTGAATTTTGCTGTGGGACCCAGTGGAAATGAAATGTAAAGCAGTAGCATAAATTAGAGTGCAGCCCAGAACAACCTCTTCAGTTCCTCTTTCTAAATTTGTGTGTCCCCTTTTCTGTTACTAGAAGTCTCCATTAATTTAGCTAGCAGTACAATCAGTGGATACTTTATTAGGTACACCTACCTTTTATCTGCACTCACTGTTCAATTTTGCAGGTCCATTTACCATATAGGTACATTTTGTAGTACTACAATTACAGACTGTAGTCCTTCTATTTCTCGGTATAATTTGTTAGTCATTCTTTACCCTACAATGGTCAGGACCCCCCAAAGGACCTTCACTCAGCTGGATATTTGCGTGGCAAGTCATTTTTAGCACTGCAGTGACACTGACATTTGCATTTGATTATGATTTATGCCTTGACAGCAGTGTTCTTAGCTAGAAATATTAAAACATGAACTTAACAGTATTTTGAAGTTGATTAATAATCACACATATGGTAAAGCTCATGCAGTTTTTGCACAATGCAGTTGCTCTGCGGTACAGCGCTTCCTGCTGTGAAAAGTATGTGTTTGCAGAGGATGTTGCAAACAATGTATTTGCAGGACATGTCAAAGAATGCTGCAAATGGGCAAAAGACATATTTAAGGAAGCCACCAGCCATGATTCATTGACTTTAAGGGCGATCCTCACCATCAGAGTGCTTATAATAAACACTTGAGTAACTTTGTGTTCGGGATAAATTGGTATAAATGATTTTAATAGTTGGAGGCAGGAAGGAAGCCAAATGCTTTTGTGTAGTAATGGATCAGTGCTTTAGCTGATTCAAGGTCAAATCTATTGATAAAACAGGCCATTAAGGCTCAGACTGATGGACAGCACAGGAAGGAACTCAAGAGCCTTAAACCTTTTAGGTCCCCAGCACAGCCAGTCTGATTTTATATGTGGAATTATCAATGGGCATGGCAGAGGATTTTAGACTGCCTGGTCTTTGTACCATAGAATAAATCCATTTGCTGCTGACTATTGTTCACCATTTCAAGAGCAGACCATTATTATTGACTTTTATAGAAATGTGTGGTAATGGCTTAATTGAATTTTGGAGTGGATTTTGTATGCTTTATAGTCCTAACTGTAGACTTAAAAGATGTTTGAGAAGTAAATTGTCTACAGTATTTAGTTGCAAGCCAGTCATTACATTTTTTTGATACTACCAAAACATTTCAAATGGGCAAACTATTTGTTGTATCGTGTTTCTGAAAACAGATTGTTTCAGTATATATCAAAATAAATTCATTTAATATTTTTGTAGGGAGTTAATGGCAGTGATGCTTGGGCGGCTCACAGTACTGAGAATTGGGACTCTACTCAACAGCAAGCGCTAGCCTATCAAGGTAAGAAGATAATGCAGAGGAAAGCTTCCATTTCTGCTCTTTATATTGAATGTCAAACAAGGGTATATGCTCCATCCACGTTAGTTGTTTTAGTACATTGTATATCCAACAGAAAAGTATTGAGACAGTGAAGTCAATATTTCTATTTTATGTTCATGCGGTTATATTTCTGGATGGAAAATAGACAAAATCTTTATTGTGAAGTTTTTCAGGCACATGTGGTTTTATTCCTTTAGAATAATGTTACTTTTGTATTCCAACCATCTCATTTAGGTTAGTTTAACAACATTAAGTCTATGACCATCTTACTTTAAGATGGTTTGCTTCTGCACTTTCACTCTTCATACACAGAAGCCTGTGCATTCTTTTCCTTTCAGCTCATGCAGTGCATCCTTTAATTAGTACTTATTAGTACAGCAGATTTTTTTTTTCTTTGTTCATTAACAGTTGTTGTTAAAGTCAGAAACTTTCGATGTCACCGCCCATTCTCAATGCCCTTTACTGGCTGTATGGGATATCGAACCAGTAGTAATTGTCATACTATTTAAATTTTAGGTGCTTTGTTCTTTATTTAGAGAATTTGCATTGTTTTATCTGGAGATGACAGTGATCCAATACAAGGTATCAGTATAGAACAAATATCAGCAGAAAATGCTGGATAGGATATAAGAGAAAAACAAGAATGAATCCAGCGGTCCAGTCCTGTAACAAATCTAGCCTAAAATAGCACACACTCACATTGTGTAATGTGATGTTGATAGCTATGAAGCTCTTCTAATGGGAGAGTAGTTTCAATTAAAAATAGATAATTTCAAGGCTTAGCAGTTTTCAGAGAAAAAATAATTGGAATCAATTGGTAAAGTTTCAATATTGGTATCAGAAAAGAAAAGTAGTGTCAGGCCATCTCTGTGGAATTTGGTTTTCACATTAATAATTGCTGTTATTTTATTTAGTACTAACTTGTTCAGTGCCAATTCAATATCACATTTTTTCTGAAGAAACAGCAAAAGCTTATCTATTTACATTAATTTCTTGATTTATTTCTTCCACCTTAGATTTGATTTTCAAAGGGCATTAATGTTACTATAACATCTTTCTCAACATTGTACAGCTTTCTCAGTCATTTTGCCATCATCTAGGGCTCTTCATCATTCTGGACAAATATAAAATGTCTTGACGTTTTTCTGTGATTGGTTGAAGACTTTGAAGCTATAAAGTACTAGCATCATGAAGCAAACATTTTATACATGTATCTGCAACAATTTTTTTCTGTTATTGAAAACAGTAATTCCAAACTTTTAATCAGTAGTGTACTTAAGATTACTTAACTGCATCTTATTAGCAAAAATCTGTTTTGTGAGGAAATGTTTATTTATGTCTGGGGAGAAGTAATTCCACAGTTATATCACAGAGGATAGACATGAAGAAATGTTTCATAAACGCAGTTTTGCAACATTTAAGTGCTGCAAAGTCTTCATGTGGAGTGTTTATGAACTCCGTTTTGTAGCTTTAATATATTGATTGGTTGGTTATCTTTGTGCATGTAAGGTTCCATTGATGATGATGAGTGGGATGATGAGTCAGATGATGGCAAGTCCACAGGCGGCTACAGTTGGTCACAGAGTGAGGAGGGAGGAGGGACAATGCAGCGCGGCGCAGGCCATCACACTATGAAGATTTCTCTCAACAAGTAGGACATTAATGTGCACCATGGCTGCTTCCCCACCCATAGCAATAGAATTCTGGACAGTTGTTTGTTGACAAAATAGATTTGTTTTAACCAGGGACATGAACATAGCACAATGAATGTTATTGGTTCACTCCAATATGGTGTCCTTCCGTTTAGCAAGATACATCCCTGTATGAGGATTTACAGATCACTGGAAAATGGTATTATTATTTTTTTTATATGATTAATCAGTGAACAACAGGCATAATCTAAAAGACAAGATCAGCTTGTCAGGCTGAGGACATTCAGGGTCAGGGTCAGCACACAGTTACCCCCAAGGGTGCTGGCAGCAAACCCCAAAACTGAAACTCAGCTGGTTGAGAGTTGCAGATAATGGCAAGAGTGTACTATGTGTGGGGAGCATTTGAGCCGTCAAGCCTATGGAAGCTTGTATATTTTTGGAGATATGAGTTTTTTTTCTGACAACAGCCAGATATATATATATATATATATATATATATATATGTATATATATATATATATATATATATATATATTATATATATATATATATATATATATAGGGGTGCGGGAAAAACTCGACTCTTAGATACATCGCGATGTGGACGTGATCGATTCTGAATCGATTCATAAATGTCAAAAATTGATTTTCAAAATATTTAATTTATACCGTAATGTTCACGAAACGCAAAAGGCGGAACTGGAAGTGGGTAAGTGCAGCGCCTGGACAGTCTGTGGCGGCACATGACAAAAAACACAACTGGATGAGTGAGAAATCCGACCGGCTTACTCTGCATTAAAGCCAGGTTAGGTCAGGAGTCACAACCCGAATGTTAAGAAGAGCCATTTTGCCTTTCAACAAAGTCAAACCACCTTGGGAGCCACAACATTTTATGTCCTGTATGTCTCAGTATGTGCTGATGTCCTAGTATGGGCTAAAAATATAAACAAGAGCGCAGATTTACTTTGCTCTTCATTAAGCTTTAGCTATAGCCGCTTTCCTCCCATCTCCGACGAAAAACTTTTCTTCAAAACTAGAAGAGTTTCTTGTAAAATGTCTCAGCATCCAGCTGTTTTACGAGGCTGAAGTCGCTTCTCATTCGCTTCTCGTTCTAATTTTCCCATTCCACCTGAAATTCTGCCTTAGGCACCGAATGTAACTGCTGCGCCATTTAAGGTGGAACAGGAAAATTTGAAAGAGAAGCGAGTTCATTTTCGCAACTTTTTAGAGATAGACAGTCTGTTTGCTACTGGCGAGGCCAGACTTCGGTGCTGTGTGACCTGCTGTCTGCTGTCTGTTCTCAGTCGTTGAGAACCAGGGCTTTCACGCTATGCTGCACACTTTGGAGCTGAGATTCAGCGACCAGTCTCAAAAATACACCCCCCCCCAACACACACACACACACACACTCTCTTTACAACGAGACCAAAACCGTTGTAGTTATAAAATCACTAAAGAAAACGGGCAGGATGGCTGTAACGCGCTGCGTGGACACCCATTACCACTGGATCTTATTTCAGGGTAACAGCGCATTTGATCGCAGATGAGTGGCAGCAGCATCTCTGAATGAGAGTCTTCTAGTTCACTTGCCACATCACTTCCATTTGATTTATTAATAAAAGATATTTTAGATATTTAAAGCAAAGTATTTGTAATGATCCATAATTAATTTACATTATGGATCCTTACAAATACTTTGCTTTAAAACTACCAAGTCCTCAGACAGTAGGAAGATAGAGATCCTGTATAGAGAAAAAAGAGGTATCGAGATGAAGAAATATATAACATAATAAATATTTTAACATTTGTTGTGTGTAGTTATTTAAGAGTCCTTATCAAGATAACATGACAGTGCAGTTTAAATGCATAAATGTTGCTGTAGACACCTGTGTGACACAAATAGCATGTAGCGGATGGTGGTATACCCAGCTCTACTCAAGAGTCTGTATTGCTGAGGCTCTGAATGTGTTGTAGTGTTCTGTTTCTGTGGTACAGTCCTGCAGTGCCATTATGATGCAAATTCTGATTCTCTTAACTCCTTTTTAGAGTCTTTTCCAAGACACCAAATCCTGAAGTGTTTCTACTGACAAAACATATGGTCAAAGAAAATGACAGATTGCCAATATACGTAAGCATTATTATTATTATTATTATTATTATTATTATTATTAGCATCCTTGCTGTCAAAAGTACTGTTCCCTTTTCTCCGTTTGTATGCTAGATGGGTGAGGTGGGTCCAGTTTGGCTATATCCACAAGCTCAGCTTGACTGTGTGGTGGCAGATCCCAAAAAAGGGTCTAAAATGTACGGTCTGAAGAGTTATATTGAGTATCAGATTACACCTAATGTAAGTCGACCCCTTATTTGTCATCTGAGTTTTTTGAAGTTCCATGGTTTATGTTGATTGTAGTAATGTTTTAATTGTATTTTTTCAGAGTACAAACAGACCTGTCAATCACAGATACAAACACTTTGATTGGCTGTATGAGAGACTTATGGAAAAGTTTGGATGTGCTTTCCCCATTCCATGTCTTCCGGATAAGCAAGTCACAGGTCAGTGAAAACCAAAGAGTTCTCAATAGACAGGCCACAAAAACAAATCTTTGTAAAGCTGCTGAATTTCATCTGACATTTACTGTTCATATTGAGGTTGCCAGTAATTCTGGAGAACACTATGATAATATTTGTTAAATTAACGATTTAAAAATAAATGAACTAATCAAATATTATAGTATACTTGATGTGTACTAAAACTATGAACATTTTACATTTTTTCAGTCTTCTAAATGAATGTACAGCATGAATGTAAATATAAAGGAATATCAGAGTAATATTTAACACAAAAGATATTTTGCCTCAATAGCATAAGTATAATTACAATATAAGTTCAAACACAAGTCATTAATGTAACAAGGAAAACCCAACATGTCTTAACTTTGACTTCAGACCGAAAACTGCTTTGCTTTAGGGGATCCTTAATAATTAATATCTTTTATGCCATTTACTAATGATTATCTGCTCATACAGAAGGCTATCATATACATTTCATATGCGTAATAGTGGACAATGTATGCTTTTTAGGGCATGACAGTCATGAAAAACCTGGTTTCAAGGAGATGTGCTCAAACATCTGGCTCATACTGTATATTTGAATAAAAGTGCTTGCATAGTGGTCCTACCAACAGTTTAGACCTATAGTAACTGGCTGGACGATCTGTTTTGTTTTGTTTTTTGTGTAGGTCGTTTTGAAGATGAGTTTATTAAAATGCGAATGGAGCGCCTACAGGGCTGGATGTCTCGTATGTGCAGACACCCTGTAGTTGCAAACAGTGAAGTTTTTCAACTGTTCCTCACTTACGCAGATGAGAAGGTACGTATACCTCCTTAAAGTGCTTTATTTACATATATGAAGACTGTCCTGAATAAATTGAACACTCGAGTATTTGAGAGGGAGACAAACAGAGATAGCAAGCAAGTTTTGTCGATTTCTGTAAGTTATGACCAGCCCTAGGTTTATACAAATCTAGAATAAAACTTTGAAATAACCCGTCCTCAGTTCTCAGTTATGAAAGTGATGTATGTTTGCGTTTCAAAGTTATTTGAGAGAGAAAGTTGGGCAGGATACTTTGCAAAATCTTGTAAATTTGACTATAAATTGGACAGCTATATGATTTTCGGTTAATAACATGTATGTCATTTGCCTATACTAATGCTAAGCTTATTATTTGTGAACATCTCCACTACTGAGGAAACAATCATCCCTCGAAGGAGTTATGCTGAGATTAATAACTTACTCATCACATTGATGTTTTAATGTTCTCAGATTTTAGCAGAGCTCAGTAACACTGAGATTAATAGCTGGCTCATCATTGATTTGTCAGTCTACTCAGGCTTTAGTGGGAACTTCAGTGTTTGTAAACAAGCTGTTTTTTGAGTTCTTTTTTTCAGAGTACATCTTTACATGCTATGCACTGGTTTTAAAATAGTTAATAAACAAGCACTGTGGTGTTAAAGATGATTTGTATTTTTTTAATTAGTTGAAAGTCTAAAAATAGTGTGTGTATTAATGTTTGCATGTTGATAATGGTGTAATATATAACTGATCAAATGACCGTGACTTGCAATGGTAGGTGAAAGTTGTGTTATTGGACATAATGTTATTGCTTGTAATTATCAGCTGTAATAGCAAGATAAGATCAAAAACAATAATTATATTATCCCATTTAATGACAAATAACATATATTGGCCCACAATATTTCATGCACCCCTACTATCAATATTTATCAAGCTGTTATATTTCTTCGCCTCTATTAGGACTGGAAAATAGGCAAACGGAAAGCAGAGAAAGACGAGACAGTGGGAGTAATGGTCTTCTCCACAGTGGATCCTGAGATCCGAGAACTAGATCCTACAGAAGTGTGAGGCAGCTTTTCAATCCTTTACGCATATACTTCACTATATATGGAAACCTTTGAAACATTGTCTAAATGTGGTTCGTCTCTTTTTTCATATAGAGAGCAAAAGTGTGAAACATTTAGCCGTTTTACCAGATCCATGGATGATCGGGTTAAGGACCTTCTTTCTGTTGGCCATCTTCACTGGAAGAGATGTACAGGACGTGAGTTCACATCCTCCTTATGGAGGATGTCAGACATACACGTGTTGTCAGGGTCAATGCCACAGTGTTGATGAATGTTTGTCGTTGCATTCTTATCTGTCCCAGCTGTGGGTTTCAGTAGTGAGCTGGTTGTACTTCAGAGTTAATTCACTGGTAATTCACCAAAAGTGAATTTAATTATGTAAACGAGGTCCTACTAACTGGTTACTTGGCCGTTCAGCTGTGTTCCTTTTTACGCAAAGTAGTCCATCAAGAGCAAGTTCTGCATAGAGCCAGTATCTTAGAGCAGGAAATGTTTAGTTTCTCCAAAAAGAGTAGATACCTTATCGCCATTCTTCCTGTTGCCAGCATGTCTTGATCTAGAGGCCTAGAACCTTCTTTTGGTACTATACCGTAAGAAACTACTTAATTATTCCTTTTTCTTTTGTGTTTATTTTAAAGCCCTACAGAAAGAATACCAGCGGATTGGAAAAGCATTTCAGAACCTGTCTTCAGTTTTCAACACCAGTGGATACCAGGGTAAGAAGCCCGAGCATCTCACTTATTAATGTGAACTTCAGTAAACGAGCACCTTGTGAACTCCTCTATTTTATACTTTCAAGTTTCCATTAAGGATGAAAACCAAAAGTGAATAAGTAACATTCCTTTTCTTCTTTGCTGTCTCTTTCTCCCTCTTCTCCTTTGCCTTCTCCTTCTGCTTCTCCTTCTTATTATAGGGGAAGCGACTCTTACTGAAGCATTAACTGCAACAGGGAAGACATATGAAGAGATAGCAGAGATATGTGCTGGACAGGTATTGGCCTTCAGAATTCTTTTTCTTTAAGGTTACTTACTTTATTTCAACAGTTAATTAACTATTATTATACAACAGTTAGTTCTGGCCATGGAAGCTGATTTGGTTGAGAAGCGTTCTAACCATGCTGTTATTTTGCCATAACAGCACGTTTTTTTCACAAACACTATATCACTCCGCTGAGACGCAGTTGCTAAGCAATGACTTTGACAGCTGTAGGAGACCCTCAAGTGATTTGAACATTTTTACTTCTTACTTTGCGCACAAACAGAAAAGGATACTTTTAAGATTACATTTGACCGACAGCCGATTTGGTCAGACTCTGAAGATGAGACTACACTAAATTCCGAAACTGTCATTACCACGGAGCAAGCTTTTCAGCTTTAGGGCAAATGTCCGCTTTAGAGGGATATGAAATGGCCAAAAAGCCGATTAAAAAGTTAATTTTGATGATCATAAATGGTTCCAAATGTCTCTTGGGCAGTGGGAAAATAACCTAGAACTAGGACCAAAAGTTTACGTGGTTGATTTTTGAATGTGCAGTAGGAAAACACCCTTCTTCATTAAACTCTGAAATTAAATGTGTGGCTGCTGCAGTTTCACCTGCAAAAATGTAAACACACAGAGTCATGAAGTGATTGACCTGGGAAGATCAGTTTAAAAAAATGGTTCTGATTTTCCAATACCTTGGTTAAAAAAATTTCAGGATTAGTATAAAATAGCTAACCATAGCTAACATCAAATAAGGACATTTAAAGATTGCTTGCAACTGAAAGATTACAATTAATTAACAATTAATTAGCAACTCATTAGTCAACAAACAGTTAATAACATTTATAACATTTCTAAGCTTACAACATATTAGTTGTAAGTTATTGTTGGTCACTGTCAATGGCTTGCTTACAGTTAATTAATTGTTAAGAAACGAACTTAAAAATAAAGTGTTACCCGTGATTTGTATCAGTGCTTCCTCTGCTGCCCTCATGTAATATTTTTTGTCTCTCTGCACTTGTCCCTTTTTTTTCTCCTATTGTCTTAAAATAAGATTATTACCATAAAGGTTACTCTAAATTAGCCATGACCATGTCAGTGTATTTAGTCTTGCCTTGAAACTAAAGCCCAGTGGTTTACAAATGAATAAGGGAAATTGTTCTTCTTTTTGTTTTTGGTTTTATCAGCCAAAAAAAGACTTGCACTTCCTGATGGAAACAAACAGTGAATACAAAGGACTGCTTGGCTGCTTCCCTGACATAATAGGAGTCCACAAGGTAGGTATACAGTTTGTAGTTTAATGAATCACAGCTTTTTATATCATATGCACATTATTTTAAGGTTTACTACTTCCTCAGCATGCATGATGTACATACCGTGCAAATTTTTTTGTGCAAATATTTTGTTGTTTTGAATTGTTACCTCTCTGTACCTTTGGAGTCTTATTTGTCTATAAAATACCATTTGTTTTCCTCAGCCACCCTACTCACTGCTACACCATTTTATATCTGTTTCAAGATATAATTTTTCTTCTATTTTTCTGTACTCAAAGCCTTTGCCATTATACTGATACCTTGTTTTCTTTTCCTTTGTCAGCTTATTTTCTCAATTCATTTTTGTTGAAAGCTCTAGGATTCTATATGAATTTAATATTAATTTTCAAACAAAAAAACAACATTGGTCATTTTGATCAAAAGATTCTTGAACTTTCGTGTTTCCTCTGTTAGATTTGGTCTGGATGGGACCATGCTGGAAAAAGCTGACATGAAGTTTTTGTTTGTACCAACAATAATCATTAACATTTTTTAGTTGAGCTTGGGCAAGCTACTAGCTAGCTGGCATTTTGAGCATTTAATTGATTTGTACCATTTCTAATATTTCTCTTCTTTTTTCTCTTTCATCATCTGTTTTATGTGACATTCAAAGACAAAGAGCACAAGGAATCCTAAAGCAAGAGCAAATCCTACATGTCTTGATTGCCATCAAAGTTGTTAATTGCTTTAGAGTGACTCCTGGTTACCCCTTGTTGAGCGTAACTTTACCTCTGTAACCCAATATGTCACACAGGTTCAAAGCCTGACTTGTGCCAGAGAAAGGGAAACAAAATAGCTGCGTTTTTTTCTAGTCTTTTTACCTCTATGTAAATTATGGTTAGAGTTATATTTTTTCAAATCTGTTTTTAGTTTGCAACTAGTAAGATGCTTCTTTAGTTTTTTCTTTATTTTTTTTTCTAATTGCATTTTGATTATGCTTTCTGACTCTAAAGGCAGGCACCAAAGACAAGGGTGACTTATACACGTTCATAGGATGCAACTGCTGCTTAATCTTTAACTAAAGTGGAGGGTTTGGACAAAAAGTACTATAATTACTAAAGGATGAAGCATATAGATGCAGAACATTCAGAAAAAAGCTATTGTTTATTAAACATGGAATATCTTGAAACGGAATTAAATTGCAGTGCTTAAATAAAATGTATGTGAAGATAAGACTTCAAATGTAAGGAGGATAAAGAGTTAAAGGTGTATCATTATTATTATTATTATTATTATTATCATTATTATCATTATTATTATTATCATTATGATTATCATTATTGTGTTTTAAATTAATAAGGCTTACCTTTATTTACCTTTAAATAATATCCACTGAATCCATGAATATGCTCCATGTTTGTCCTTAGGCCGCTATTGAAAAAGTTAAAGAAGCAGATCGTCTCGTGGCAATGAATAAGATCGGACCCCAGGACAAGCACATCATGGCAAAGAATCTGAGTACAATGTCCTATGCACTGCAAGGTAACTCAGTCAGTGTTATTTTCTTTAACCATCACAATGAAGGTTAGAGGATGTATCAAATTGTGTTGTGTAGTATCTTTGCTTCTAAATGGTTCCATTCTTGTCTTAAAGTACATGTTTCTAATGCTGATATTATACAATATTCCTGGCTTTTATTTTTATAGAAACTTTTCAAAAGTTACTAAATGTGCTCAGTGGAGTCAGAAGTTTGTTAGTAATACTTGAATAATGCTGAGGAGCTACATTATACCAGATTTAATTTTCTTTCAGAACTTTCTTTCGTTTTTATGGTGTATTTTTAATTACTTAATGGTGGATTTTTTTTTTTTATTTCACGTCTTTTAATGTTTTTAAAGAATTGTCCGAACCTAGAGTCAAGTGGAATGTTGACTGTGCCTGCTTCTTTTTGTTTTGTTTTTGTTTTTTTTTTTAAGTATTTTTAAATGTTTTACGTGTATGTGCACCGTGAGTGGATTTCCAGTGCTCTATTTTTGTCCACAATGTTTATTTAGAGAATAATATTACATGCATCTTCTACAATGAAATGTCTGTGCATATATGCATGAGTTTGTCTGTTTTTATGTCTGAAAATCTGCATGTGTGGCTGTGTAAATATGTGTGATTGCATCTAATGTGGCTGCCCAGCTATGAGAAATGTAACCCTAGCCTCCTCTTTTGCCATCTGTGTCTTTAGCTGAGATGAACCACTTCCATAGCAACCGTATCTATGACTACAACAGAGTCATGCAACTCTACTTGCAAGAGCAGGTGCAATTCTATGAGACTGTAAGTAACCATTGTTTGTAGCATTTTACTTAGGGCAGAACGGGTTGCAACCTAGGACGAAGATTAACTTAACACATATGTTTTCTCAATAATATTTAAAAGTATTTGGACAAGATAAAAACATAATCTGAAATGTTCAGGCATCTGCACATCTCTGCTACAAATTAAAATGTAAACTTTGTTTCCAGCACCTATTATTTGTAAATAATTCAGCTGAAAATGGCGTGAGTTTGACTTAGTTTAAATGTGTAACTTAAGTGTAACTTAGTGTTAGGTGCCGTTAATTGTAACAGACAGAGAGACTAGTTGTAACAGTCGCTAAAGCATCTTGTACTTCGATGCAGATCATGGTTAATTCAATAGAGCTTTGTGTTGTTTGAACCAGTTTTTGACCCAAGTTCATTTTTTATATGTATCAAAAAAGCATAAACTGAATAAAGCAGGCTGTGTCGAGTGAGGCAAATTTGTTTTTGACTATAAAGTACCACATTTTGCCGGTGTGTTTCGGGTTGTTGTCTTGGTTAAATGTCTGATTTTCTCCCCAGAATCATTTTTTTGACCACTAAGATTAAATTCTATTCTAATATGTCCCTGTACATCACCCTATTCATGTTTCCATCGGAGATGTGTAATGCCCAAGTATCGTTCGCATAGGAGTAGTCTGATGATGCTCTCACCTCCATACTTCACTGATGATATGGTGTTTTAGGAATTACATCCAGTGTGTAGGACGGAGATGATTGCAGCGCAGTTCATTGCTTATTGTTCTTTGTGTAACTGTTGTATGTGCTGTGTTCAGGTCACTCTTCAGTCTTTTTTGACTGACTGTTAGCTTCTCTTTGTTACCTTCATCATGAGTAGGCGAGCGTGTAGTGAAATGTCAAGGGCTGATTAATAGGGGTTTCATGAACTTGCCAATTGCATATTATAAAATGAGTTGTACTGACAGGAATGTTTGAGACCTTTGCTGTGGCTCTGTGGCTTTTTCCATTTAAGTGTAGTTTAATTATATTGTCATTAAGAACTTCAGGAAGCTTGTTTACCTTCACTGTGATTGCTACTGTAATGTAATGCAATCTTACCAGCCAGTCTTTTATAATGAAACCAGTGTATTGTGACACATTCCTGTAACCATTATTAACAATTTCAGTGACTTGTGCCGCAGTAGCCCTTCTGTTCATTTGGACCAGACAGTAAAGCCTTTGTTGCCTTTGAGGTATCGATGAGCATTCGGTGCTCAACACATTGTCGCTGGTCCGGGATTTGTGTCTCCTTGGACCACTGTTGAGAGGTACTCTGCTTACCACTGCTGACCAGGAGCACCCCACAAGCCTTGCTGATTTGGAGATGCTTTGACGCAGTCGTCAGGCCATAACTATTGTCAAAGTTACTCAGGTCTTTACGCCTGCCCATTTTTCCTGTGTCCAACATGTCGACTTTGAGAACCAACTGTTTACTTACCATCTAATATAGCCAAGACCTTGACATGCACCAGTGTTAACAGATAATAATTATTGTTCGCTTCATCTGTGAGATGTTGCAGGTCTTTGTCTGACCAGTGTATATAATTTAATAGCATAATAAAAGTTTTGAATGTATTTTATCCTATTTTTTTAAAACATATCTTTGTTTAAGTTTATGAGTACGTATTTTTATCATATTTATTAGTGGAGTCAAGTGACATTATGTGTGTAAATTTGAAGTGGAAATATGCATTGGAAAACAAAAACAAATCTGTGTCTAAATACTTGTTCCACTGTATTGGTGTATATGGTGTATCAGCAAAGGGTGTTCAAAGCGTAATAAGTATTCAAGAACTCTACATGTGAGATAGTTGTTTATGGATCTTTTCTTCTGTCTGACTAGATTGTGGGGAAGCTGAAGCACGCTCTTAGTCAGTACACGACCTTCTGAGAACACCTGCCATCCCCTCACCCCACTACCAGCAACATCCCACCCTCCCCCTGCAATAAGAGGAACTCATTTTGCCCTCAACTGTGAAGTATGCAACACCTCCATACACATATGGTCATTCTTTTAATTTAATCAGTGTGTTTTTTTTTTTTATAAGGGGGAACTTCGTGTGTTAATGACAGTGAATGATAGTGAAAAGAGTTTTACAGTTATAGTCCAGAGCTATAGTAAACATTAGCCATTAGTTAAGGCTTGTTCCGATCAAGGAAACTGCAAACACATTAGCAGCAAACTGCTTCCCATGAAGCAAGCATTCCAAAGCATATTAACAGGTATCCTGCCATTGCACAGTAAAAAATGTATCTGATGCATTTTTTGTTTATGTATGAATTATACACCAATAACACCACTTTGAAGTCATCTTCCTAACAAAGTTGGGGTTAGGCATATTTCTGCTGCTGAGGCCATCTGCCTTTCTACCCAAATGTGGTGAACTAATGGGAAGTTGACATTTGTTTGCAAATGTACGTGAATGATTGAAACAAAGATCAATTTCAGCATATTGCTAATGTTTTGCTAATGGGTTTATTCTTTTGCTTGTGCAAGTCGTCCTTATACAGTGATTGGACATCCATGTTGTTTGATAAAGATTGGTCTCCAGCTCCTATTCCTCTGCATATCTCTTTAAATTTGTGCCTAATAAGATTTTTACACTGAGCCAGGGCCTTAAACTGTGTGACCAAATGCACGACTGTCTAAACTTTCTTGTATGTTTTAAGTTCAATAAGACATAATACAATTTATTTTAAATCACTATTTCTTAAATGTAATATACTCACTGTGACTTCAGGTTTTTCTATCATTAAACTGTGATAAAGAATATGTATTATATTATACAAAATCACAAATATTTTTAACTAAATCCTCCATAACCCTATATGAAATAAAGTTAAGATGAAAAAGAGTCCCAGTGGATAGAAATGCTCCACATTTTTGATTGGCTACCTCAAGATGACACATCTAACGAGACATTAGTAGGAATTATAGCGATGCAAAATATTGAGATTTTTGTGTTGGTGATGCACCTTAAATATACATTTATTGTGGATTTAATATTGTGAAGAATCTAAGACCCAATCTGAAGAATCTACCCAAACCTAATTAGCTGAAAACATGTTAGCTATTAATCACTGAAGTCAAACAGAACTGGATAAACACAGTATATAGTATTATGAGTATTAAAAAATGTCCAGTGACTGTTTTAATTTACAGATCAGAATTTATAAACATTAATATATTTAGTATCTGTATCTTTCCAGTGTTTATTAAAAAAAAAACTCCCAATAAACATTGTTACAGGTCTGTGTCTGCAGTGACCAGGATTTTTTGAATGATAAAATGTTATAAAATTTGCTATCATTAAGCAAAAATGGAAATGTTCCTTCTATAACCCTTTGTGAAATAAAGTCATATGTATATCTCTCCAAGTATGAAAAGTCCTAGTGATTGAAAATGTTCTACATTTTTTTGGGCTGCCTCATATTGACACAAAGAGTTTTCAGTTTTAATATAAAGACTGTCAAAGAAGGTCCATGCTTTCATACTGTGGTGCAGTTGTCACCAACCCTCCTCCTGGAGATCTTCCTTCTTGCAGGTTTCACCTCCAAACCAAATTCAGCAAAGACTTCTGAAGGCAATACTTATCGCTGGATCAGTGGGGTTGATTTGGAGTTGGAGCTATAGTCTGTAGAAAGGTGGATCTCCAGGAGCAGGGTTGGTGAGCAGTGCTATAGTGAACGACTTCTGCAAGAGTGACCACAAAGAGAGTTAGAGAAATCTGATATCAGAGCTTACCCCTCTCAGACCAGAGAACAGCTTTCGCTTTGCTTCCTGATTGCCCATGGATAGGGAATGCTTGTTCTAGTCACACTCTTTGGGACACTCTCTTTCCACAACTATGAAACAGGAAACACGCCACTGACATCAGAGGAAACGGTATATGGGGAACAAGCTGACTCCGCATGTCACTGTGCCGTGTGTGTGTGTGTGAGTGAGTGGGAGAGAGGGAAAGGGCTCCAGAGGAAGACCCTGAGCAAGAAAATACCAGTCTCAACCTGTGTCTGTTTCCTTTCCTGAAATATCTGCAGCAGGCTCAAGACTGTCTGTTGTTTTATAATATAGGATATTTATGTTCACTTATTGCTATGCCATTATAGTTGCTTGAATTTTGCTTTGGTGTGCTCAGAAGGTAAAAGCAATAGCAAGATCCATCAAAGACAGCGAAACCAATAAAACATTAAAAAAAAAGATAAAATGCTATAAAGTTCAATGTAATGAAAGATCGCTGTGCATTATATGTATATAAAATAAAAGACTTAAGAATATCAGCAGTTATTAATATATGAATCTCTATAACTGAATAGTCTACTTTAATAGTTTTTTTGTAAGTACTACAGAGAAATCAGGTGTTTTTTTTTTTTTAAATCTTTCATTTTATTAATGCATATTTTGTGGTGTCCTAATACTCCACAAGCAAACATATGCAAATAACAGACAATAATAACAAAAATGTAACCATATATCTCTGAATAAGTAATATGCGTCTTTAGAAAAACAAATACATCCATAATCAGGTTATATCTTGTAGCCATTTATCTCTTCCATCCTATTTGTATAGCTCTTCTGTTGTTGGTCCTTTGTGCCTCAGCAATACATATGAAATCAGGCTGTATTAACTAATGAGGTATATTTGTCTATAAAGAAAGATCTGCAGAAGAAACAGATTACACGTCAAATGGAACTTTGTATACAGCGTTTGTTATGTTGAGCACTGAACACGGTTCAGTGCCTGTTTTATCAAAATTACTTGACAGAATTTACAAAAATAAATCTCTTAATAGCAAGAAATTCTAATTTCCAGGCTGGAACTTTACAATTAAAATCTCCCTAATAACACTGCATACAGATGATTATAATTAACATCTGCAGTAATTAGAATTTTGAGTTTTTAGATTAATCTAAAAGTGATAAACACGCACTCGTTGATGTTTCCATCCAGCCATGCAGAATCAATATTCTCTATTGACATCATCACAGGTTGAGTTTCCATGATGTCTTGAGCAACGTCAGTTGTCAAGGAGAAGGACGGGGCTTGAAGGTCCGTGGGCGGATCATCATGCTCACTTTCTTCAGTGAGTAGTAATCCGAATCCTTCCAGGTGTACCACACAATGCCATCTGGTCCTAAAAGATTCTTCCCTTTGGCAGAGTAACGCCCCCCCTGGTGGTCAAGAAAAACATATACACAGAAGTTAGAAGGCCACAGTCGGGACTACTAAGCCCAGTCATGATTACTCTTATTAAAAAATCATTACAAATATTTGATTCAAATTTACATTAAAATGATCATGATAATACCTATTTTTAATTCTCGTTGTATCTCTTACAATAAGAAACAGAGCCTAATCGACACATCCATATATACAGTCATATCCAAAAGTTTGAATAACCAGTCAAATTACAGTTTTGTTGATTTCTGTTAATTTGCTAAATTGAACATTTTGGAAAAAGTAAAACATGACATATTAAATGTGCCATAATCTTAATGCATGCCCATTTTTTTCCCCCCCAATGTACAATGTACAGATTTGTGTTCTCTGTATGGGATGTGTATTTATTTTCACTTAGAAAATCAACAAAATATGTAATTTGGCTAGTAACCTGAACTACAATAAATTTCATCAAATTTAGCAAAGATATCTGAGGTATCTGAGTACCACAATGTGTCTAATCCGCATTACTTCCAACTCAGCTCAGTTATGTAACCATTTCAGATGGGATTGTTGGCTTTTTTCTTTCTTTCTTTCTAATTAAACAGATTTATAGCAGGTTTAAAACTTGACAGCACAAACAGCAAATCTGTTTATTTCGTTTTTACCACTGTATCAGAGAAGATTCTCCAGTACATCATTATTACAGCACAGGAGCTATTCTGCAACTGCCAAACTAGCCCGGTCATCACATTTAAGTACATTCATTTTAAATATAGTTTATAACAGTATAGAAAAATGTGAGCATGTAATTTGACTGTCATTTACACTTCACTAGTGAGCAAGTGAAAAAAAATAGGCGTGTTTTCACACTGGCTATGCTAGACATACAAAACACAAGCCTATTTTTTAAAAAAATTTTTTTATAAAATTACAAATCACACACTTATATTTGACATTGATTTTTAAGAATTTTAAGAAGTATTCGAAGACTAGTTCAGAAATATTTCTCAACACATGTTCGGACCAGCTCTACTTTTACAGATCTCTTACCTTATAATACACGCCATTCAGGTTAGCAAAGAAGCACTGGTGGTACCACCATCCTCCATGGGAGATCTCAGCACAGATGTTGCCTGTATCAGGTGTACTGAAGCTCTGCTTGTCATGGTACCAGCTGAACGAGTCCTCCACTGTTCCACTAAACCCAGATACATGGAGGCGATATTGGTTCTCCTCATCCTCAATCCTGAAGGGATACAACTCAAGCATGTTTGCTGTGGTTTATCTTTCATGATATTGCAAGAAAAGGATTTTTAAGCCCTAGAAAGAATCTCCAAGTAGAAACAGATCATAGAAGAGAAATCCAGCTCTAAGATGCTTACCAGCTCATATCTTTGTCTGTCTAAAAAATTATTTTTCTCTTCAGAAGATAATGTATTTAGGAGGGGGAAGTAGAGGGAAGCTGAGTAAAGATCTGTCAGAGGAAAGCCTCACCTGAAACTTTGGTAGAGAGCATGTTTGTGTTTGCCATTCCAGTCTTCCAGGTTGATGCGTAAGCAGTAATCCCCCTGGCTAGAAATGTCATGAATGTGGTCATTCCCCAACCAGAATTCACCATTCAGGTCTCCAAAGCCATCTCTGTATTCTGTCCACTTGCGATTGAAATTAACCTTGCCGTCCTGTCGACGCTGGAACATGGTCCAGCCACCACCTAATAGTAATGAAGAAACTTCTTTAACAAGGCCGTATGGTTCTTACAATTGTGGGGAAAAGCATATTTTTTAAGATACTTTTTTATGAGTGCTGTTGTCATATTTTGGCCAATCACAATCATAAAGCTCTCCATCATTGTTGAATGTGTGCAGTACAGTCTTATTAACCAATCCCAAGCTCCATCTTGTTTTCTCATCCCTCTAATCAATGCTTAGCAACAGTTGCTATCTGCCATTGCCTAAGCTTTCACTTCTTTATCAGCACACCAGTGTTTGCATTCAAAGCTCCAGCTGCAAACAAAAGATGTACCTGGGGGGCCTGTGAAAGTGAGATCCTGTCCCTGATTGAGAAGAGTATGTCATTTTCTACACATTTACAAAGACAGTTTAAAAAAAAACATTGTGCCTCATTCACCAACCGTTCTTAAGAAGAAAATTCTTCTTAAAACCCACTTATCCAGTTTTCACAAAGATTCTGACATTCACCAATATTTTCTCATTGGGATTTCTTTAGGCACATTCTTTATAGTGGTGAGTGCTGCATTATTGGTTGTGTTTTTGTGAATCTGCTATTCTAGGCGCAGCACAGCATTGGGGGAGTAGGGGGTTAAGTGCCTTGCCCAAAGGCACAACCAGATATACCTAGTCAGTCGTGGGATTTGAACCCACAACCTTCCGGTTGATGGCTCACTTCTCCTACCACTAGGCTATAGCCTGATATTATGATGATGTGGGATATGTGTTTGAGGAAGGCCCTTTCCTGTTTCACCATGGCAGCGTGCCTCTGCAGAAAGCAGACTCCATAAAGAAATGCTTTGCTAAGTTTGGTGTGGAATTTGACTGGAAATTGACTGGCCCGCTAAGATCCCTGACTTCAACCCCATCTAACAACTTTCGGGTAATATGGAATGCGAACTGTGAGCCAGGCCTTATCACCTAATATCAGTGCCAAATATCACAAATGCTCTTGTGGCCTAATAGAAGCGAATCCCCACAGCCATGCCTTTTCAGAAGAGTGGAGGCTATTATGGCGGCAAACGGAGGGCCAACTTCATATTATTGCCCACAGGTTTGGATTGAGATGTTCAACATACACATATGGATGAGATGTTAACATGTGCACATATCAATATGCACTTGCGGTCGTACCACTCTGAGAACGCCCAATCTCATCTGATCTCAAGAAGCTAAACAGGGTCGGGCCTGATTAGTACCTGGATGGGAGACCGCTGGGAATGCTCACCCACTGCTGTAAGACTTGGCCTCTTTACGATTCACCCTGTCTTTCCTTACATAGTAGCTAAAGCCCTAAACAGCACCACTAAAATAGGAGAGGATTTTTTTTAATCTGTCTATTTTATCAAGCAGAATTCTCAGTATCTGGAAAACAGAACATGTAATTTCACTCCACAAAGGAGGTGATGCCTCAGATCTTAATACTTTAAGACCCGTCTCAAAATTGCCATGCTTAGCCAAAGTCTTAGAATTCTTAGTGAATGATCAACTTAAGACATTCTCCATAGAAACTACCTCCACTACTACCTATCTTGTTTTGTTACACAGCAGGTAAAAGTGGTCCAAATCCGATCTTTTTCTTTATATGTGATACAGATGTGTCATCTGTGTGGCAGTGTGAACAGCAAAAAACACATTGGATCTCACATTTTCAATTCCGATTTGCGACGCTTTCATAATGATATTCGATACGTATCCGATATGCAGCAATGCGACTGAACAGCCAGATCGGAATTCATGCAGCTTTTACGCCAATCCAACTTAACATTCGTCATAATTTTGCATTGCTGAGACCTCATAAACATTCTCCTCCGTGTTCGAAGAGATTTAGAAAGAAATGGCTGAATGCGACCGTATGAGTACAAGGCTGCAGCGTCAAAGAACAGTTAAAGGTCTGAAAGCAAAGTTTAAAGAATCCAAGGACACGGGCATAGTACAATCTCTGCTGCTACACTCAGTCGATCTTTTCAGTGTCATCAATAGAAAGAAACATTGTGCAGTTATTTTCATTGATCTCTGTAAAGACGATGATACAATTGGTTATTCCCTACTTTTAAAACGTCTACAAAATATTGGTTTTGACTGCAGTGCTACCAAGTAGATTTTAAATTATCTCTTTCCTAGACAGCAATGTGTAGGACAAGGCAAATCAGAGCTACTACCAGTAACTAAGGTGGTCCCTCAAGGTTTCATCCTCAGACCAGTATTATTTAATATGTATATAAATGGCATTGCCACTTCCATTGTTGATTGTAAACAGTACATTGTAAGTACATTTATATTCTAGCAACACCATTCTATACTGCTTGACTGACTATATTGGTGCTGCAGTGGAAAAATTGCAGTATTCTTTTAAAGCCCTACAATCAGCCTTTTACGATCATAAACTAGACTTAAATTTTGAGAAGTCAATGCTGTTTTCCAAAGCCAAAAAAATCACAACCCTGAAGGGTTCTGACATTGAAAGAATAATAAGTACAAATACCTTGGCAAATGGCTAGACAACAAATGCACTGAAATACCTTCTGAACAAGCTTACACGTAAACTGAGGCAGAAACTTGGCTTTCTGTATCAAAACAAAGTATGTTTTCCAATGTACACATGGAAAAAGATTGTTGCAGCAAAGTTATTATCTACTCCAGGTTATACCACTCTCATTTAAGATTCATTTTTAGTGACAACTAAAATACCCATCACTGTATACTGTATGCCAAGTTTGGCTGGTCATCTCTGGCTGTGCATCAGAAGACACACTGGCTTCTTTTTATCTGTAAAGCGCTTACTGGCCATATGCCATCATACATCACGAAAAATTCTCAGTGTAAATAATGCAATTTATCAGACTTGTTCCAGTGATTGGATCACTCTTCAGGTGCCAAGAGTTTTTACTGAACTGGAAAAATCTGCTTTTAGCTACAGTGCACCAGTGAGCTGGAATTCATGACAGGAATCTCTAAAATTCTGGTCACTGGTGTCACATGAACATTTTTAGCTCTTAGTCTCTAACCACCTGCACTCGGCCTGCCACTGTTTTATTTGATTTTTAGTTAACTTTTAATATGATAGTGGTATGTTTTCATTATTGTTTTACATTTATTATTCTATTTATTTATTTTGTGAAATATGTTGTTTTTGTTGTTTTGTTACAATTTGACCTGTGCAGGGTGTTTCCTGCCTTCTGCCCATTGAGTGCTCAGATAAGCTCCAGTACCCCCCACAACCCAGGAGGATAAGCGGTTTAGATGTGTGCATGTGTGTGTATTACTATTTTATCCCTATTTGATCTGTCATTTATTTTACATGATTTCTGAATTCTGTTTTGGTTTGGCTACATTGTAAATGAGGGTCACCCTCAGTGTACTCTGAGTTTAGATAAAGGTTGATTGATGGATTCATTGATTGATATACACTGTATGGCCAAAAGCATGTGGACACCTGACCATCACACTTATTTAAGTTGAGGGACATCCTGTTCCTATAAAGGAGGCAAGGCAGCAGATCTGGGTAACTACAGACCTCAGATCTCAGAAACCATCATGTTTATCTAAAATTTTTAAATCTTTAGTGAATAGCCAACTCAAATAATTTCTTTATGAGATTTTTGTGCTGTTTAACTTTCAGTCTGGCTTTACAGAATGACATAGCACCACCTCTGCGACCACACTGGTTCTAAATGATCTTCACTTGGCCTTATACATGAACAAGCAAGAAGCACTGTGCTGCCATTTTCATTGATTTAACATAAGCTTTCGACACTGTCAACCACAGCCTTCTTTTGGGATACTCATAAATGACGCAATGCAATGGGCCCAAAATGACCTCTCATACAAAAAACAGTGTGTGGCACTGGGTAACAATTAATCAGATTTAAATCAGATAAATCATTCATTCCTAGATTATTCCATTTCATAATAATAGCTCTTACAGTTGACTGGGGCAGATCTACCAGGGGAGAAATTTCACAAATTGACATGTGGCATCCTATAACAGTGCCATGTTTAAAGTCACTGAGCTCATCAGTATAACCTATCGCAAATGTTTGTTTATGGGGATTGCATGACTATGTGCTTGATTTTATACATCTTTTAGCAATGGGTGCGACTGAAACATCTGAACTCAGTAATTTAAAAAAATTAAAAAACAAGAATAATGAGGATTGTAGATGACATGATGATAGTAGCTGCCTTATAATAATTACCTAAAAATATAGCAGTTTAAATAATATAGAAGTTAATCTCATCATCATAATGACCATAAATGACCATGTTTAAAGAAATAGAAAATAGAATACCATCAGTCTCCATGTCACAGTAGACCTCAACAGGTGTTGATCCTAGTGAAGGTACAACAGTAAAAATCCCAGATCTGTGGACTCCATTGTAGTACAAGGAAGCACAGTCGATTGGGCAGTTTCGTATATGCTGAACCTCTGAAGAGATCAACACGAAATTATACCAAACAATAGTGCACAGCACTAAATACAAAATTAGTTAATACTTGGTCATATTAGCAAAGTATTGTAATGTAATAATAATGAGGAATAACAAGTATAGCAACAGCAACAGCTCCAATCCTTATAATCCTTATAACGCTGACAGTGCAAATCAATATTATGCAACGTCTTCCAGCATGGGTAAGTTTTATCAAATCTGCAGTGACATTTGACTAACATTACGTCTAGTCAGTGACAGTAATTGGTGAAAGGAATTTTCAAAACCAGGGTTTAACACAGACCTGGATGCAGGGTTTCTTGTGCATTGAGGAGTGGACTTGTGCGGACGATGTTGATCATGCAGCCAGGGTTGCGTCGAACACGCTCCACAGACATGGTGAGGTTTCGGATCTGTGTCTGCATGTCATAGATGAGAGAACCATGAATGTGCAACAGTGTGTTGGCTTCTTCATAGATTTGCTCCAAAGCATGGAATCGCTGTTCCAATGAAGAGTTCTGACTGTTCTTCTCTTCATTCTGTCAACAAACATTGATTGACATAATTTAACGCAAACAGGTTATGCTCTTCTATCAGTCAAATTTGGTTCTCAAATTGATGTTACAAAATCTCACAATCCTTAGACAGATCTATGTACACATCACAAGCACCTTCACCTCTTCCCCTCTGCCCCAATGTCCACTTCTACTCAAGTAGGCATTAAAACCATCTCAATTATTGAGGCCAATAAATTGGTGGGGGGAAACCCAGGTCAAATGAATGCAATGTACAAAAACAGAATGCAGTGATCAGGAAATTGTATTGTATGACCTGTATTAAACTGAAAACAGTACAAAAACACAATATTTGATGTTTTACCTATTTAACATTATTGTTTGCTGGAAATATATGCTTATTCCAAATTCAATGCCTGCAACACATTCCAAAAAAGCTGAGACAAGAGCATGTTTATGATGTTACATCACCTTTCCCTTTAACAACATTTAGAGTCTTTAGCTGAGCAGCCTATATGGCCTTTGTTGTTATATTTTGAGCTTAATAAGACACACAGTTTCTTTGGGATTCGGGTTTGGACTGCAAGCAGGCCAGTGTAGCACCCACACTCTCTGATTACGCAGCCATGGCATTGTAATGTGCAGAATAAAATAACTGTGAACATCCCTGAATAAGACAGCGTCTAAAAGGCAGCATATGTTGCTCCAACATGTGTCCAGCGTTAGTGGTGCTTTCACAGATGTCCAAGTTACCTAGTAATACACCTACATACCATGACAGACCCCAACTTTTGAACTTTACGCTGGTACAGTCTGGGTGGCCCTTTACTTCTTTGGCCTGGAGAACACGACATGCATTATGTCCATTTATAACATGAAAGATTTACTCATCAGAACACGTTTCCACTGTGCTTCGGTCCATTTTAGACAAGCTCAAGCCTAAAAAAGTCAGCAGCATTTCTGGATACTTTTGGCATATGACTTCCACTGTGCATAGTACAGTCTTAAATTGCATTTGTGGATGCAGTGATGGACAGTGTTTATTGACAATGTTTTTTTTTGTTTTTTTTTCGGAATTGGGTTTGAGCAACAAGTTTATATACACTGTGTTATTTATCACTTGGTGAAAATAAGCTCCCTCAACCAAAACAGTACAAAATGCTCCAATAACAACAGGGCCAGATGTGCACTTTTCTGGTTCTAGATAACTGGAATTGTTCAGTGATTTCTCTGTCAGACTTAAGAAACTCGTAAGATAAAATCAGCTGTGTGTAAGCAGGTAAATGATCACACTGTGCTGGACACAGGTGTGTATCACACCTGTAGATTAACATAATTTAACTTATTGTTTCTAAGGGAATAATATCAAACCAATGTGAATTTACAGTAGAAATGCTGCAGGTCCTTAAATACAGTGGATTCTGAAAGATACAGGACAAGATTTTGTCAAAGATGTTAAAATGTCAGAGTTTCAGTAATTGGCTGTTGTTGCAGACCATATTGGTAAAGTGTGTGATACTTGTCTCTAATATTGTAGTGTTTCAGGTGGATCTTCCATTTGTTGCGGTTTTGTTAGTGTTTGTTAATTACGTTTTATTTCTTTATTTACAGTTTTTTTTTCACGTTATAACTACCCCAAAAAATACATTTGAATTCATTTTACATGTCTTGTTTTTACCACCATGTTGGTTTTGTATTTCACTTAACTAGTTTATTACATTATGTCATAATTTTAAGATATTTGGTTGCTGCCATCTTTTTAGTCTTATTGACTGGTATAAATGTGTGTAACTGCTGTACTGTGATAATCAGTTTGTGGTATTAATAAACAGTACTACACTGAAAGATATCATGTTTGGTTGTTTTACCATGTAACAGTACATATAAAGGTTTAAACATTTTCTACTGGCAGCTAGCTAGATAGATTTATGGTGTTTGTCTATATCTTTACATGTTGTACTACGTAATGTGGTAAAATGAGGGTCCTCAGACAACTGTGGGTGCACAATAGAGCAAAAATGAGGTGTACATTACAAATACAGGGGTGAGGGGAATAAACTGTACAAACACAGTAATAAACTGCATTTAGAAATGTCAAGGCTTTGTGCCGAGAGCAGCAATGTCTACAGGCCATGTGGTTGTGGTGCAGGTCTCAACCTTAATCCAGTTATTGTTCAGGGTTAAGGAGGCATTAGTGGGGAAACACTGGTGTGTTTGTACTGCAAGCGGAGACTACACACTGTATCTCATGGAAAGCACATTTACTACTTCCCTCTAATGACAGTAGGTTCATGATAAACTATGTAGTATGTGTCCTCAGGTGTATATGTTAGGTACTATACTACTTTCTGTTCACTCAGATCTGTAGCATGCACAAATGTAAGCTTTTACCTTGGTGTCTGTTGAATGCTGAATGGCACACCCTGTAAAAAATAGCTTGTCAAATCAACATAATAATTTTTTCAGCTAAAAAATACATTGAAAGAATCGTTCATTCAAAGTATTTGTTTAGTTTGAATAAAACTGGTTCATTTACTTGTTATCATGTGAAGTAATATTTTTAGGTTGATCTGACGAGCCATTTTTTACAGTGCTTTAAGCTTTGAGAAATTGTGTGCCTGACACAATGTCACATGGAAAACACTCTGAGTGAAATCAGTTGTGTTGTGCTGCCTCACCTGTAACTCCAGAACTTTGATGCGGTGCCTGTGATTCCGTAGCTCTTCCTGAAGCTCTGAGATGGTCTCCTTCAGGTCTTGCATTTGCTGTTTACGCTCTTCATTCTCATGCAGCCAATACGACACCTCGTCTGTGCAGCGAAACATGTCAGGACACCTCTGCTCTTCTAGCTGTGGCAACGTGGCCATCAAGCGACACTGTCCATTGGGCATCACCTCGTTGCTATATTCGCCACACTGCATTAGGCCACTGCTGATGCGGTGTGTGTCAGTTCGGTGTGAGTCTGATTCATTTGAATCTGTTTTCTGAGTGTCTGTGCCATTATCACTGTGAGCTAGTGACTGAGTCCATGCTGCCAGGATTAAGGACTTAAACAGCAGAAATAGCTTCATTCTGCACTAGAGGGGAATTTCTCAAACAGAGGATAAAAGAGTAAGGACCTCATGAGGAACTTGAGTCACTTTGGGCATCTAGTGATACCATCACTTTGGCTGTTTTCAAATATACAGACTTGTCTACATATTATGCAGCTGATGGGCGTGACTGCCAGCTCTGTGTAAAGAAATGGTAAAAGTGTAAATTATTTAAGTTTTTTCCTGTGTTTAAAGCTATTTCTTTCTTTTTTATTGTTTACTCTCCTGTGCTATTCTAATGGACTTGTTATGTTCATTTTTGTCTGTGTGCTTTGTGAAATGCTTGCATATGTGGATCTTACAAATAAAATATGTTGCTATTATTATTTTTTCATTATTATTATTATTATTATTATTATCATTGACTCCTGTGTAAGAAACTGATTAGGAGGCATTCCTAAGGGTCATCCCATAATTCAGGACAGCCTACGTTTCCAGTTTAGTCTTACAATTATCAAGAAGTGAGCTTATAGCTAAAATCCAACCTAGTGGTCACCTGCTCGTATGTCCACCTTGGTCTAGGGTTAGGAAGGGTTCTCGAAAGAAATCAATCATTAATTCGGTTCACAAGCAAAGCAGACAATGGAATTATAGGTAGGTAGTTATTTTTATTTAGGCTATTATTTAAGACTATTATAATCATGAGACAGCATTATTTACCTATGGAAGATCAAATTTGGTTTGATAACACAACAGAATACTTAATTACTTAAGTGCTTAAAAACATAATTATTTAAGAAGTTAATGATCCTCCTGCCTTCATGTGTACTGACTCACACCAGCTGTTGAGAACACTTTCATTGTTCTACATTTGTCATTACTGCTGAAACATATACATGAGGACTGCTTTGAACATGTTTATGTAAACAAAAATCTAGCTTGTTCAGCCCACAATTACTTACAGTTCCTAGCTTTTCACTGTTCCTTAGTAAACTGCCAGTTACTATGAATAAAAAAATATATATTTACACTACAAATACATGCATAATGTATATACAAGGAATTGTAAAACAAGAAATTCACATCACATCATGTGTTATATCTGAGGCACCATATATATATTTAATATTATGCATTTTGATTGTATTTGTGTATGGCTTAAAATTCCACACAATAGATTTAATATTACAAGTTTTTGAATATATTTCTGCATGATTTTAAATGATTTACATTGAGTTTTCGTATGTATTACATATTTCCTGATTTATTATAATGATTTTGCCATGTACAGTACTGTGCAAAAGTTTTAGGCACCTAAGCACCTTATTTAAAACCTTTTATCTTGGTGATAAGTGTGTGTTTGCTTGTAAAATCACCATATACACCGATCAGGCATAACATTATGACCACCATTTCATCAGCTCCACTTACTATATAAGTGCACTTTGTAGTTCTACAATTACAGACTGTAGTCCATCTGTTTCTCTGCATACTTTGTTAGCCCCCTTTTAACATGTTCTTCAGTGGTTAGGACCCCCATGGACCCTCACAGAGCAGGTACTATTTGGGTGGTGGATCATTCTCAGCACTGCAGTAACACTGATGTGGTGGTGGTGTGTTAGTGTGTGTTGCGCTGGTCTGAGTGTATCAGACACAGCAGTGCTGCTGGAGTTTTTAAACACCTCATTGTCACTGCTGGACTGAGAATAGTCCACCAACCAAAAATACCCAGCCAACAGCATCGTGTGGGCAGCATCCTGTGACCACTGATGAAGGACTAGAGGATGACCAACACAAACTGTGCAGCAGCAGATGAGCTATCGTCTCTGACTTTACATCTACAAGGTGGACCGACAAGGTAGGAGTGTCTAATAGAGTGGACAGTGAGTGGACACAGTGTTTAAAAACTCCAGCAGCACTGCTGTGCCTGATCCACTCAGACCAGCACAACACACACTAGCACACCACCACCACGTCAGTGTCACTGCAGTGCTGAGAATGATCCACCACCCAAATAGTACCTGCTCTGTGAGGGTCCATGGGGGTCCTAACCACTGAAGAACAGGGTAAAATGGGGCTAACAAAGTATGCAGTAAAAGAAAGTGCACCTATATAGTAAGTGGAGCTGATAAAATGGACAATGAGCGTAGAAACAAGGAGGTGGTCATAATGTTATGCCTGATTGGTGTATCATTAGAATAAATGCAACTAAATGTTAGTTAATGTTAATTGTATTTGTTGTAATATTGGTGGTTTTCTGAGAAAATAAATACTAACTGACCAGTTAATGAACTTTTATTTAAAAGTATTGTTTGCACAGTATTGTATGATAACATTTTTTCAATAAAAGTTATTAATGTCTAGAATGAATGGTTCACAAAAACTAAAAATCTTAGCTTAGTAGTACTTAGTAGCAGTTTGAAATGAGTAACTCAACCAGACATTGCAACAGTCTCAGTACAATTAACACATTTACTTATATCATTATTTTTAACCATAAACATGTGTGTAAAATTTGCATCAATTCATTCATATATTCCACAATTACACGACAAACCTTCTTCCTAAATGTCAAGGAGGTGAACCAGCAGCTTTATGCTGCAATGACAACTCACTCTCTATCAGTATGTTTCATTATTAAAATAAAATGGTCTAAACACAAGTAAAAAAACACTGAATTAACGCTACCTGCTTTCCAGCCCGAGGAATCTCTTCATCAGTAGAGCAAAACAATGTAAGAAGAGAATACATTTCTCTCTCTGTTTCCCTAACAAAGTAAGCCTGCAGAGTAGGAGAGTGTTATTCAGGGGTGACAGTCATCTTATCCCCATAATCCTCTTTAATAGGATTCGTAGAACAGCACTTGTGCAGCAGGGAAAGTGGGCAGTGAATGGGAAATATAGGTTTATTGTCTTATTTTCCCACACTCTGCATTTAGATTTGTTATTAATTTCCTGTGTCTTCTACTTTTAATTACTGTAAAAGAAATTAAAGCTATTCAATTTTTACCATGTCCTGCTGCAGCAACACCTTACTCTTTCTTTCTGTCTTCATCTTTAACATTTATGCATTATTAATTTAGAATTTGGCTCTTGTTTAAAGTGTGGTGGCTCAAAAAGGCTTTCTCAACAAATCAGTGGTACGCAACTAGAACAAATCTGAATGTTTAGTGAAATATAAGCCTTGTATTTGTAGAAAATGTTCAAAGTGATTGCCCATGGAAGAAGCTGCATGCAGCTCTGTAGGCTGAATGAAAAGTTATGCACTCTGGATGTTTGTCTGGATTTTCTCTTATGGTTCATCACTAAAAGCTTTTCCACTTGATGGACCACTCAAACGTAGCATTTCTTAGGACTTTATGACAAAGCTCCCGATACGAGGAACATGAAAGACCAGCAAGGTCAGAGCTCCAATACAATCATGTTGTTTTTTATAAAGATGCTTCACTCAACGCTCACTGAGTCAGCCAGTAGCCTTGATTACTACAGGCTTATTAATACAGTTGGTGATCTCTAAAGTCGTTGATCTCAAGCTTCTTTTCTTTCTCTCTGTGTTCCCTTTTTCTCTCTTTTACATTGTGTAGATAGAGGTCATACACCTTCAGGGATCCACTAGCACGCTGAATAATCACAATTGTATAAACTGTTTGCACCATTCAAGACATTCAAGACACTATTATAGTTCATACCTTTACCATATGGCTTGAGGATGCCTATTGCATCATGCTCCACATAAATGGATAAATGCCAGTCACTTCTGAATTAAGTTCAATCACATGTAATAATAAAAGCACAGCAATTTAAGGCTGTATCGAAAGTATTTTAAATAAGTTCTATGTAAATGTTAGCACTAACTGACTGCAACACTGATGTAATTCCATCTGAAACTAAACTTCAGCTTAAATATGAAGATTTCCTTTTTCCAATCCATCCTTTTTTCAAATAACTAAGACCCAGATTTAGCACCTGTATGCTGTCAGCCAAACAAAATGACAGACGTCATTGACTGGATATGGAATTTCAACCTTTAATAATTCCAAGCCATGTAAACTGACACTGCTGCCCTTAACATATTACAAAACAGCATCTTGATTTTGTCAGTGACAGCTATCTGATAATCCTCACTTGTCCAGCCGTCAATGCCTGGTGACATTTCGATGTTAGCTGGTAATTTGTCATGCATTATTCTTCTGTAAGGTTCAGGATACGCTGGGTTTTCCTACTATGTTCCATCTTGAGAGCTAGAGAAGAAATTTCGTAGTATTTGTCCTTGAAAGGTGTGTCACTTAGGTGGGCGTATAAAAGAAGAGCAGAGCGATGGTTCAGACATCAGAAATATACAGACTCACACGTGGTCGGACGTCTGTGTGGAGTGGAAGAACCTGGGGAGGAACATTCACAGACACTTCATCATCTTTCTTTGCAACAGGTGAGTAATCTCAAATGCAGAGTTTCCACTTTTGTATGACAAATATTGTCCAACTGCGATGTCTCTGTTTTGTTTAATCATTTTTTGCTTTTTTCTTTTAAAGAAATCACAATTTTGGATTCGATCAGAATCAACACTTATTTTCTCACTTATTCTTTAAGCTCTTACTTCTTGCTTACATGTTACTATTCATATTACCGAAGTTGTTATACTCTCCTGCAGCTCCCCTGTGATGATTAGGGGATTGAGAATGATGTGTCCTGTGTGGCTGTTGGCTCTGGCTGTGCTGTGTGCAAGCAGTGCAGAGGTGAAAGCTCAATGCTGGGAGAACACTCACTGCAGAGACCTCAGCTCTGAACAAAACATCCTGGTGAGTCTCTGCTTCTGCTGATGATTCTTTCCACCACTAGAGTAGCCACCACAAACTTTCAAAGAATATTTGTACAATAGTTAAATGGTTATAAAAAGTTGCTTTATTGTTCATTTAATACATAAACATTGTTAGCTTATTTTCAATAAGTGTAACTATACACATAATATATGCTATATGTTTGTAACCTGTAACTGCAGAACTTATATACCCTACTAAAAATTAAGAAAATGAATGTCACACTTATCATGGAAATCAAGACCTTTCCCAACAATACAGCCAAAAAAATGTATATTTCTTTGCAGCGTTTCTGTAACAGGACTACATACACATAACTTAAGTTTACAATTATTATGACTTAAATAAGATACTGATAAGGTTTTATTTTTAAGATTTGGTTCCTTTCAAGGTTTCGTGCCCTTTATCTTTTCACTTCCATGCTTGGCTTGTTTGCTAGGAGCCTGGATCTGGACTTCTGTAAAATGACTTTGTAACAGTGTCTTTTGTAAAAAAAAACACTAAACAAATATATTTAAATTTGAATTTAATAATGCAAAATAACATTTTCGCCAATAAAGGACACATATATCAACAAATTAATACAAAAAAGATACAAGATTAACTTTTACAACAGTGATAATTTTCCAATATTTGTGCATGTATTGTTTAAAAATGTATAGTGGGGCAAAAAAGATGCCATAGTTTTAGAATGTCTCTGCCAGTCTTCACTGAAAGTAAACCCACAAAAATAAGGATTGTTAAATGGTTCTTGACTTGGATGTGCAGTCAAGTGAGGTTTTTCTATGGTATTATTTCAAAGAACACATTTGTATTATATTTTTGTGTGCATCTCTAAATCTGTTCGTTTGTTTGTTTTGTTGTTTTGTGTTGTTTCTGGGAAACGTTAAACTATGCTAATTCTGTTAGTGTCAGACATGTAAAAACTGACTGCCAAGACATGTTCTACAAGAAACTTGCTGGATTATAGATTATAGATTTATTAGTTTATTGTACTGAGTTACTGTGCTTTCTCCCCAGGACTGCATCAATTTGTGCAAGTCTGATCTGACAGCAGAGTCTCCTCTTTATCCTGGAGATGGCCACCTCCAGCCTTTACTGAACCCCGAACCCAATGAGGTCCCTGCTGCACTGCCCGCTGTCGCCTTCTCGCCCACCCAAGAGGAAGAAGCTCCAGAGTTAGGCCCACTGCATGAAGACAAACGTTCCTACTCAATGGAACACTTCCGCTGGGGTAAGCCTGTTGGCCGCAAGCGCCGGCCCATCAAGGTCTACACCAATGGGGTGGAGGAGGAGTCAGCAGAAGCACTGCCAGCCGAGATGAGGCGTGAGTTGGTCACAAATGAGGCTGACTATCCTCTGGAGGACAGCTCCTTCAGCCAACAGGAGAAGAAAGATGGTTCCTACAAGATGAACCACTTCCGCTGGAGTGGCCCCCCAGCCAGCAAGCGCTATGGTGGCTTCATGAAGTCTTGGGACGAACGCAGTCAGAAGCCTCTGCTTACACTCTTCAAGAACGTCATCAATAAAGATGGACACCAGAAGAAAGATCACTAAGGGTACAGGAGAGGAACAATCACATTAAATGCGTTATATGAGAGAGAGAGAGAGAGAGAGAGAGAGAGAGAGAGAGAGAGAGAGAGAGAGAGAGAGAGTGAGAGAGAGAGAGAGGAAATAGTTTTTATTCACTGCAGATAACTTGCTTTTTTTCCCCTTAAATTCTTTGAAAAGTAGGCATATCAGACAGCAAAAGGTAGATTCAGAAGAAACTGGTGGGGCTTTGTCAACCAATAGCACTTCGTTCTTGTAGCCAGCAGTACATTTACAATGTAATCAACAATAAATACTTACTATTGTACATAGAAATGCTGTGGTGATTAAATGTTGGTCATAGCATTTTTAGGTGAAGCATTTTTATTTTATTTATGAACATGTACGATATTGTAAAATATGAAAATGCTGACCATAAAACAATTATATTTCAAGCACAAATCGACAATCTGATTCTTTGGAGTTGAAAAGATGCCAAAATATTTTACAATATTGACAATGTTTTTAACCACATGCCAGTTGCCAGTAAAATGCCAAACACACAAGCCAAGCCACTAATTTCATAAAATTAACATTTTAATTATTCATATATAGCCTTTACAACATGTATTTACATCAATATATTATACTCTTTAAGGAAACAAGTGTTCTCAAGAATTGTTTGGGACAGGTAATGCCTTTAACAGACAACATGGAACACAGCGAAATTACCCTTCACAGTGATTGAAATGCACTTCCAAATGCCCTGACAAATTAAGACAAAGACAAACAAGACTTTGGGCATGCAGCGATTGAAAAAGGCAAAAATAAAAGTGAACAAATACTTAGTTATACTGATATTTGTCTCATACATGCAAAACCACATTGGTCACCTCACATGTAAACAATTTGCAATATTTCGATTAACTTCACATTATACCCACCATGGACAAAATAGTGTCTGTGGGGAGAAATGTTCTGAATATTTTACTTTTTTAAAAACAATATTTTACAAAAGTAAGTCAATGTGCCACTTCAACAGAAAAGAAATTAATAATAATAATAATAATAATAATAATAATACCAAAAGACATTTAGGAATCATATGCCTTCAACATTTTGGCCAAACAGGTTACACTGACAGTGACAGGAACAGACTGACTGCCCCTTGGAAATTGACTGAACAACCAAAAATACAGTATACATATGTTTCACTATAGGAAAGCAAATTGTCATTTGGGTTAATAAGTGAGAGACATTAAAATTCACAAGTCACAAGTCAAAGTGGACAGTCATTAAACAGAGTGCATTTTGCAGCATACATACACACACAATGCTCAAGTTTGAATTCTGTATTGTGATCCAGGAAAGATAATCTACTATGTTGTAGTACCCTATACACAGTATGTGTACTGACACAGGAAAAAAAATAAAACAATATCAAGGCAAATACTGCACTGCAGGTGTAAAAGCACTAAGTAAGACTACTTTGACATGAATTTTGTTAAACTATGGTGCTAAATTACTTGGTGAACAGGGACGAAGGAAAAGTAATAGCCAGTTTCTGAGCTTATTTTCACACTGCTTTTCAACTTAGCAAAAACCAAAACTGTCATTGGTTACAGAAATAATATAATTTACACACATCCCCTTATTGTTTTTCTGTAGTTTTTGTCAGTATAGTAAAACTACCAGGTACAGTTGATGTCATGGTTCATGTTATCAGCTATCATTCTTTAATCAGTGTGGTTGATCAGAAACCACCAAACCACCAGAGTAACCAAAGAACACACATTTGTTTGGCCATTGGTTTGGCCTTAAGTCTTATTGCTTCTTAATACAAATTTTATTGCAGTGTGTAAAAAACATCGACATTTTAAATATGCATGAAAACATATGTGCCTGCCTACTCGCTGTAATGTGCCTTTTCATACAGTTCAAATAAAACTGACCCTTATTGACACATTGACAAATGTACCACACCTGTGGAAAAGACAAATTAAAACACACACATCTAACATATTACCACACAATAGTTGAATCTTCTTTAAGGCAGTCTCTTGTACAAATACCAACCAACAGCTTCTTCATTTGGTGTTCACGGCACAAGTAACTGCAGGCATACACACTAGAACTGCACTACTGTACCGCCACACCGTGTCTCTACCTGAGGGCAAACTACGAGCTGCCTGAGTCATTCCACATGATCATGGACACATTAACATTAATTTGAACATTTCAAAATTTTAAGAAATAATTACATTTATTATAAAAAAAAATTATCTATTTTGTTTGATGGGGTAGACATGTTGCTTGATGTACCCTGTCAAAGATGCAGAAAAAAACAACCAATTATCAATGCTAAATAAAAACAAAACCTATCAGCCTTTGAACGTACAGGCTTAAATGATTTCACTTAAAGTGCTAATCCATTATTTTCAAGGCTTAACATGGAGTGGATAGCAAAACTCATGGACACAAATAAAGTTTTACATATTTCTTAAAAATGTATGTATTCATATTTAACTACCATATTTTGTGATAATGTGAAAAGGTTACACATTTGGTTATGGCAAAGGTTTGATGGTAATAAATATTAACTTAAATATTTGAGACAGAACTTCAGTGGCTGTCAATGCAGACATGTAAAAATGCCTAAAACTATATATTTATATACAAATGTACATACAAATGGGACCTTTTTATGGAATGACTCAGCTACAGTCACTGCCCTCACTGAATTAGCAAAAGTAAGTGGTATTCTATTACATCAAGTAAATACAACAGCATAATGGAAATATCATCCACAAATCATCATCATCGTCATCATCATCATCATCCTAGCCTATTCTAGCTAGCCACTGAAGTGTCTGTTTCTCTTCTATCACAGTCAAGTGTATTGTCAATGGCTCTCAATGGATACTTATGAAAAAGTTTCAATGCAAGTCATTTCCATTGATTAGTGCATTTCTGTTTCCAGTGCAACCAAACACAGGCACATTCTGTCACATGGCTCGGGATTCATCTTCTTTCTTACTAAAAGCTTCAGGATACTGGACAAACATAACCACACTTGAACAAAAGTAGGCAAAATATATAATTCAGAATAAGAGTTTAGAAGACATCTTCGCCTGGGAAGGGAACACATGATAAAGATGATGAGTAGCGGCATGGGAAGATTTAGACGCAGCTTCAGTACACACAGAGGTCAGGGAACTTCATCTCGTAGACTGGTACAGAGCGACTCTGTCCATGCCCATTCCCGACAGAACCGGATGGACTAGGAGGAGGCCTATTTGTTTGAGCACGTGCACATGGGGGGGTGAAGAAGGAGAGAGGGAGAGGGGTCAATCACATGAAAAATACAATACAAGCTGTGTTCTTGAACTTTAATCACATTTTGTCCATTGTGCTCAAAGTTATATCAATTCAATTCAATTTTGTTTGTATAGCCTATTTACAACAGACACCATTACATAGAAACTTTGTCAAAGTAAATGTCTGAAGGTGCATGGCACATGAGCGGAATGGGAACCTCTTTTTATTTGTATACCACTTTTTACAGTCAATGTCACCAATCTGGGCTCAAATCCCTAAGAGACTGAGGAAGAAACACTAAAAGGAACTTCAAAAGAAAGGGCAACCCATTCTCCTGTGGGCTGCACTAGATAGTGAAATTATGATAAAAGTAGTACAAGTTAAGAGTTACATTGGCGCTGAGGATGTTGCAGAAGAAAGATCCATGAGATAGGGCATGATGAAAAGGGAGCACACAGATTAAACAAGGTTATACCAGCTCTTCTAGTTGCATATGGAAGGAAAGATCTGCAGACAGTTAATCTGTAACCAGATTCAATGTGGTGTACAGGAGGAGTCTGAAACTGATGTTCTCTGTAAAACTTTATAGCTTTAAAGTTAAAGCTAACATGATGGTGAGTCTTGGAGGCACAGTGTGAGCTGATTAAAAGGGTGGAGGTGGTATATACTGAAAGAAGGACTGAGGGTCTTTACAGCATCATTGTGTCAACTTTATCCTGGGTGCCATTACTTTTGTACAAATTTAAGTGTGTCATATAGAAAAATGTGTAATTTCTCATAAAATGACTTCTCCAGACATATCATATTAACACATCCTGTGCAGGGAACTTAAACTGACATTTTTCTGCAAATTTTAATGCACAATTTCTATTTATTTGCTCATTTTAACATATTGGAAAAATGATATCATAAAATATAAATGTGAAATAACTTTTACACAGGCCACATTTTATGCTTTATTTTTCCCAATATCTTACATTCAGCAAACAAACAGTAACTGTATGTACATGTAAGTTATATATATACTAAAAGGTTCTGCTGTCACGTCTTGTACGAACTGACAGACTGAAATGGACTTCATTTCCCAAGCTCCATTGAGAGATCACGTGACTAGGAACTTCCCTTCGGAATCGGAGTCCGATGTGGACTCCATTACCCAAGAGACACATGGGGGTCATGTGACTCCTGACACATTCCCACACACCTGTCAGAGATCTCAGTCTCCTAAGTACTAACTGGAGCCACCTGTGTGCCTAAATCATGTGTTTAGCTAGAGCAGTATTTAAGCCCGGGCTTTAGCTAGTATCAGTGCGAGGTATTGCTTCCCTGAGAACATACTGAGTGTTATTTTGCATTGCATTGCATTGCATTGCATTGCATTGCATTGCATTGCATTGCATTGCATTGCATTGCATTGCATTGCATTGCTCTGTTTTTGACCTTTGCTTACTTTTTGACTCTGCCTTTTGCCTGTTCCCTTTTGTATTGCTGCCTGGTATTTTGGATCTGTGTTTTGACTATTTTTGCCTGCTTTTTTGACCTCGTCTTTTGTCTTGCCCTATTAAGATCACTTTTGTGATCTTTTTGCACTTCTTGGTTTTGACCCACGCCTGTGTTTTGACTACGTTTTTGCCTAGTGTTAGTAAAACCATTCTTGTCAGTTTTATCCGCACGCGTCTGGATTCTGCTGAATGGTTACATCTGCACTGACTGCATTTACTTGTATTAGTAATGTAGTGAACTTCCGATGTGTAAATAATTTCTATATTAATAAAATATATTACAGATTTTAATCTAGTTATTTCCAAAAGTAAACTGAAAGACAAAACAATTTTGATGTAATATTTTATTCATGTTTTTGCTCTCAAATAATGCACATTTGAATCAAGTAATTTAAATGTATAAATTTTTCTGTGTTTAAAGCACTGTGTCTTGCTATTGCACATCTGTTACATTACATACCTGATTGTTATTTCGAAGATTTGGTTGAGTTTACTCTGTAACAGTGAAGCCTACAAGAGATACCGGCAGATGGACACAATAACAGTTATTCAAAATAACTGCTTAAAATAAAGCAAAAAAACACACTTAGAAAATGACTGTGCTATACAAAAAAACTATATATATATATATATATAGTATAGCCTGTGCACTAACCCTGGCCCCACAGTGAGCCGCAATCTCCTCAAATGGAGCTGTCTGAAATCTCTCCACGACCTGCCTCCTGCGCTCCCTCTCCTGCTCCTCCAAACTCACACTGTCTGCTGCACACACACACACACATACGCATGATGCACAAAATGAATACAGGATGTACATAGTTCTCTAACATCTTACATGTGTGGCCCATTATTCTGTGTTATTTTATGTATTATTTACTTACCAATGGCTTGTTTGAGGGTTTCAAACGTGATCTGCTCTGCTGGAGATTTCTGTAAAGACAAAATCTAACATTAGACTAGACCATAATTAGACCTTGATCACTCTTTTATCTGTTAAAACTAGGGCTATCATGTTTTAACCCAAGCAGCCCTAATTTTAACAGATAAGACATATATGTTTTACATTAAAATAATCTCAAGTACTTTGAAAGTGTAGATGGAAAGTAAAGTCTCCTGTGAAATGTAATTGAGTAACTATTCAACTTAAATAATACTTGGGTAAAGGACAAATCTACCAAAATAATACTCAAGTATAGTAACAAAGTACAATTACTTAAGCATTTTCCACCCCTGCACACACACACAGAAAATTACAGGCCTGTGGCTCATCTGAGAGACTCTCTCTCACCTGTTCTTTCTCTGGACTGAGTCTGGACTCTACCTCCAGCTGCAGAGAGATGGTGTCCCCAATACTCTTTCTCTTTGACAGTCTGTCTTCATCTGAATCACAAGGAACAGGCAACACTCTCTTAGAAAATGATACTGTATAGTTTTAGTCTGACTTATCTAGTTACTGAAATTTCTCATTTCCAGATGGTCTAAAGAAAGCTTAGACAAATATGGCAGAATAACACATTCTTTTGCATGCCAACTATACATCACTTTATGGTAGTACACCAAACAAAATGAAAATAAGACTTTAATCCTGAGACTCATCTGAAGGACAAACCTGTGAGCTGTGGGATGTATAGAGTGGCCAGTCTTTCAGAGTTATAGCCGCTTCCACCCAGCGTCTCCGCTATCTTAGCCTGCGAGAACAGCACCTCTCCTTCCACCTTCTCCAACTTCTCTGGAAGCCTAAAAGACCAGAACTAAAATCATCTCACCTCCAAGCACATACAACAATACTGTTATGGCCGGGAAAATTTACATTTCACAAGATAAATGTGTATTTAAGTTTTAGAAGTCACAGTTAACACCAGCAATAAAAAAGCATGGTATAATTTTACTCACAGTTCATGTAAACAAGTAATGAAATTCTGTTGAAAGTGCAAATTGAAAACTTTCAGTCCATATAATGTTTGTGATTGTAGGTAGAAGAGAAGATATTTTATAATGACTTGATGCAAAGTTATTGCTTTGTTTTGTAGAAAGAAAAATCATCACATCTTTACATTTTTGTCAGGTTTTGACATTTCTTATGAACATAATAGCTATTTTAAGGGATTAACAGAGGTGTTTGTATTTGGCAGGAATATTTACTCTATGAGCCCAAAATCACCTGCCAGATCTTTAAGTGACAGATGGACTATCAAGCACAGATTAATGCTGTACAGCAGAGAATGTTACTCCAAACATCAAAGAGCAGGACTTCAGAGGGACTAAGGGTATTGACCTATATAAATTTCCTTCACACTGCAGTTTGTTAGCCTTTTGGGGAAGTGAGGAGTGTATGTAGGAAATAAAAAAGGCTCAAAGTGAAAAGTGTATTGAAAGAGTTAAAGAGCAGTTTTCGACTTCTCTTTTACTTTGGAGTCTCAACAAAGACATCCTCTGGCAACAGGAAAGGAAGCTCTTTCTGTCTTGCTTCAATCACCTGTGGAGAAATAAGAAAGATGACACATTCTCTTAGTTTGTCTCAGAAAATATTATTCTGTCCCTTTAACTCATTAAATGGCCAGGAACGTTCACTCCTCATTCATCAGGTCCTTTCATCAACTGGCTGAATAACTCAGTCAGTTTACACTGCTTTCCATATACATAATGAGCCTGGGAATTTAAGGGGTTAATATTGTACACCAAAGACAATTTTCAGTTAATGTAAGCTTTTATTTACATTATAAAAAAGTCAGGTCAACTTAAAATGATTAGGTAGCTGATTTCACAGCTTTTTTGAGATCTCAAAAAGCAATAAACATGTTGCCTATAAGCAGATCACTCCATCTGCAGGTTAGGACAGTTATAAATTCCCCTATCATATGGTGCCTTTGGGATGGGGTGGGGGTGAGTGCTTCCCATTCTCAGACTTCTGACCATGGACCGCTGTGGCTTCACCAAGATCTGAACTTTTTGTATGTAGAAATGTATGGGCTTTCATAACTCTAGAGTGGTGCAACTGTCTAACTGCATATTCATCAAAAAATTAGTTTGGACCGCCCTTGAAGCCTCAGCATTCTATGTTGAGATGTCTGAGAGTAAGCAGTGCTTACCCCTAGCCTAGGGGCACAGGGGTGACTTGACTGAGATGCAGAAATAAAAAATTAAGTTGGTAGTACATATAGTAGTATATATCATTGGATATAGTAGTAGTATATATACTGTCGGAGGAAAACCTTGTATCTACATTTTTGCCGTTTTTTAGTTTTTGAAATAATTTGAAAATGCCTGTTGCCCTTTACATTGTGTGTAAATTTCATGATGAAAGAAACGGCCCAAAATGACTTGGAAAAATGCCTGGTTCCATTGACTTACATTAAAAGTAGGTTTTTTTCCTTCTCCTGTAAAGTTACCATTTTGGAGGTTTTCTTCCGACAACAGCGATACAGTTCTGTGTTTACCCTGTTCTAATTTCTAATACTGAACATCAGAATCAGATTAAATTAGGCATATTAAATTGGAGACTCCAGACTTTTCTGTGTTGTGGCTCTCCAGGACTGAAGTCTGACACCAAACACTCAGACACTACAGCACAAACGCTGCCTTATTCGAGACACATTTCTGACTATGCTCACTCAGCTCAAACTCACCTCATGGACATGTTGACAGAAGGTGGGCACGGTGGTCAGTTGACTGATGAGGTTCAAATATGCAGCTGAAAGGGCGTGAATGGCACAACGATTATAGACTGGAAGAGACTCGTCAGTCAAAGCCAGGTCCTGAGAAGAGAATGCAGCAGTTCAAATACAGTGTGAAATCACTAACTGACCTTCTGGTTTGGGGATTTAATGAAATTGAATCAGCATTTCTTTTCTGGGATTCTTTATGCATATGCGCTCATTTATACTTATCTAAATACACAATGAATAAGGAGTAAATAAATATTAATACTTCATAAGACATTCTAAGAATGGTGTAAATCTCCAATGTTTTGTCACTGGCTAATAGTCAGTTTCTGATATTCTGAAAAAGAGTTCACATAATGAACACCAGCAGAAACCCTATAAAATTGTAAAAAAAAATCAGATTTCTCTAACAAATTGTATGTGGATAATGAGACCATTAATGGATAATGTTAAGCACTCATGCAATAACCTGTCTTGGAATATTAGGAGATTTCATAAAGATACAAAAATCCAAAAGCACCTGCAGTGCTAGAGCCAGTCGAATCAGGTCCACCACCACCTCCTCATTGGCCAGCTCTACACAGATCAGCCCCAGTAGCATGTAGAGAGACTCGAAGTGCCCCTGGCTGCTGTTCTCCTCTTTAGAGGCCAGGAAGATGTGGCGGTACAGCCTCTGAGCGTGCTTCTTCATGAAGAGATTGTCCTGCCGTGAGCACTTGTCCATTTTCAGCTTCAACACGGAGATGTCAGTTAGCACCCTGTAAACGAACAGACATGAATGAATGAATAAGTAATGCATAATGTTAGGAATTATTTAAATGTATCATATTAATAGCTATAGAACAAAATTAAATAAGTTATTAGTAAAAAAATGGATTCATAAAATTGCTTTCACATCACTGTAACAAATTCATCCTTTAAAACATTACCCTAAACTTCCATTCCTTGATGCAAAAATGCAAGCATTTTTTGGAACTTTGTCAATTTCAAAAGAAAAAACACTCCTAGACTCCTGCAACATATCTCGAATAAACTTGCCGACCTAAGAGAGGAGAACTTTAGCTGGTTGTCATGGCGATCGATGAGGCTGATGAGGATGTCAAGCACGAGTAGACGGATCTCAGCATCCTCCATCAGCGTAAACGACAGCAGAGGATCCAGGAATGAGCTTGGCAGAGCTGTCAGCATGTTTGTAGTCTGGAAACCTGCTGTCACCTGGGAACAAGAAGAAAAAGAGAGACAGGGAGAGAAAGAGAGAGAGACAGAGAGAATTGATCCCCTTGCTGTGCCAATCAAAAATAACTGTTGTCATTGTGGTTAGAATATCTGCATGACACAAATTATAATCTAGTGACAGCAATCAACATACCTGCAGCAGAGATTTCAGCAGCATAATCTGGATCATCCTGCTTCCCTCAAACCTAAAATGAAAAACGACTTTGTTAAATCAAGGCCTATCCCCTATGTTATACAGAAATTTGTCCCACTAGTCACACATGCAACAGAAAAAGCAAAAAGGAGGGAAAATGAAAAAAACATTTACAAATAACAAAAGCAAAGTTGTCAACTTAAAGTATTTCAATTGATAATATAAAAGTATCTTCTAATAATGCCACATCTTTTAAACAGAATCATTTAAATGGCACATTATTTTTGAAATGATGCAAATAATGACTGTAAATTTAACCATGTACCACATATACATATACATACACACACACACACACACACACACACACATATATATATACATATATATATATATAAACACACATGGGTGCTTGAAAGTTCTGCAAAAATTTTACCTAAAAGTTCATCAGACTTTCACAGAATTACTAATAGTAGATAAAGAGAACCAAATTAAGCAAAGGAGACAAAAATATTAGATGTTTCCAGTAACTGTTGATTAGTCCTGCACATTGGCTTGATGGAATTTTAGCCCATTCCTCTGTACAAAACAGCTCCATTGTTATGTTGGTGAGTTTCTTCCCATGAACTGCTTGCTTTAGGTCCCTCCACAAAATTTCTATAGGATTAAGGTAAGGACTTTGACTTGGCCATTCCAAAACATTAACTTTATTCCTCTTTAGCCATTCTTTGGTAGAATGACTTGTGTGCTTAGGGTTGTTGTCTAGCTGTGTGACCCACATCCAGACATTTTCCTTTACAATTTGCTGGTATAATTCAGAGCTCATTGCTCCATCAATATTGGTAAGCCGTCCTGGCCCAGACGCAGCAAAAACTGATGCCCAAGTGCAGGACAAATCAACAGTTACCAGAAACGTTTAGTTGCAGTTATTGCTGCAAAAGTGGGTCACACCAGATACTGAAAGCAAATAAATGACCAGGTCTAATATTTTTGTCTCATTTGTTTAATTTGCATCTCTTTGTCTCCAATAACGTTTTAGATCAAATTTATGCAGAAATATAGAAAATTCTAAAGGGCATATATATATATATATATATATATATATAATATATATATATATATATATAATATATATATATATATACACACACACACACACACATTTTATGAAGTTAACTATTTCAAACTTTATCTGCAAATGTTAATGCATGGTTACTTTAAAAAATAGTAATTGTGGCATGTCTAAAGTTTGGACTCCAGTTGTAAAGTGTCAGACCTTACTTATCATTAGGCCTTAATTGACTCATGAGTAGGAAAAGGTCAACAACTGTCATTAGAAACTGTCAGCTAATGGCAGATATACTGTTCTATGTTCTGCTTTGCACAAATATTATCTGCATGGAAAGGCCATCAGAAGGATGATCACAAAAGTCAACATATGAAAAAAGTGCTGTAGTCTGAAGTAACAAAGGATCTCTTTGCTCACAATTACCAAAGGCATGTCTGGAGAAAAAAAGAAGCAGTATTTGATTAAAAGAACACCTTGCCAACTGTTAAACATGGGGGTGGATCTATAATGTTTTGGGAATTTGCGATAATCAGTGGTACAAGAGACATTGCATAGGTTGATGGAAGAATGAATTTCAATAAATATTAGCAAATTCTGAAAGCAAATGTGACACAGCCAGTCAAGAACCTGAGCTGAAAAGAGACTGGACTCTGCAACAGGAAGGTTATTCAAAACATACCTCAAAATCCACTCTGACCAACTTCAAAATCCGCCCTGACCTACTTTGGAATGACCTGTCAAAGTCCCTTGACTTAAATATTATTGAAAATATGTGGGTAGATTTTAAACATGCTGTGCATGCATGATAGCTCAAGAATATTGCAGAGCTAAAAGCGTTCTGCAGAAGGAGTGGCTGAAAATTCCTAAAGTTCCTGAAAGAATAGAAAGACTTCTAATTGTCTACAAAAAGTGTTTGCAAGTGGTGATCAGCCAAAGGGATTGTTACTAAATCCTGACCTAGAGTGTCCAAACTTCTGTTTTGCATAAAACATAAGGTAACTGTGCATTAACATTTGCATTACATTATTTTTATATAGTCTGCTTCAGAGGTTGTATTTCTCTTCATACCAGTAGGCTGTTTTTCTTTTCATACAAATTTGAAAATGCTAATTAAATAGTGTATTTACTATTGCAATTTCCATGTGAGAGTACATTATTTAAGACATAGTTCAAATTCAAATGCAAAATGTGCATTTGCGTTTGGATTTGTTTGTATAATGGTAGGAAAAACAACAAGGTGCTTCTGACATTTCATTTTCATTGTCTTAATGGTATGACTCTGAATAACAATACCCAATGTGCAATTGCATCTCCTCATCGTTGCGCTCCTCCTCTGACAAAATGAAAATGTATTTGCAACCGTTTGCAATTGCATCTTCACTTCAACAAGGTGTCTCGTTAGTCAAACACTGTGGGTGGGGCGTCGGGAGGATAAACCTGTCCAAAGTGATTTCCTGTTGCTTTGTGTGGAAGTTATTCTTGATTAAGCACAAGCACCAAAGTTAGCGACATTTGTGACTGTCGGGCAATGGCAAACAGGATTGCAAATACATTTTAATTCTGGAAGAGCTGGAGCCGGATGATGAGGAAATGCAATTGCAAATGGGTGATTGATATTCCGTTTTTAATATGTCATACCATAAAGACAATGAAAATAAATATCAAAAGCACGTTGCTTTTCAGTATTTACTTTTTCAGCCATTACACACAGAAATGCAAATGCACATTTTGCATTTTAAATAATGCACACTCACATGGGAAATGCAACTGTAAATACACAATCTAACTAGCATTTTCAAATTTGCATTTTGCAAATTACTGGCATCCCTGGTAAAGATGAATAAAAAGGGTTATATGAAATTCACCTGTTGGTAAATTAGCTTAATGTTACACTGAAAAATGAGACAAATCTGACCTTTAATTAAAGTAAATTTATTCTGAGAAAAAAAAATCTCTCATCAAGAAATAATTATTTTTAACAAAACTTTATGTGCCACAATTATTTGCACCCCTACATTTAGTACTTTGTACAACCTCACTTTGCCAATAAAATAGCACTTAGTCTTTTCCTATAACATCTTAAAAACTTGAAAAATACAGAGAGGATGTTTACCAGATCCTCCAGGGTCCCAGGTCCTTTCTTGTGCACTCTCCTCTTTCGCTCATCCCGCAGGTTTTCTATGGTGTTTAGATCTGGGGACTGAGATGGCCGTGGCAGAAGTTTGATTTTGTGTTCAATAAACCATTTTTGTGTTGATCTGGACATGTGTTATGAATCATTGCCCTGCTGAAAGATCCAATGACGACCTATTTTTAGTTTCTTGGCAGAGGCAGACAGATTTAGATTTAAAATGTCTTGGTATTTCATGGAGTCCATGATGCCTTGTACCCTAATGAGGATCCCAGAAGGAAAAACAGCCACACAACATCACAGACCCTCCACCAGGCTTAACAGTGGGCATCAGGTTCTTTTCAATGTAGTCATGCTTCTTTTTACACCAAACCCACCTTGAGTGTTTGTTGCCAAAAAGCTCAATTTTTGTTTCATCTGACCAAAGAACATGGTTTCAGTCAAAGTCCAGCAAACCTTTGTGGTTAGATGACAGGAAAGGCTTTTCCTGGCATTCCTTACAAATAATCGGTTGGCATGGAGGTGGCGTCTCATGGTAGTTTTGGAGACTTGGTGACCCCAAGAAGCTTTTCTTTTGTAATTCTCCAACAAGGATTCGTGGGGATTTTTTTTGTCTCTCTTTCCATCCTCCTCACAGTGCGTGAGGGCAAAATAAACTTGGGTCCTTGTCCAGGCAAGTTTGTCACAGTTCCAGTTGAACTTTTTAATTACTGCCCTAACTGTAGATATGGGCATTTTCAGACGAGTAACTGATTTTTATAGTAACTGAGTAACTGATATTTATAAATACTTTTTCATTTACATTTTGTTTCTAAGAATTTCTAGAGGTGCTAACATACGTGGCACATGTGGCTTTCTTAAAAATAATTATTTCTTGATGAGGGTTTTTTTTAATCTCAGAATAAATTTGTTTCAATTAAACGTTGGATTTTCCTCATTTCTTCAGTGTGAGATTCTAAATCATTAAATCACTAAAGATGAATCACTAAAGATGAATGTCTTTTAAACACTTTTCTACATGTAACTTTGATTACTTTTTACCAGATTTTTTTTTACTTTTTGCTTACCCTGTGTTGGCAGACCCTAGTGCAGGATACATCCCTGGCACAGGAATCTTGCCCATGATAAATAGCATGACCTCTGAGCGCTGATACGTGGGCAGAGTGTTGGCAAATGATCCTTCAGGCAAAGAGAACGAGCATAGGAACATGCACAGGGGGGCAGGTTAAAAAACAATGTGCTTATGTAGCCCACTCAAACTTTCAGCCAGACTCAAGGATCTTTTTGGAAATCTGTGTGAAAGCTATATCACAGGTGGTCACAATCACAAAACACACATCCATCCTCACCTATGGTCTTGATGACAGCTTCCTGGAGCTGCCTCTCCTCATGCACTTTGATGACCTTGCTTCCTGCACTGGAGCAGGACTCATAAGAGCCAGTGAGCTCGTAGTCTACACTGAGCCGAAGCTGCTTTAGGAGGGTGTTAAACACCTCTAGTACCGTCGGCCCTGCGGAGAACAAAAACCTCCACTAATAGCAGAAACAAACAAAATATATCCCATTCTAATAAACAGAGTCTACAAATATTGTCTATAATAATAATAATAATAATAAAAATTGTGCTAGCCATACTTTAGCAGGAAGTGAATTCCATCTCAGTAAATCAGTAATAACTGGATTAATAACTAAATAAATGAAAGAGGACTGAAGCTTTTATGTTCTGTGGCTTTGTTAGAAGGTTTATTAGTCCCTCTAGTGGCCTAACAGTGCAGAGTCAACCCAGACACACACCAATAGAGCCGCTGGCCTCTATGACTGCTGCTTCAGAGATCACCTCCACTATCCCAGCCCGCACTGTTGCTGAGTTCTTACTGTTGGCATCCAAATGACCAAGCAGCTGCTGGATGACCAGGTGTGAATGCTGAGACTATTAGGAAAAACCAGAGTAATGACTGATTGATTCACTTAAAATAATGATAGAAAACATTAGTTAGTACAACCTGATATGCATGTACAACCCGATTTCCAAAAAAGTTGGGACGCTGTGAAAAATGTAAATAAAAACAAAATGCAATGATGTGCAAATCATTTAAACCATATATTTCATTCAAAGCTTCAAAGACAACATATCAAATGTTGAAACTGAGAAATGTTACTGTTTTTTGAAAAATATATGCCCATTTTGAATTTGGGCATATAAAAAAAGTTGGGACGGGGGCAACAAAAGGCTGGTAAAGTTGTGTAATGCGTAAAAAAACACCTGGTGGTTAAATGGCAACAGGTCAATAACATGATTGGGTATAAAAACAGCATCCCAGAGAGGCTGAGCCTTTTAGAACTAAAGATGAGGAGGGGTTCACCACTCTGTGAAAGACTGTATGATCAAATAGTGCAACAAATCAAGAATAACATTTCTCAACGTAAAATAGCAAAGAACTTTTGTTTTTTATCATCTACAGTACAAAATAACATTAAAAGATTCAGAGAATCTGGAGAAATCTCTGTACGCAAGGGACAAGGCCAAAAACCAGTATTTGCTGGCAATGATCTCTGGGCCCTCAAGGGGCACTGCATTAAAAACAGACATGATTCTGTAGTGGAAATTACTGCACAGGCTCAGAAAAACTTCTGAAAAACAATGTCTATGAAAACAGTTCAGTGCTGCATCCACTAATGCTAATTAAAACTCAAAAAAGAAAGCATATATAAACAGGATCCAGGAATGCCGCCACCCTCTCTGGGCCTGAGCTCATTTAAAATGGACTGAGGGGAAGTGGAAAAGTGTCCTGTGGTCCGACAAATGAAAATTTGAATTTCTTTTCGGAAATCATGGACACTGTGTCCTCCGGGCTAAAAGACCATTCAGCTTGTTATCAGTGCACAGTTCAAAAGCCAGTATTCCTGATGGTATAGTGGTGCATTAGTGCACATGGCATGGGTGACGTGCACATCTATGAAGGCATCATTAATGCTGAATGATATATACTTGTTTTGGCAACATGTGCTGCCCTCCAGGCCACATCTTTTTCAGGGAAGGCCTTGCTTATTTCAGCAAGACAATGGCAAACCACATTCTGCATGTATTACAACAGCATGGCTCTGTATTAAAAGAGTCCAGCTGCTACACTGGCATGCCTGTAGTCCAGACCTGTCATCACTGAAAATATATGGCACATTATAAAATGAAAAATATGACAAAGGAAACTGTTGAGCAGCTGAAATCCTATGTTAAGCAAAAATGGAAAAACATTTCACTTTCATAACTACAGCAGTTGGTCTCCTCAGTTCCCAAATGCTTACGGAGTATTGTTAAAAAAAGAGGTGATGAAACACAGTGGTAAACATGCCCCCGTCCCAACTTTTTTGGAACGTGTTGTTGGCATCAAATTCAAAATGCATATATTTTTCAAAAAACAATAAAATTTCTCAGTTTCAACATTTGATTTGTTGTCTTTGTGCTATTTTTTAAATGATTTGCACATCATTGAATTTTGTTTTTATTTACATTTTGCACAGCGTCCCAACTTTTTTGGAAATAGGGATGTAAAATGTTTGTGACTAACATTTGCACACTAAATTGCATTGATTTGTGGGAAATGATGTCCAAAAGCAGTAGACATGATAACAGTGTCCTGAATCATTTATAACAGATAGGGAGAGCTGATCATGCGAGCTGATCATGCAAACTGTGACATCCTTCTCCACTCCTTGTTCCACTGTGTGTTCTGATGCTGGTTATCTGACACTCGTGCAAAAGAGTCTTAGCTGTAAATGCTACCTGAATAGAGTACATGATGATTTTGAAACAGCGCACAGCGAAGGTTTTTCCCTCCCACAGTGAATGATTATCAAGGTGCCTGGAAACATAAACAAGAGAATTAATGATTAGCCTTGACAAGCAGGAAATGGCAGCTAAAGCAGGTTACTGCACCCTTGCACAGCCATTATTGACACAAAATATTTCTCTCAAAAGCATACAGTACTTCACCTTACAACACTAACTTTGGGCCACCTCGTCCCTTTTGTTTGCACAAAAAAATTGAACGCAGTAAATTTTCATAAGTTTAACATGTATTTTTGTTTGTTTAGTTATTTTAATATAAACATCATTAATGTAAATATACTTAATGTATAGCTTATATTTTCTTTTAAATTTGAATATTTTAACCCAGAACATTACGTTTTTTTCCTTTATAAAGAATAACTAGTATTACTATTACTTACTACCAAGTAACTCGTATTAAATTATGACTCTTCCTAACATTCGTCAATAGGCTACTACTTCACATTTCAAATTTAATGAAAAAGACTTACTAATCGCAAACAGGCAAAAAATGGTCATGCACTCCATGCCACCCTCTTGTGGGAACATACTCACATAAGGACCGGTTTAACAGCATTTTTATGTTGCCATAGGCAGCACGACCAAGCAGCTCTCTGAAACACCTCTCAGTCAGCTCTACTGGACTCTCCTTTTCTTTCTCTGTCTCAGGAGAGGGTGATCTGAAAAAGCCAACACATTCACACACTTATCATCCTATTAGGCTATTCCTGGGAGTTGTATTTCAGGCCTACACTCATAATGAATCCCTTAGCTATAATTATTGCTCTGTGTCACTCTTCAGAGGCTTGTACACAGATGTCTATGAAGCTGCTCTGTGACGATGTCTTTTGTAAAATCTACTACAGAGATAAAATTAAATTAAACTGAATCTATTTCATGCATACAGAAAATTGGCTCACATACTGAGGCCATGACTGACTTTTCCCTGCCTGTATCCATTGACATCGTCAGTGTTCTAGAACAGTATTATCCTCTCCTGGTCCTTCAGGAGACTGCACTGCTCATTTTAGTGTTTGGCCTCTTCTAATGCAGTTGACTTCAGCCCTATTGATGGACTGGTTTTACCTGGGGAAAACTTAACTTATAATTTAACTGATTACTTACAAGATCTCTGATTTTACTCCAGTACAAGTCTCCAGTGTCCGTAGTTTTCACAAGTCTGACAGGTAATAATTCTAAAGCAAGGCTGTCATGACTGATTGATTAATTAAACTTAATAACTCAATTTAAAAAAAATCTTTTGAATCTGATGATGATGATATCATTGCATGATGATAATGCATATTTTAAATTCTCCTGCTGATCTCTCTTACAGAGCCTTATGCACAAACTCATATATGCATTTTTAAAAATTAATTACATCTTTTTGAAGACTTCCTCATCCCGGACTGGGAAAAACTATCCTAGAACAAGGTAAGTAGAATTCAGTGAATAAAAGCTCCTCTTAGTAATTCCACTCTTTTTAACAAATAGATGACCTTGATGTGTCATCTGAGATTTTCAATCACTCGTCATTCTTACGATTTCTTTAGTCTTTCTCAATTCAGAATAAACCTGCTGAGAACTTTTCTCAAGAGCATACTAACCGGTATTCTGGAAGCTAAGAGGATGAATTCTGTACTGTGTCCTTTCCGCCTTAAAAGCACAACAGTTGTATTTCATTTATAAGCATTCCACTAGGAGCTCATTAGCTTAATCAAAGTCATAGTGAGACAGATTTATTAGCAAGTCATTTGGTAATTAACAAGTCAAACATTTGCTCCCAGGTTTTTTTTCCAGGTAAGAGCACATTTTGTTTGCTAAATAATTTTAAAAGTATTCGAATAAAATTAATATTTTTGTACAATCACCGTACACATCTCACTACAAATGAAAACATCAAATTTGGAGGGGTTAATTGTAACAGATGGAGAGGCCAGCTATAATATTTGCTAAAAAAGTCTCATAAATCAAAGCAAAACGCAATTATTTCAGTACAGTTCTATGTTGATGAGCTTTCCAATCTAATTCTTATATATACATACATACATACATACATACATCATCTAAACCGCTTATCCTTCTGGGTCGCGGTGGGGCGCTGGAGCCTATCCCAGCTGTCATTGGGCGGAAGGCAGGATACACCCTGGACAGGTCGCCAGTCCATCGCAGGGCAGACAGACAGACATACACAGTCACACACATTCACACCTAGGGGCAATTTTAGCACGTCCGATCAGCCTGACTGCATGTCTTTGGACTGTGGGAGGAAACCGGAGTACCCGGAGGAAACCCACGCAGACACGGGGAGAACATGCAAACTCCACACAGAAATGACCCTGGTCGCCCGGCCGGGAATCGAACCCAGGCCATTCTTGCTGTGAGGCGACAGCGCTACTCACTGCACCACCGTGCCGCCCTTCTTATATATATAATATATATAATCTATATATATATATATATGTGTGTGTGTGTGTGTGTGTGTGTGTGTGTGTGTGTGTGTGTGTGAGTGTTACCTCTCTGTAATCTCTTCCTGCTGTAGATTGAACAGTAATGATGGCACAATCTTGTCCATGTGCTGTGGATCCCAGATGTTTGCCTGTAACTCATCATTCACCGTCTTCCTCACCACACCCTGCAGACCTCTGATTCCTGCCATGCGAATCCTTACACACATGCACACAGACACACGCACACACATACAAGCAGAAGGTAGATTTAAAGGCTACCTTTGCATAGGCATATTTTTCATACTCTCCCATGCTGCATTTTATTTGTCAAATACGGTCTTATAAATTGCAACTGAAACATAAATTATCATATGAAGATTACTTCTCACTGTTATGTACTAAGGTATAATTGAATTTCACTGAATTCAGCATTGGTAGATTATTCAGTGATTAATATACTCAAAATATTCAGCATTCTATAGTATGGTATGGCCTGCCTTGGGAATAATGGGAAGAAGGACTGAGCAAAGGAATAATGACTAGAGGACAATTAGCACTTTGTGAATGACATCATTATGCTTATTCCATATTAAGGCTTATTATTCAGTAACCGCAGGGACCTCAATGCAAACTGGCTGAGCTATTCTTAGGTTATAGAAGTGTATAAAAAAACTTTGGGCCTGCCAGCAGGTCTTGGCCATTTAAGGGGTTAAATTGGGCATTCATAAATTATTGTATATGTTCTGAGGTTTTGGTGAAGTGCTTCTTTAACACCCACTTGGTGCGAATATCTGGATCTTCGTAACTGGAGTGGCACATCTCACTGAAGCGGGAAACAAAGAAGTCATAGCTCCGGTGGTAAGACGGCGTGTCCTCTTCAATATTGGCAAACTTCACAAACTTTACAAATAAAGAAACAAACCAAAATCATCTACCAAGCAGAAACATTTCATGATGTTACACAGGGCTGAATTCATTAGGCACACCAGTGTTGATCAGATTTTGAACATGCTCTGGAGCAGTGGAAACACATTGGTCTAGGACCCTTTGTTCCAGTGAAGGGAATTCTTAATGCTACAGCATACCAAGACAATTTTGGACAATTTTAAGCTTCCAACTTCGTGGGAACAGTTTGGGGAAGGCCTTTTTCCATTCCAGCATAACCGTGCCCATAAAGGCATGGTTGGGTGACTTTAGTGTGGAAGAACTTGACTGGCCTGCACAGAGCCCTGACCTCAACCCTATCAAACACCTTTGGGGTGAACTAGAACAGAGATTGCGATGCAGGCCCTCTCGTCCAACATTAGTGTCTGATCTCACCACACAAATGCTCTTCTGGATTAATGGGCAAAAATTTTCACAGTATAGACACAATATATGTTGAAACTGAGAAATGTTACTGTTCTTTTAAAAATATATGCCCATTTTAAAATTAATGCTAGCAACACTTTCCAAAAATGTTGTGACGGGGCAAAAAACACTGGTAAAGTTGTGTAATGCTAAAATGCTAAAAAAAAACACCTGCTGGATACTTGACTAGTTATTGCTTTGTATGACAAACACACAAACATGGAAAACAATGTCCACAACCACTCCTGTTCCCTTGACTTGTATCAAACACTCATAAAGGCATAAGACAGTGTATTTAGAGTTCAATGCATTCCAGAGGCCTGAGGGGGGATGTATACATAGAGTGTGTGCGAAGAATGAATGATAAGGAAACATACATACTGTAATGATAGAAATTAACAATAAAAAAAGTGCTGAATCACACGTGAAGTCCTCACATGTTTTTCTTAAAGTGTGTACAGTGCCTTTCATATTCATAGGAAATGCAGTTTTAATCACTGGCCCATCTGGCCTAGATCTGGGAAAAGTAATCTCTCTTTAATCTTTAAGCCCTTATATTCCAGTCCCCATGGATAAGCAACAGTGCCAGCTTTAACAGATGTGATCACGCTATATATACACCCTCAGACCAAAGCAATGTGGACATGAACTTACTTAGGCCAGCACAGCACAGTTTACATTTTGCTGAAAAATGAGCCACCTTTTTTGTTTCTTTATTTATACAACCCCATTTCCAAAACAGCTGGGATTCTGAATGCAGAATGTAAATAACAACAGAATGCAATGTTATGCAAATCATGTAAACCATATTTTTAAAGGAAAATACTACAAATACAACATATCAAACGTTGAAACTGAGAAATGTTATTGTTTTTAAAAAAATATATGCCCATTTTGAATCTGATGCCAAAAACACACTCCAAAAAAGTTGGGACGGGGGCATGTTTACCACTGTGTTTTATCACCTCTTGTTTTAACAACACTCTGTAAGTGTTTCGGAACTTACAATTGCTGTAGTGTTGAAAGTGATTCTTGTTTGACATAGGATTTAAGCTACTCATCAGTTTGGGGTCTCCTTTGTCGTATTTTTCATTTCATAATACGCCAAAAGTGTTCAGTGGGTGGCAGGTCTGGACTACAGGCAGGCCATTTTAGCACCAGGACTCTTTTAATACAGAGCAATGTTGTTGTAATACATGCAGAATGTGGTTTGGCATTGTCTTGCTGAAATAATCAAAGTCTTCCCTGAAAAAGACATTGTCTGGATGGCAGCATATGTTACCAAAACATATATATATCCTTCAGCATTAATGATGCCTTCACAGATGTGCACGTCACCCATACCATACTGCAACAAACGACTAATTTGATAGTCGAATAATCTATCGATTACTGAAACGAATAATTGATTATTCGGATTATGAATCACTACATTGCCAAATAACTTTCATGCAGCCTTTAGCTTTTAAATTCAGCTTAAAGTTGTTTTATGCATTTGCTAATGAACAATGAAGGCAATAACGATCAATAACATTCAAGAATTCACTGTTTAAATTAACCTTCTTGCTAATACAAAAGATAAAAAAATAAAACTCCAATATATTTTTCCTATCAAAAGTTAAAACCAAGGATCTGCAAAGTAGCAGCAATAAAATCAGTTTTTCTTTAATCAAGTAAATAAGAAAATCTATCTAAATTTAAATGTTACATTTAAAACGTGCAGTCTGTGCTCTGTGCTCTGCTGTCTGTCTACTGCTGCAACTAATTCTACAGTCACAGGTCTTTACTGAAATGAGGAAAGTCATCATCCCTCCGTGCTCCTGTGAGAGTCTTCATCTCCTCCAAGAGCAGATAGGTTACTCCTCACAGCAGAGAAGATGCGCTCTGACGGAGCGGAGGGGAAAGTGGTGTATGTTTGTGGCGAACTTGTTCTATTGGAACAGTTAAATTTGAACGATTTTGTGTAAACATTTCATTTCAACGGTAACCCTTTGTCCAGCTAGCTAAACTGTTAGCGAGTGGTGCTAAACGTTCGCGGAGAACAGAAAACTGTTTGCAGTCGCTCTCCTGTGTTCGCTGAATTTGACCACACCGGTGGCCTCGACGCTAAGATGACGATGTAGTGTTTAAAAGTGTAAACGTTATCTGGAAAGTGAACAGAGTCGCTGTGAATAACAGTTACTTGCTTCTCTGTTCCAGCTCCATTAATGATACCAGACAACAGCATTTCAGCTCATAACATGAATAAGGACGGAATTTAACATTAGCTAGCTCGCTAGCACAACTATCGCCGCGTCCCAAAACACACACTTCTGTACTTCACATACTAGACTAATGAGTGCACTTCTAATGGTATATGCGCTATTTTTGCACACTACTTAGTGTGCTAGTAAGCGGTTTGGGACGGGGCGTATCTTACCGAGGTGAGGCGATGTGTTACCTGTTTAGATGCTCCATCAAGGTGGATGTGCTCCGTCCCAGCTAAGGTCGGCTTACAAATAGCACATCTGACAACCTTTTTTTCTGAGTTTAGCTCCTGCACTTGTGAGAATTTTGTTCTTGAGGCTGACATCGCGCTGTTGTTAACTCTCCAGTGAGCGGTAATGTTAAAACGTTCCTAGTGAGCGCGAGAAAGACGCGTAATGACGTCACCAACTAATCGACTACTAAATTAGTTGGCAACTAATTTGGTCGTCGATTTTAGTCGAAGTCGAAGAATAGTTGCACCCCTACTGTGCACTGATAACAAGTTGAGTGGTCTTTAGCCCAAAGGACACAGTGTTTCAAATTTTGATTGGCCAGACCACAGGACACTTTTCCACTTCGCCTCAGTCCATTTTAAATGAGCTCGGGCCCAGAGAAGGTGGCAGCATTTCTGGATTCTGTTTATGTACGGTTTCTTCTTTGCGTTTTAGAGTTTTAACTTGCATTTATGGATGCAGTAATGAACTGTTTTCACAGACAGTGGTTTTCAGAAGTGTTCCTGAGCCCACGCAGCGATTTCCACTACAGAATCATGTCTGTTTTTAATGCATTGCTGCCTGAGGGCCCAAAGATCACGGCCAGCAAATACTGTTTTTTATTATGTACTGTAGATGATGAAAAGCAAAAGTTCTTTGCTATTTTATGTTTAGAAACGTTATTCTTGAATTGTTGCTCTATTTGATCCTGCAGCCTTTTACCAAATGGTGAACTCATCTTTATTTCTGAAAGACTCCTGAAAGACTTTATACCCAGTCATGTTACTGACCTATTGCCAATCAACCACCACGTGTTTTTTTTTTTAGCATTATAAAACTTTACCGGCATTTTGTCGCCCCCGTCTCAACTTTTTTTGCAATGTGCTGTTGGCATCAAATCCAAAATGGGCAAATATTTTTCAAAAACCAATAAAACTTGCTCAGTTTCAACATTTGATATGTTGTGTTTGTACTATTTTCAATTGAATATAGGGTTTAAATGATTTGCATATCATTGTATTTTGTTTTTTTCATTGTACCATTGTTTTTATTTACATTTTGCACAGCGTCCCAACTTTTTTGGACATGGAGTTGTACTTTGAGCATACTTCAAACATGGAAAAATAAAAGTGATGGGTCAATCATTGGAGAGCTGAGAGTGGTCCATCAGAGGGCTACACTGAGTGACCAATGCTTGTTATTACCAAGGTCTCAAGCCTTTGTAACAGATTTATGTTTTTCACTGTGAACTACACAGTGAAAAAGAACTACAGTCTATTGTGAATGATCCATCTTAAGACAAATTAGGTTAAGACAGATAAAATATGTAAAGACAGTTACTACAACTCCACAAGACATTTATTGAACCATTTTTTACTGAGGCAAAAAGGAGATCTTTCTACCTGTTAATCTACTTCACTTGGGATAATCAATAGTTGCTTGTCCTTCAGTATTGTGATTCCTCAATCCTGTTATTGCATCTATTTTGATGGGTAAAGAAGTTGTGTAACTAATTCAGAAATCTTAAAAAAAATTAAAATGTTATTTGTGTCACGAACTACCATTTTAAGCAAACAAGCCGACGAATAGCAATATACTACATGCTTTAGTCACCTTTTATTTATTCTGCATCCAACAATAAAACAGCATTGTACTCCTTTGATATAGTGATAAATACAGTTGCGTACAGAAAGTTCTAAATCCATATGCAGATACATTTCAGTATGTCCAATGTGGTAATCCAACTGTCATAACTACTCTAGACGCACATTACGGAACAAAGCCTCTACAAGGTCTCTAGAAGTATTTGCAATGATGCATTAGGTAAGACAAAGTTAACTTCATTACTTGAAGGGTGGTTCAGCAAAGGTTGTGGATCTTTTGATTGCTGTGTGTGTTTCCCAAAACAATGATGAATCCACAGCATCTGCAATGAACCACTGAGACTGAATTGGCCCATCCAGGATATCTTTCTCTTGATAACTAGATATCTTTCAATTGCTTTCTCTTCCTCTTTACCACGACTGTCTCTATTAGGTGTAATAGGACTAAATCTATCTCTGAACTAACCTTTATTTTCAGTTAGATCTGCCCTGTCTGCCCTGCCCTCACACATTTTACAAGAACTGCTGAAGAATCAACAGCAGCATTCAGGTGACAACCATGTCCACCTCAACAAACAATCCACACAGTAAACAGATTTCCCAAAAAGAAAAACAAAATGGATTTTCTACTGGTTATTAAAGACCTCCAAGCACAAACAGCATACCAAAAAGTAGGACTCACAGAATTGGTACCAAGGATTTGTAGGTTGGGTTTGTCGGCCTCCAGTAGTTTGCGCACCATGGTGAGGAAGCTTTCCACAAACAGGTTAATGCTCTGGCAGTGACAGGCCATCAGCAGTTGATCCAAAGCCTCCATTGCGATGCACACATACCTGAAAAGCACACAGGGTCAGACAGAGATTAAGCCTAGTCCTGGACTACATGTTCCTTCAGAATGCTCTGTAGCCCAGGTCTAGGCTAAAACTGTCTCCAAGAAATCAACCCATAACATTATTACTGCTTTACTCAGTAAAATGTTAAGTCATTGTGATAGGAACTATCAGGAATAAAACATAGAGTACAGCTTGCTTCTTGTTGTTAACAATAAATGAAAGCTATGAGATATCAGATGCAAATGACTGCATGCAAACATGTCCTCACAAGCGTCCATTCATTGTTTGCAACATTAACTTTTTCATTATGGATGCAAAGTATTCCTTTCAACTCAAATCTCAAATCTCTGTACATAAGCAAGACCATCAACATGCCAATATTTTTGCAATCAATTCTTGTATCTGGATGTGTGCAAATCGTTGCCTTTGGCATGTTCTGACTGCTTTTCATTTTCTCTGTTTTACCCGTATCTGTGGCGGGCAACATCTCTGGAGAGTCTCTCTGACAGATAGGCGCCGATGCGGTCCAGCTTCTCTGGGGCAGATAGGGCGTAAAAGGTGAGCTTCTCCATGTTAGCCTTCACCAAGCCGTCCTTCAGAGAGAGAAGGAGACAGACAGATAGAGAGGAGAGAGACGCTCAAATATGAATGAAGAAGCTCAGAGAGACAGTGGGTAACAAACACTCCACTTTTAATCCACAGGCTCCTAACAATACAAAAATGTGTGTAAGTTAAATATATCTCATTGGCTTTTGTAATAATTACTTTTATAATTATTGTTGTTGTTATTGTCATTAATATTGTTGGTATTGTGGATATTGTTGATTTTGTTGTGATATCACTACTATTTGCTATTAGTATTTGGCAATACTGCACTCGATATAGCCATACGAGTAAAAGCCATTTGATCTAAACTACAGACACAGAGAGACTCATACAGGCAAAGAGAAATACATTCTCTAATTACCTTAGATTACATGAGTCACAAGCCCCTAAACTATACATATAACATAAATCTTTAAGATATAAATTATAAATTCCCTTCTAATCTCAGTATAATGTAGGCTCTTGCTCTGTACAGAAGACAGATTAGTAAACATTTATGCCATTATACAATCCATATTGGTGCCAAAAATAGCAAAGATCAATGCAGCTACTGGAATATATGGGTGTACTGTGGCTTGTTGAATGAGAGGAAATTACATTTGCTGCCAGAGTCAAGCAGAATAACACATGTGAGTCAGGCTGAGGGCTAAATCTAATCAGCCAGGCAGTAGTTCTGACAGTCAACAGATATACACATTGCAACTAATCCACTTCACTACAACATAACACAATGCAGAGTTTCTTTAGCATGACAGCAGAAGAAGGCATGTACAAGAACATTATTGTGCAACGTGCTTTCATATAGGGCTGTCATGATTACTCAATTTATCTTGATTACCCAATTCTAAAAATTATCAATTAAAATTTACTTCCTCTAGGAAGAGGAAGTAATTCCATTTAAAAACAGGAAAAATCACATGATTTCCATGGGTTGAATGCAGTTTTGAATAATTGGTCACCAGTAAGAGCAATAGTGGCTGTGTGTTCCAACCAGTGACTGTATATATCACATTTACAGTCAATGGCTTAACTCCTTCACAGTTGGAGGCTCTCACTCTGATTCTCGTTCATACAGTTTGTGGATCCTCTTCAGAGTGGAGGCTCTCGAGGGGAACTGTATTGTTCCACTTTCCTGTTGGTTTTGTTAGTGTGATGCTCGTTGAAAGGTCTCTCACGAGCACTGTCCAGCATAGTTTGCCGTATATTGCTGACAGCTGTGTTTTGACTTTGTAAATGATGCTTCAGACTCACTCTATTTTGGTGATAAATTTAAGACACCCATCAATGGAATTTGCCATTTGAAAGCTGCACTACTGTGGATAGTTTGAACGCTCAAACTAGTCAAATACATTAATGATGTTTGCTTTTACGGCACTTCTCGCAGAATCTGCAATGATTAATTGGCAATTGGCATGAGGGTAATGAATATTTAAAATCCCCATACTGATCTCTCTAATATGAAGAAATGATAGGCACATCTATTTATATGCATTTTTAGCATTTTTATATTTGTCCATTTTTTTAATTGTGTAAAATCTTTTTAATAATATTTTTCAATAAAAATAAAATATTTCAGAATCTTTGAAAGGCTCTGCACGGTTTGGTATTGTTCAGTTAAATCCACTTCTACTGTTTGGCCTTTTTTTAAAAAAAGGGAATAAAAAAAACTGACTACTTGATTCTTGATTACACCAACATAATTGTTAGATTGTTAGATTAATTGTTAGAGACACAATTACTAAAATAATTGCTGATGACAGCTCTACTTGCATACAACACATTTTTGGTAAATGCTAGGCTCTGAGGAGCTGTGTCTTATTGAAGTGTTGATCAGCTCTTACCTCTGGGTCTTCTGGAAAGATGTTATCCACCAGCCTTTTGTATCGGGGTCTCAATGCCCCGCAGCACCCACATACACCTAAAACACAAAAGAGAAACTGACTTGGAGATGCATCCATCAGAAAGGTGGTCTTAACTACCAGTCAAAGAATTGCAGGTCTCTCACACAAACGCACACGCAGTCAAAAGGAACCTAATTTCCCATCAGCACGGAACAAGAAAAAAGTGCACTGTCATCTTCATGCTGTGGTTCTCCATTGATTGAAAGTTCGTGTAATTACACTGCATGTAGGGCTTATTTATTGAGCCAACACATTAAACGAATGAGATTGGAGCACTGCAATCTCGTAAGTGACTGGGTCAATTAGAAAAAAGGAATTAGTCCAGGTCCAGTCCAGTGTGCAGCTTTGGGTAAAAAAAAACCATTGTAAAAATCAATAAGTTTCAGGATTTATGAAGTCATCTCAATGTTTCAAATGAATCATTTTAGGATGACAGAGAATCCTTGTTCTGAAAAAATCATTCACATGAGTTCTAACATGACCAACAGCTTTTGTTGGAAAAAATATCCTTACAGTCCATGCTGTGCAAAAGGTGCAAGAATACACACACACAAACACACATAGACCTCACCCCTCCACCTGTCCCGATGAGTCAATAATGAACACCTTGGCAGGACCCCTGGGACGGAGGGAGTTGTTGATTCCATTACCATAGTGAGAGAGACTGTCACCACAGTTGAGAATAAACAAGCACGAAGCAGCCAGAGTGATGAAACAGCCTGCTTCACCCACACAAACCTGCCATTACTGCCTCAATAATAAATGTTGTGTCCTGCCACACGTGTCCTACGCAAGTCTGCCAGGACTGCTACACTGAATTGCCAATTTATTAGACATAACTATCTTGTACCTACACTTATTGGCCATTTTATCAGGTGCACCTACGCTATAGGCGCACTTCATGTAAGTATACAGTCGCTTACTGTAGCCCATCTGTTGTTGCATAATTTGTCAGGTAGGGAACTAGGACTAGATATATGGCTGGTGGACCATTTATAGGACAGCAGTGACAGGAACAGCATTACTGGAGTTTTAAATACTGTGTACACTTACTGTCCACTTTATTAGATACATCTACCTTATCGCTACACCTTGTACTTGTTCATTTAGAGACTACAGCTTTATTTCCATGCTCACTTTGTATTATTAGTCATTCTCTAGCCCTTAATCAGTGGTCAGTTTCAGAGTTCCATAGGACCACTATTTTCAGACTATTTTCAACTCAACAGTGGCAGCAACCTAGTCACGCTGTTGCGCTTGATACATGTCTAGTACCGCAACACACACTAACATGCCACTATCACGCTTGTGTCACTGCTGTGCTGAGAATGCTCCACCAACCAAATAATTTCTGTCAAAGGTGGTTCTATAGCGATCTCTTTCCCTTGATGGATGGGATAGATGGCAGCTGACAAGTTATGCAACATGCATCAGAAAAGCTACAGACAGTAGCTGTAAACCTGTGAAGTGCATCTACAGTAATGTGCAAAAGCCAGAGGCCACCTTTCATTTATTTCTAGTCAATACAGGCATTAAGTAGAAGTTATTCACTTTTAGGGGATTTTTCAGAGGTGATTAGATATTAGATAATCCACTTGCATCATGAAGGGGGAAGTCAAAGGAAAATAAGAAAATCAGAAGTTTCCAAAACTACAGTTCAAAAATTATTAAAAAATATTGACAAATTGGGACTCCTAATAACTGCGCAATACCTGGTAGACCACCAAATCTGTCACCATCAGATAAGCAGTACTTAAATGATTCATCCTTGAGAAATAAGAGAAAATCAATTTCCACTGTTTCAAATGTGAAAAAAATCCTCAAGGATCCATCCTTCCACTGTGAGAAAACAACTCAATGCTATGAGTCTGAATGGATGTGTAGCTGTCGAGAAGCTGTCACTGAGTAAAGGAAATAGACATAATCAAGAAAACATAAATTTGCACATCAAACAAAGGAGCTGCTGATGTTCTCAGAACAATGCACTTTAACACATGTATATGGTAGGTATACCTGATAAAATGGCCAGTGAGTATAGGTACAAGGTAGGCGTACTTAATAAACTGGCAATTCAGTGTATAGTACATACAGTGGAGGGAAAATAAGGGCAAGTGAAATTACAGCCATTACAAATCCCTTCCATTCACCTTTGGATCATTACCCTAAATACTCAACTCTGAGAGTCCTGATATCCCTCTGCTGTGTGTACCATTCACATAAAATGATGGTCAACTATATCCTATAATCTACTTCACTGAGATTCAGGCCAAGTTTAATGGGAAAATAAGTACTCTGCCATCAGAGAAATGGCACGTTCTTGTGAAGGTCAGTGTAACTGTGCCTGTAATGAGTCATAAATCTCTGGCTGCAAAGCTTCCTGCAGAGTTGAACTGCATGATTGGCAATTGGGCTTTGACTGGCAGGCCTGAGGGGGAGGAGGTATAAGGTGGGGGAGGTGAGTGTGAGTCACGGATTTGGCTGCCTGCGAGTGTTTTCAGGCAGCGCAGTGTGACACTCTCTACCCCTAAACTGCAAAGAGTCTGGGCAGAAGAACTGACAGCCCGATGACTTCCACCACCCACTCCTCCAGTGCAGCTTTAAAGTGCTCTCTCTCTCTCCCTTCAAGCTCTGTCTCCCCTCCCATTTTGTTCAGATGGAAGCAAAAAAAAAGTAAGCCAGTCACGATGCACTTGCAAAAATGTGCTGCAAAGCAAACGGCTGTTCATTTCCAAAGAGAAAAAATGAAGACATTGTTTTAAGTAATTTCAATAGGCTTTTTCCTGCAAAATTGTTAAAACAGTTTTAAAGACTATATTCTTAGTCCTTTCAAAACTATAGGTTACACAAAGATATATTTTTAACTGTGTAAAAGAAGTAAAATGTCTAAATAGGACTGAACAGAGCCATGACCCTAAACACTAAGATGTCAGTTTATTAAGCATCTACCTTGTACCTATGCTCTTTGCATTTTTTTCAGGTACACCTAACATATAGGAATACAGCAACTGGCAGTAGCCCATTTGTTGCTTCACAATTTGTCAGCCACCTTCAAACTTGTGTTCACCAACTGAAAAAGACCACCATAGGACCACTGCTGACATGACATTAAGTGTGTTTAAACATCCCAACAATGCAGCTACACCTCTTGCGCTCATACCAACGCAACACATACTTTTGGTGTCACTGCTGTGCTGAGAATGGTCCACCACCCAAACAATATTTAAGTGGGGCTATGGTGTTGATTGATGGATGGGGTAGAGGGTGGCTGACAAGTTTTGCAGGCTATAGTAAGTAATTGTACACCTACAAAGTGAACCTATATGGTAGGTGTACCTGATAAAATGGCCACTGAAGGTAGACACAGGGTAGGTGTAGGCCTGTCAAGATCATGAAATTTTAAGTGATGATTAATTGCCACATAATTGTGATTAACAAATTAAATGTATTTTTTGGAAGACAATTAAATTGTATTAAAGTTAGGTAGCTCCCAACTGAAGACAAAAACAGTTTGAGTTCAAACTAACAAACATTACTCACTGCTGCCTTTTAAATGTGTTATAGCACCAAGTCAGAAGTTAGAACTTTTGTTGTTTTCATAAGATCAATGATGTACATAAGATCAATGATGTACAATAAATGCATTTTCTGGCTTAATTTACATGTATTTGCTTCACCCAACTGATAAAAAATGCATATGATTAAATTCTACTTGTTGTGACATAAACATATGATTGTGAAAGCTAACAACTATGAAAAACAATTGTTTGGCCAGCTCAAACGACTGCAACTGGGTGATTATGTAATAATTGTGACAGGCTTAGGTACACGTAGCTTACAAACTAGACAAGAATAGTATTTGTTTTCAAGGTAAAATAGCTTGCAAGGTGGTCATTTATCCCTAAAAGTTCAATGGGCATATGTTTATACCCATGAACAGAGAGAAGTCCCATAGTCTTTAAACAGTATCCATCTACCTAAAAGAGTGGACAAAAAAACAAAAAGCCAGAGCTCTTACAACCTCCATAAAAGGAGCTATTTTCTGTCTCTTGAGCAAAGAAGTGTTAATTTATATGTTCGTTTTACTTTTGTTTTTGCAATGCCAACTTTCTGACATGACCATAAACCATACCTCCACAGCTTCCTTCCATTCCCCCCCCTTCATAATTCTCTTATCACTGTATATTCATTCCCATCATGGGCCTCATAGATCCTGGTGACACGTGGAACACCAAGAGCCCTGGGCAGAAATATCTTCAGGCAGTTTTATCACTTCAAAGCATTTTCTTACAAGCTGTTCTTTTTTGTTGCTCTACCTTGTCTAGAAATGCCTCAGTATGTACAACAAGGACTGGCCTGTAACATTGAACTGAATTAGACTAATCTGCTGAATTAGAATAATAAGCTATTGCTTACGAAATAGTTAACTGGTTTAAACAGGAGAATTGCACCATTCAGATCTGCTTAGCAATGCAATCTCATGAAGAATACATAATTAAGTCTGAGAAACCTAGTAGTAACACCAGCACAGACCTTGTCCTCATTTTCCAAAGGCACCATAATTCTAACAGCAAGTACTACTGACACAAGCCCAGTTCTATATGTTCAAATGCATGCACTGAACCCTCAGTCTGAATTTTTACATCCTCAGCTAAGCTTTGGGAATATCCATTTACACAGCATATGTGCACTGAGAGAGCCTACCAAACCTCCCAGTGTTTTAGCATATAGATAACATTTTACATATGTAGAACAGCTCTGGTAGTCTAGAGGACTATAGTTAATCCGTATAGCACCTGAATTGTTCACATGATCACTCCAAATGGTATATTGTGCTACAGTTAGCAGCTTTTGTTGTTAGCATACTGGATGTTGCAGAGCGAGGCTGCCAAAAGCTGTACCATGTAAAAATGGCTTATCTTCTGTTTCTTCACTCATTTCATAGGTCCAAACTGCCTCTGGAAGAAACATCAACACAAGAACTGTGTTTTGTGAGCACAATTACATGTGCATGCTTAACTATGTGGCAGCATGATGGATGAATGGTCTTAGTTCCAGGGAAGGTTAATTTTAATGCTACAACATACAAAGACATTTTAAACATAGCATGCTTCCAACTTTGTGGCAACAGTTTGGGTAAGGCACAAAGGCACGAAGCGAGGTCCATAAAGATATGGTTTGATGAGTCTGGTGTGGATGAACTATGGTGGCCTGCACAGAGCCCTGATCACTGAACACCTTTGGGATTAATTGGAACAGTGTTTGCAAGCTAGACCTTCTTTTCCAACATAAGTATTCAACCTCATCAATGCTTTTTGCTTTGCGCTGAATGGGCAGAAATTCCCACAGACGCACTCCAAAATCTTGTGGAAACCCTTCCAAGAAGAGTGGATGCTATTATAGCCACAAAGAAGTGGTCAACTCCAAATTAATGCCTGTGGTTTTGGAAAGGGGTGTCCAAAATCTCATATAGGTGTGATGATCAGGTGTCTACATACTTTTGGTCATCTAGTGTATTTCTGATGCACCTTTGATGCACCCTTAGTAATTTTATTTCGAAATGATGCCTGCACAGTTTATATTTTATTAACACTACAGTTTCAGGAAACCCTGTCTGCATTCCTACACATACAAACATATGCAAAGCTCTGAACACCTTTAGTCAAATTACATGTTTTGCTGATTTACTACACAATCCTCTACAGGGAACAAACTTAAATATGGCATTTTTATGAAACTTTTAGTGCATAATATCTTTTTATTTGAAAAGTTCAACTTTGGATAAAAATACTGGAACTCTTTCTGGCACATTTATTTTTACAAGAATAATGCAAAACTGTGCATATCTGCCATGCAAAAGAAAAACTGTAATAATGAATTTGAGGCATGCCTTAACTAATACTGATACAAAACACAGAATGAACAAAAAGAGTAAAAAAAAAAAACAGGTGTCCAGCCTTGTTACAGTATTGTTCAATTTTACTACAGCCATTGCATTACACAACAAGCTGTGCAAATCCCTGTGCAGAGGAGCTACTGCTGCCTGGAAAATCTATCTGTCAATGCCTTTAGGCCCTGCACTCCCAATACTCCCCACAAAACAGTCCCTCTCTCTTTCACCCACTTTATTGTTCCCTATTGCTCATGATGCAGTTGCTCCACTGTTTCTCTGACTTATTAGGGATTCTTGAAACAGTGGCTAAATTTAGCATGCTTGTCATCACAGATGCAACATGCCTCTGATTTAGTCCCAAAACAAGCAAAATATCAAAGCCACTCAAAGTGACACCAAGGGCCCTTGCAACAAACAGTGACAAAGCAGAAGAGAAGTAATAATCCAGTCTGCATAAGGTATGACAATCATGCATGAGTGCATGAGTCATTCTCTTCATCATCCACAATCATTCTTCAATCTTGAATTGGATATCTTGCTCATAGCTTTTAATGGCCTTCATTTCATCACCTTTCACAGAAAGAGCACCTTCTTTGATCAGATATAAAAGCACAAGATCATTTCTGATAATGGGGTGCTTGTGAGGAAGTACTGCATCAAACTGTAAATTTAGTCTGGACAACATGAGGATTCTCCATTGACAATTCTTTTTTAGTTCAGGACTAGATTTCATATTTGTCTAGACTACTGTCTCTTTTGTAATGTCCTGCTCCATTACCTGAATCACCTTCTGTAAGTTAGTTGCTTCATGGATAGATATAAAGTTTAAACTTAGGCCACAACCAACATATCAGTTGGCTGACCATATCAGTCATAATTGATATTCTGTAGCTTTATCAGTATCTTTGAAACTCCTATTGGTAAATCACCAATAATGAATCTGTTTTTTTTACATTGTGATAAACAGACACGTCTGATTGAGTAAAACCATTTATGTCTTTTTTAGTTTCTCCTGATTATTTGAGTTTGAGAACGATGACAGTTGATAACTAATACTCATGTCAGCAAATCACTCTTCAGTGAAAACTATTGATGTACGTCTACCAGTCTTTGACCATATTCAATTATATTGGCTGACATTAGTAATCATCAAACTTTTAGCTCATGGAATTCATAAAGTTTCATATTGGTCATGTCCTATTTGTCTAATGCATTTGAAAAAGAAACATATCCTTATACCTTATAGACATGTTAAATATGTTTCTATCAAATTGTTCTCTCTAAACGTAAACTCTCGCTTTGGGAATCAGAGCAGAGAAAAACGGCAATGAAGTTGCCATTTCCTCCCAAGGTGCAGAACAAGTTTTAATTACAGGAAAAATCTGGGCTAAGCATCAGAGATGATTTATAAATAAACTTCACTTCACATGTGGGACAACTGAGTCAGTCTCACATCTCGAAGGCATTTCCGCACAAAGCCATCAAAGTCTAAGACTGACAGCCTATAATGTCCTTCTGCATCCTGAGCTGGGAGAGAAGCTGTCCTGTCTACATCTGTTTAAAGGAGGTGATGCATGTATTTATGCTGCTGATAATATATTCATAAGAGTAGGATGGGCAATATGATGTATGGTATCATTATTGTTATAAATTATGTCACTCTACAGTATATCATGGGTATCGTTAGTACACTGAACAACTGCATGTTAAAACACAAAGACGGATTTAGACCAATAATAGACAACTTATACACAAAAACAACACTGTGCGGCACTGTTAATTGGGGTATAATAATGTATCATGACATTGTGATAAAATGTGATAATGTACATTGTGGAGAATGGACATTCTATTAATTATACCATCTAATGAAACTGCATTGCTTGAACATTAAAGTTTTCAAACGAGTAGCACGAATTAACAGCTCACTCCACCACTCCTCCCGCCTTTCAGTTCTAGTGTTATTATAATAATTTGTGCAACAACATGATTAGAGTCAGCATTTTTCTTCATTTAAATTTTGCTCAAATTACTGTGAGAATACCGAATCATGAACCCAGTATCGTGAATCAAATTTAATAGTTGGTGAGTCCGTTGTTACACCCGTAATAGAAACTGCACAAACTTAGATATTATTATATATATTATTAAGTTTTATTTTATTTATTTATTTGTACCAATTTTTGGACATTATTGTTGTTTCTGCTTAAATGCTGAAAGGTTAAAAACGCTAGAGCATTTTGTTTATTCCAACATCAGACAAAGAAGAAATATTATAATACATATTATATAATGTGAAAATACATCTACATGATTTTATTTTTTATTTTTTTGCAGTGTTGTCGACCCTTACATAAAATATCATAATGCTTTTAGTGGTTAACGCCAAAACACTGCATTCTCCTAGAGATCACAAGCCCAAATAGGTGCACATTCACTCATAGCACAAGTGAATATAATATTGAAGAGATGCTGCATGCAATCTGTTGCTGCAGCATCATCCTGTACTCATCCTGTCTCATCCATATATCATCCTGTGCGCCATCATCTCTTGTAAACGCACATGAACACTCACTGCACAAGCACAGCGGGAATGATACCTAGAGACACGCATACACACGCATACACACAAGCACATGCACACAGGCATAGCACACACACATAGATTAGTCCTTACCATACATCGATGGAAACACTGATGAAATTCCCTGTTCTCTGCCTCAAGCGTCTCTTTCTGTCTCCCTCTCTCTCTCCCTGTCTCTGTCACATAGCCAGACACACACATTAATGCACGCTCAGCCTCACACACGCTCACTCACGGCACATGTGACCAAGCTCCAATGACCTTGGATTTTCCCAACACTGCCACACAGCTCTCTCCCTCTCCCTCTCTCTCTTTCTCTCAGAGCTGGTTTCATACACAGCTGCACAAATACACACATACACACTTACACGCACACATACTGTACAGACACATACGTATATGCGCACCCTCCTCATTCACACCCCCTTCTCATCACTGAGAAACACACGCCCCCTGACCACTCAGGCGAAACAAAGAGAGAAAAAAGGGGGAGGGTATAAGTCAGAGTGAGAGTCTGACGCAGCCTGAGGAAAGACAGAGAGAGGCAAAAGACCACTGGTGCAGGCAAACATCAATCACGCAACCCACCCACTCCCCTTACCCGGTCCTATTCTCTACGTAAAAGCAAAGGGTTTTTTTTATTTTATCCTTCTTCTTAAATAAGAAGTATTTATCTTCAATCATGTATCATGTAGCCATAATAATCTCAAGACATTTTGGATTACAGTTGACAAGGGCTGTCATGATTACTCAATTAAACTCGATTTAATTTTATTAAAATGAGTCATCCTACCCAACTGAATCTTAAATAAACAGTGGTCTCCATGATCGTAATGAACATTTTAAATTATTCAGCTGGTCTCTCTTACTGTAAGTAATAAAGGTCATGAACATACTTATTTCTATGCATTTTTTGGTCACGTGTTTATATTTCTCCCTCAATGCTTTGTTAAGTTAAATTTGTTGTACTGCTGATAGATTTGAACAAAACACATTTGATTGCTGTGGGAATCGATGTAAAGTCTGAAATGAAATCTAAAGTGTTTGTGGTTGTTCTGGGTACACCTCTGTCTTCATTTGTTTGTTTTTCTTTTTTTTTCTTTTAAGAATTATTTAATTTGTTTGTCAATGTTCAAACCAGATATCTCCAATACCATACTACTATAACTACTGAATGCTATACAGAGTGTTGCATTTTTGCTTACATTATTAAACTAAAGTCAAATGTAATTTATTTTTCATCTAAACTTGCTATGTAACCGCAACCTAAATCCATTTTCGGAGCCCTTGTGGACGCTGGATTACTCAGAGTACTGTAGCAGAGGCTCAAGCGCCTGATCCTTAACATGTGAAATGGCTCAGAGATAATCTGCATACAGTTTTAGACTCATAAGTGAGAATTTTCATCCTGCAGCAGCCATCTCTAGTACAGCCAAATCTATTTTGCAAGACCTACATTATGTTTCAAATTATGCTTCAGAATATGTTGTATAATATCTTTTATTTGACATAATCTTTTAAAATGAATTCCATTTTAAAATAGAAACACTGAAAATTAGAAACCTTATATTTCAGAATATAACAGGATGTTAAGGAAAGAAAACTCTTTATGTTTTCTCACCACCCCAGACTTGATGGTCCAAGAGAGTGCTGCAGTCCAGTAAGAGGGCACGAGGACCTGGAAGACTTGGAAGACCTGTAAAACGTGGAAGACCTGGAAGACTAGGCAGACTTGGCAGGCTTGGAAAACTTGGAAGATTTGGAAAATTTGGAAAACTCTGCAGTGGCATCTTCACAGCTGTAGGGCTATCAGTATAACTAAAATCTATAAGACGTTTGGTGTTAATGCTCCTATAAGCAAGTCCCTTTTTCTGTAGGGAGAGTGTGAGCACACTAGTCAGACCAACAAAACTGTTAACTTTTATCCAATGTAGATCCAGCCCACTTCTGCATCTCCCCTATGGCCACCCCTCCCCACCTAGTCTGACTGGCCTTAATTACGAGCTGACAAGAAAGAGCACAGAAAATAGATTTAAAATGTGAATTAGGTATATTTAAAATGTACATGGTGTTATTTTATGTAATTCTATGTTATTTTATATAATTATATTTTATTTTATTTTATTTTTGTCGAATGTGTTGCGCCAATTGCAAACGACTCGTTTGCTGCTGTTGCTATAGGAACGCCTTTCCGCTTTATGGATAGGTTTGCCTCGATTAGTTTGAAGTGAGCCTTCGCTGTTATTTTACATTTCAAGCTTTTGCAGTTGTTTTATGAAATGTCCTCTCTAATCATATAAGTCTTTGAAACTGTGAACAGGAGATACTTCGTTTTAATGTTTTATGTTTCGTGTGTGTTGAATCTGCTGAGTCAAATCTTAGAACTAAAATATGCTAGGTAGCTCGCTAGTTATTTATATGTTGTAAGGCGCAGCTGGGAAGTCTTTTTGTTTTATTGTCGCTAAGAGAATACCAGTAAATAATCACGGTGTTAAGTATTATTTATGTTTTAAATCGTTGACTAATCAGTGACAAGAAAATGTAGTAGACGTCCATTAGCTAGGTTTAGCGAAATGCCTTCCATTGCTTTAGCTAGTTGTTACATGCTCTCGTTGCCCTTTACTATTTACAGCTAGCTAGGATATGTGTACATACATGTAGCCTGTGGCTATCTGTGTATTAATAGCTGACAGTAACCGTCCTAGCTGCTAGTCTTAATAGATTAATAGTTACACTGTTTTGCGGAAATGGATACAAATGTGCAGAAAAGAAGAGAGAATAAAAAGTCGCTGCGGGTTAAGGTTATCAGCCTTGGGAATGCAGAGGTTGGAAAGGTAGGTTAGGTGTCTGGTTGGTTAGCGGATGATGCTATCCAGCTGACTCTTGTTTGCTGCTACAAAAACTGATACAAGAAGATATATAATGTAAATATGTGTCTGTCTGACTTGTCTAGCTAGCTAAGTGTTCCTTTTCTTAAGTGACAGTTTCTCGTAACCTTTTTTAACAGCTTTTGAACATTTTCCCGGTTCCGCATATGAATCATAACATGATAATAACAAGTAACATTATTTGTGTACTTTTTTCTTTTAGAGTTGCATTATTAAACGGTACTGCGAGAAGCGATTTGTACCCAAGTATCTGGCCACAATCGGTATAGATTATGGGGTGACCAAGTAAGTAGTGTTTTTGTTGTTGTTGTTGTTTGTTTGTTTGTTGTTGTTTTTTTTTGTAGTATCTACTTGTATCTGAGAATGATGTCTTTCTTTAGATTTCCTATAGATAGGTTCTTACAGTTTTTAAAAGTTTTGACTGTTGCTCGCCAACAGTGGTAAACGTAACTTAATACTCCTGGGATCTGTTTAATTAAACAGAACAACATATTTTTTTGTTACTCTGATAACAAAAAATACTAATAATAAATTGTGAGGTTATAGTTTATTTTCACATTTAGCAAACCCACCGCATTGTTTGAGAAATGCTTGATTTTTGACTTTCTTTCCTTTCCTTTTTTTCTTTCAAGGGTTCAAGTGCGAGACAGAGAAATAAAAGTAAACATTTTTGACATGGCAGGACATCCGTTCTTCTATGAGGTATTGATGTGATTCTTCATTAAAAAAAATAAAGAACAACTCTAAAAATTGTTAGCTTAGTTCTTCCCACATGGTGGTCAATATCATGGTGTTCCAGCATGCATTGTCAAGATTATTGTAATGAACAGTAAACTGACTGGCCACAGAGGGGTAGCTTTGAGCTGTTGTTTCTGTGTCACTGAGAGCTTGTCAGACTTTGACATGCAATAGTGGATGTTCATTACTGAATTTAAGTCAAAACATAGCATTGCATAAATTGGATTTGATGCTGATTTCCTGAATTGAAACTCATTATGTCGTTGATGACTCTGAAACTGTTTATTAGTGTGCCATGCTACTTTTAGTAATGTTGTGTTGTGGTTCTCCAGGTGCGTAATGAGTTCTATAAAGACTCACAAGGGGTGATCCTGGTGTACGACGTGGGACTGAGAGAGAGCTTTGATGCCCTGGACAGCTGGCTCACAGAGATGAAGCAAGAGATGGGCTCACAAGCCAACATGGAAAGCATTATTTTTGTTGTGTGTGCGAACAAGGTCAGCTTCTTCTTTCCAACATATTCTGAATTTGTTTACATTTTATAGGCAATTGCTTCATATGCAGTTATATTGTTTGGTATCAAAGCGTCCACTTTGGCTTCCCAACCTGGATCCCAGAGTAGCCCTGCCCATCACATTTTAGTATTTTCTCTGATCCAGATTATTTGAGTAGAGTGGATTGGAGTGGTAGACATTTCCATTCCTCGCTCAAAGCGTTCTGTAATCACTTTGCTAAAGCTCTGCACCGAGTTTTCTATTTCCTACTCCTCACCCATGTGAGAAAATAAAACCTGCTCAATGTCTGCTCCATATGATTTATTCTCATGATATTTATTGTATGCCTTGAACGACAAGACACTCTAGACACTAGACTTGAAACAACAGCCAAATCACAAGCTAGAAAACGTCGGAGTACAGTGCACATGCTTTTAATGCAGTTTGCTTTACCATTTGCACAGCAAAATGGATGACACAAGACTAATTGTGTTCAATATCTGTAGCACTCTGTTGCTATGATGTGCGAGCTGTAGCAGTCACGCTGATGCATCACTTATGTCACGCAGAGGTAGTCAGTGTAGAGGGGAAAAAGGACTGTCGGGCTCATAGGATGAAGCAGTATTGGAGCGATTTCGGGGAGAGAAAGGACACAGACGCTTTCTGAAAAAAAAAAAAAGGTCTACACAGGAAAATCATGTCACTTCGCTCTCGCTCTGCACCGCTCATGTACTCTGTTCTGATCCAATTACTCAGCTTATTTACTAGCCTTTTCTGAGGTGAAATGAGTGTTTTAGAACTAGGGTTGAGAAACTATTCTTGAAGTTTTTTGTGTGGTGTAGATAGAGCGATCTAAAATGCAGCCACTCATTCTTGCAGGTTGATTTGACTAAAAGACGTGTGGTGGATGAGAGTGAAGGCAGACTGTGGGCAGAAAGCAGAGGTTTCCACTACTTTGAGACATCTGCTCAGAGTGGTGAAGGCATTAGTGAAATGTTTCAGGTTTGTATTCTCAAAATGTTTATATGAGTAATACAGATACCATTATGCTGTGTATGCACGTTAAGTTATACTTTGTTGCATCTCAAGCTTGAGTTGAAAAATGGGATGTTTAATAACCCTGTCAGCATTGTCTAAATTGAGCATAGTTGTTTCTGATGGACAAGAATGGTACAAAGCACAACATGCAGACTTTGGGCCTATACACAAATATCCACTGATTCCAAGCTCATGTTGCTAACAGTACATGATATTAGCAGGTTTAGTACTTTGTACTTCTAAAAGCTATTGACAGAGTGCATCTCTGTTAATAACTTCTGTTAACAACCATCTTTTAAATGCAAAAAATAATTTGCATGCTAGTTAACACTAAGTTATTAATGGATTTCTAAAACTTTGTGATCATTGTTCAACAGGCCTTTTTCTCCTCCATAACTGATATGTGTGAGAATGGAGGGAAGAAGCCTGCACCAGAGGTGAGCATAGGCTTCACCAAAGAGCAAGCTGACACCATTCGACGTATTCGCAACAGTAAAGACAGCTGGGACATGCTGGGAGTTAAGCCTGGGGCAACAAGGTAAGAAAGAGGGACTAAATGTTTTGTGACATTCAATAACACCATTATCTTAGGGCTTTTTTTGGATTTAAAATGTGAATTTTGAAGATGTGTTTACAGTCTTATGTAATTCCACATTTCCTATTACTTAATGAATGTTTGGAATCTGGGGTTTTGTACTGCACGCTATGTGCTGTTGTGCAATAGTAAGGCTATTTTCTCACTGACTGGCGGATTCAATGTGCCCCTAATAATCTACAGAAATAGATGAAGTTATTCTGTACTACAGACTAATCTCTATTACTGCAACCAAAACTGTACTAACTATATGTTAACCTTGCTAAATTTATCTTTGAATTTAACCAATTTTTGTTAAATAATTCAGTTGTTAGTGGTAAAGAATTATTTAAAGTAAGTAATAATAATCATAATCATAGTAGTAGCCTATATTAAGCGTATTTATTTATGTCCAACTTTAATTTATTGCTTTGACCTAGTCCTCTTTTACCTGACATACTCTCACTACAGATACCAAAGACAATTTTTGTTCTTTAGCTAGTTACCTTTCTTATACTGTCCCACCACTTTTACCTGCTTTGTGCTTTGTGTTTTTAGCTGTGTTCTGATGCAAAATGGCCTTAAAGACTACACTGTACTGTTTAGAATGTTTAGAATGACATCATGGAAAATGTCTGGTGCTGAAATCCATGGCATATGTTTTGAATAATTCTACTCTTAATACTAATTTTTTTCATAAATCTGCCAAAATGATACAGATCAAATTAAGTTAAATACCAAAAAGACGTAGAATTTTAATTAAGCTTGATACATTTTCAAATGTTTTTTAAAAGTGTGCACAGAGCTTGGCTGTCTAATGAAACTTGACATTGAGTTTCACATTTTAAAAGCATAATCACCAAAAGAGGCCTTCCCTCATTTTTGGATGTTACCAGAGGTATTTGCAGAAGGCTGTTATCTACAGATCTAAGGTCATGTGTTGGAACAAAACAGGGACATTCTGTTATGTAAGCAGGTGCTAGGCCATTAGAGCCGTAAAATTAATAGCAGAGCTTTAAAATCTATCCTAAAAGATACAGGTAGCTAGTGCAGTTCTTTCAAAACAGGGGTGGTTTTTGTTTTTGTTAGGATGCGTGCTGCTGCATTTTGTACGAGTTGTAGAAGATGGGTAGTTTTCTTAGGAAGCCCAGTAAAAAAAAAGACCATCACCGTCATCAACTGTGCTCAAACAAATGCATAAACAAGTTTCTGTGCATTCTGGGATGGAAAAGGTTGAATTTTAGCAATATTTCTCAAATGATGAAAAGCTACTTTAGTGACTGCATTTGTATGCAGGATAAAACAGAGCTTAGAATCTATTATATAATAAGATTAATTATATAATATAAGAATAAGATTACACAAAAATTTCATACTTTAGGTTTGGAGTATGAAGCTAAAGAACATATCTTCTCATAAAACATTTTTCTCTGAATTTTATTACCAAGGTTAAGTTTCAGTTCTTTTCTTGATTTTTAATGTGAAATATATGACCTACAGCTGGTAAGCCTGTCAACAGAGTCTTGATTTTCAGGAGGTATAGAAATGTATAATTGCATATCATCAACATAGCTATGAAAATTGATATCCTAGTGACATCACCTAGTGGTAACATGTACAAAGAGAAAAGCAAAGGCCCTAAAACTGGATCTCATGGGACTCCCCAAAAAATGTTATTTTTTCAATGAACGATTTTTTAGTGAAACTAAGAACCATTAAATAAATATAATATAATGTATTCTAAAACTGTGTCTGAGAGGCCTACTCTTTATTCAAGATGGTAGATCAGAATCTTGTGATCAGCGGTATCAAAAGCACTAAGACCCAATAAGACCAAAATAGAAGGATTTTGTGCATCAACACTAAGCCTGAGGTCATTGACATCATGAACCAGTGCTGTTTTAGAACTATGGTTACAATGAAAACCTGATTGAAACTTCTCAAACTTCTCCTTTTTAAAGATGGCTCTCATCAGTGAACAGCGAAAATAAGGAGTCATTAATTGTGCTTTCCCTTTGTTTGTGATTTCATCAGCTGTTATTCAGAAGTGTAAGTTGGAAGTTCTCATATCAGATCTGATAGCAAATACTATGGCATAAATTTGTTGTTTAACTCATAGGGAGGAAGTCAACAAGGCATACAGGAAGCTAGCTGTGCTACTACACCCAGACAAATGTGTGGCACCAGGCAGTGAGGACGCCTTTAAAGCAGTGGTCAACGCTCGAACATCCCTGCTCAAGAATATCAAGTAGGAGCATATGCAAATAGACACATCCACATGCAGAAAAACATCACTTTACAAGTTATTCTCCCTCTGCCTTTACCAAAAGAAAGATCCTACCTGAGAATCATATCATGCATTTCCTATGCCACCTAAACGCTTTCACTGTTTGGTGAAAGTTTTTTTTTTCCCCTTCAAGTTTTTTCTTTTCTTTAACTTTTTGTGCTTAATAAACATGCAGTTAAAACCCCATTTGAATGCACACTTGTTACTAGATATTTAAATATTCATTTTTGGATTAAAAAGGCATAAATACCTCCAAAATTACCAACTTAACACAGAACTTTGTTTTATCCAAGAATAAGAAATGTCAGAAAACTATGGTTTATATCAGTTCTTCATCTAATTATACATCAATGAGTTTCTCTCTGCTATAAGAGGATCATCATCACGTTGCTGCTATAACTTCTTCTTCAGGCCTAATAAGTGAGAATTACACGAACACAGTATGTGAAAATGGACATATTACATTACTTATTCTCATAATGTGGCCTGTATGTTTGTGCCAGAAGTTGGCACAGGGATATGGAGAAGCAATGTCCTTATACTGCATTTACACTGCTCCGGCACGTCAACACCCATTTATCCTATTTGTTTTCAACGGGAAGCATTGTTTCCGTCAGACACAGCCACTTGGTGCATGATGGGTCCTACTTGTCAAGTATAGGGAAGCACTGAAAAGTTGAGCAGGGCTGAACTTTATGCAAATGAATCCGGCCAATGCAATGCATCTGTCCAATCAGGAGGCAGCTAGTGTTTGCATGATTCATGTCTGCAGCAAGGTATGCAACATTGGTTCCGTTTTTCAAATGTTGCTACACGGCACAAAATACCAGCAGTGAGAGCTAATGTATATTTAAACACGACTGTTTACCTCCAAAATTTTAAATCCGGTCGGAAAATGGTTGGTTGCATGTTAATAGACTGAAATACCTGATGTTGAATGCAAGTGGTAATCAGTGACTTAAATCCTAATTGGTCTTTAATGTTTTTAATTCTAACAAACTGAGGCGGAGAGGATGCGTTCACGTCCATCGACACACCAGAGCAGTGCAAATGCACCATTGGGGTTGCACCACTTGCCCTCTGTTAGGGCTTAGCTCTAATGTGTTAGATAGTGACAACACTAGACCAAGACTTGGTTATCATACTTGATTATCATAGATTGACAGATACAACAGGAAGACTGCTAGATCTCAGTCATTTTTATGATTTGCCCCCAGAATAACCCCAGAGAAAGTTTAGTTTTCCTGCTAATCTTCTTTATTTTATGTCCCTCCTAATTATATTAAAAGACCATCATTGCTTTGTCATCAAAAACATACATTTTAGATCATTAATGTTTTTTCTTACTGTATGAAAACATCCGAATCAGCTTTCCTGTTGCAGAACAGTGTGTAATATTTATTATAATTTGAGTCATGGGACATTTACTGAGTAAATATGCTTTTAAAAATCATTAAACTGCTGTTCAGAGACAATCTGATGATTGTTTTTGCAGATAATGTCATTTGTTATGCTTTTTTACTCATGGGGCAGATATTACAAGTTGTGGTGCCAAGTGTGATTTATTGTTATGTTTATGTATGAATGGACAGGCTAATGAAGCTTTACAATACACTGTGTTATATGTAGAGATGCTTAATGCAAAGTCTCTTTGCATGGATAGTATGATTTGTAACATGTAACATTTGTTTACACAGCTAAAAATTATAAAGTCACATCATTTGTAATGTCATATTTTAATACAGTATGGATTGTGGTTCCTCAGCCATTATACTAAGAGGCGAAAGAGTTTTGTTTACACAAACACATGCATGTAACATGATAAACCTACAATGGATTAGTTCTTAGAATGTTTAGGTTGTTGTAGAGGATGTGACCAGAGGAATTTATTCATCCAGGAACTGAATTTCATCTCCATGTTTTCATTGTGGATATTTACTAATATGTTTAAACTGAGTAATGTTTTACTATAGTTTCTTTAAATGTAAATTTTCTCTAAAAACGTGCGGGTTGTAGCTTTAATCGTCAGTTTTAAGATGGCAAAGATGTTCAGAAAAGTGTGTAGATGTGCCAACACTGGTTATGACAACAAATGTCAATTTACATCTAGGTTATCACTGTTACACAACTGTGTATCATATCTTGCATGATATTTAAGAACTTGTATTTTTATATGACTTGTGAGAGATATATAAACTATACTCCTTTGATGTGAGTGTTCATGTGCAATGTAACTGTAATGAATATTTTTACCACATGTATTTATTTGCATATACTTACCATTCATTTAGTTAAGTATTCATTTATTATGAGTACTTATTCTGAATTTTTAAGCATTTTGTGGGCATTGGATAATGTATTGCCTTGTTTGCCCTTTTGGAGTATTTGTGCTCTTGTTTCTATTCAGTATATTTAGCGTTTTAATACAAATGAAGTGTTGGTACCTATAAATGGTTGCTAACTTTCTGTGGTAGAACAAAATCTGAAGTTTATTAACTAAATTTGATTTCCTTATTGTTTTTGTCTGAAAACATCTACAGGCCTTTTTCTTTCACTTTCATTCACTTGACAACTGATTAGTAAGGATATTAAAGTGAATTAATAGCATGGGAGGACGGCATGCTTAATCAAATGTCTTTAATGATATAAAACTGGACAGTGCAAAACTATATTGCTTGAGATGAAATCTTATTTCGCTACTCTGTGGGAGAAGGTTTTCAGAACTTGTCTTTTTGCACCACATTCACTTTTTCCATTTGAATTTTATAATAAAAGAACAATTACAATGGGCTTGGATGTTTCCTTTAGATTTGAAAACAATGGCAATAATGGAAATATCACCTCTCTGTTTCCTCACTACTATAAAGGTGTTTGGATTGAGATTAGAGCATGGCCAATAAATCAGTTATTTGCTAGCATTGCCTGATGTGGACTTCCTGGTTTTGTAAACAGTTCCTCTGTTTGTTTTACATTGGAACAAATAGACACCCCTGATGTTAAGATGATTTTCTAGTTTTGTACTCATAGGCAAATCTTCATAGAGACTGCTAAGCCTACACTCACCACCTTATAGCCAGAAAGGCTAAACATAAAACACCATCATGGTTAAAATAAAACATGGAAAATACTTCTGCACATAACTTTTAGCATGAAGACAACATGTTATTGCACAAAAAGGATAAAAAAAGGAAGATAACAAAAAAAATACACATTCTGTGAAGCTCTGCTCCCTAGGCTAAATTGTTTGTAATGTTTGTTCTGAAGACGTGACAGCTGTACACATTTGACAACTGACCATTATAAACTAACAATAATATCAGTATGCAAAACTCTGTTTGACTAAAACTAGTGGAGTTCTTAAATGGTTGACTCTATTAAATTATATTGGCTGAAATTATTGGTTATCAGTTATATTCACTTCTGTCTCCTTAAAATTGACATCTGTGTAAGTGACAAAAAATTCATATTGGTCGGACTCTGATTTGAATTTTGTGAGCACACTAATTTTTTTGTGTAAATAAGTAAAGCCAGTGACCAAATGCAACCCACTTTCAGTCTTGTTTTGTACTTCAGGAATGAGCATGGCTGTGCTTGGATGCTGAACAGATGGCACAGTCACTTTCTGACCTGGCTCACATTGTTGGTAATTGACCAGATCAGTGAGAAGCACTTTATCCAGCTTACACCCCACATTCCCTGGATCAGCTGCCCAGCCTTGCGCAGTCATTGCCCACGGTCAGAAGTCAACCAATCACATCAAGCCAGCATATATATTTCCCTCCCTCTGCATATGTGCACCTAAATCCACCTGCAGAACAAAATCTACCTGTCAGGTGTTTAATAAATCACAACAATATCCACACTTTACATTGCTTAACATGCATTTACTTTCAACAAATAAGTTGTTCGGTCAAAGCTTTTCAGCTTGTTAGCATGTGTCTGTACAATGGCGCAGGTGCGCTACTGCTGAGTAGATAATCCCTTACATTTGTGTCGAGTGTGTGCATCCGAGTGAGTACTGAATCTTACTTTCTGCTCAGACCTGCTGCTAACTTAGAGGCAAGCCATTTTTTCTGCTTGTATACCATTTCTTTTTTATCAAGTCTGGTTAGGATTCATGGGATAAGCTGTAGCAGATTGCAACTGTCTACAATCAGAAAGGGTGAGGCCTTTTTAGACCATCTGGTCAGGAGCTGACTTCATTACCTGAGGACACCACTGCTTAATACCAATCCGTCACACAGAACACCCACTTCGGGCTAAAGAAGGAGGCTTGACTTTTCATCCATGTGGCTAACTAAAAGTGTTTTGAGGTGATGTTACGGAGATGATTTAACAGTTACACAGATACACTAGTCATTCCCATGGTGATGTTTTGGGTGACTGTGGAGAGACAACGGGAGCAAAGGGACCTAGTCTACTCCTAGGCATTGTGGATTTAAGAGAGGAATGCTGTTGGAGTACTTTTTTTCTCTCACTGGACTTGAGTACATGGATTAGAAGAACATGCACGTATCATTCATGTATCAAACAGAACTGCAACACTGCATCCAAGGCAAGTAAACTCACACTTCTTGTTTTCCCAGCTATAGTGTTCATTCATTGCAGTAAAATTAAATGTTAATCCATTATATGACCTGTATTAATTTTTTGCTTTTTACAGAACAGCTTGTTGTGCAAATTGTTATACAGCAGGTGGTGGTTTCATTTTGTCTTGCATTTAGTAAAGAGTACAATGTATTTGGTGACAGCACCCCATGTACATGTACAGTACTGCAATTTCAGAAATGTCTTATTAAAAAAGACTTAATGTCTCATGTTGCTCTATTAGTCTTTCATTGTTCTCTGTGAAGGTTTCATGAGGTGGTGTCGATTGTGACAGGTCCGAAGTGTTAGCATGGCTGTCTCTGAAGACATCTGCAGCACCAAAGATGTCACATTGCAGCCACCCACCTGTCCAGCTGAGAGCCCCTGTCCCAACCTGAAACGGAAGCAGCTCATGTGGCAGAATGCCGTGCGTCACATTATAGACCAGCGAGATATCCATGAAGATGTCCAAAATGCTTCTACGCACAAAATAGTAGTCACTGATTCCTACATTGATGACATTAACCGCCAGATCCGCAACAAGGCCACACGGGGCAACATTGGGCACTACAAACGCCGTTCATCAGCTACCCGTGTCCACCCTGTTCGAGAGCGTGAATCAACGGCCACACAGAAATCCACAGACTCCATGAGTGATGGTGACTTCATCAGTTGGGGCACCACAGTGCGAGGTGTCTTCCTCCCAACCCTCCACCACACATTTAAATCCCCCGACCTGGAGCGCCTGTACCAGCAGCACTCCTTGGCTCAGCGCCGCACCTCCCTGGTGGTCACCAATGTCATCGATATACTCACCAAGCTCCACATACTCTTCATCTACCTGGCCATGGCTCCTGAAATGGTAGACTGCTTGCGAGGCTGGTTGGCTGGGCTGTTCATGGCCATCGGTGCACTTTTGTGTTTTCTGGTCCTGACTTGCAAGGGGGCCATGTCTCCAGAGTACCTCCACTATGCAGGTTTGGCCAGCTGGTTGTCTCAGACTGTGCAGGCTCTGGGTGGGTTGGTTTATGGACTGGAGAAGGACCAGTCTTGGTATGTACTCTTCACACTCTTTGCCACTTACACATTGCTACCTCTGCCTCTGCTGTGGTCCATCTGCACCGGCTGTCTCACCGTATCCCTGCACCTGCTGGTTGAGGCCCTTGGAAACTACAATGAATCTGCCATTGTCAGTAAGGTAGTGAGACCTCTTTTTTGTTCTGTCCCCTTAGCCAACCAAGGAGATTTGTATACCCTGACATATTAGTATGTTTTTACACTTTTAATAAAACAAAGGTGCCCAGAAAGGGATCTTTGGAGTGAGGCCGTAGAAGAACCACTTCTGGTTCCCTAAAGAATGTTTGTTTCTTTAAGCGTTTTTGAAAATGAGATGTGGATTTTTTTTTTCCTCCTAGAACTGTACATCTAATTGAAGAACATTTAGGAACCCTTATGTTTAAGATCATAGACTTTATTTTAATAGCCTTTATTTTAAAAGGTTAGGGAATCAGTAGATGAGCTAGGTTATGCATGTGGATCACTAAGCCTATATATACATCTGCTTGCGGATAGCTCTGCTTCCCTAGTCGTTAAAGCACTGGGCTCTGTGCCCTGAAGCAGGAAACCCTTTCTTACAGCTTGTATCTTAATCTCTTTACCTTTTAGATCTATGGCTAAGAGGATATAGATCCAATACATCCAATGAGTAAAAAGCTTTTGTACAGTCCCATATATTTATGCAGGTATTCCTATAGCAAAGCCCTTCTCTTCAAACTTCTTAATGCTAATTGCCATCATTAAGTACAGCCTAAAATCTATATTATCATATATTATGTAAACATGAATCTTACTTAAAGGAATAGCTTACTCACATTTGATATAAAATAAAGTATATGATGAGAGTTTTCAGAAATTCAACCAACGTTGACCTCCATAGCTCAAAAACAAACTAGAGCTAACACACACCAGAGATGCAGTAAGATTCTTAAATATTGCACCTTTATCCTAGTTTCAGCTGTGTTTGAAGAGCTTGCTCATGGGACATCACGGATTGACAGAAACTTTTTTAAGATCTTTTGTTTTCACCTTTCTATGTAAACTTGCATCATCCTTGTCTATGATATATTTGTTTCAGCTGCTAGCCAAAGGTCTATTGTATCTGGGGATGAACACTGCAGGACTGTTCATCCATTACCTGTCAGATCGCACTCAGAGACAAGCCTTCCTTGAGACACGGCGCTGCATTGAGGGGAGGGTCAAATTGGAGCGAGAAAATCAGAGACAGGTCAGAAGACATTGATTTAGATATGTGTTAATGATTTGATTATATTAACATTCATTCAAAGGGCATTATTATCAAAGTGAAAACTAATTTTCCTCGCTTTTTTAAATAGAAGAGTTGGATGGGTGTATGTAAATGTTAAAGTTTCAAAATGTTCCATTCACTCTGCAGTCTATACAGTTCACACATGGAAACTAAGCTGCAAAAACTGCATGTTTTAAATTCAAAGTTTTGTGTAATGTGTAAAAACAAGCATATTTACTTACTATATATCCACCTATTCAAGCTACGGCTGGTTAGCCCTGCACATTAACACTGAAGTTACAAGAAATATTTTAGCCCAATCTGCTTTTTGAATGAAGCACAATACAGGGCAAATTGTATCATAATGAAGTTTATTTATACACCGATCAGGCGTAACACTATGACAACCTCCTTGTTTCTACGTTCATTGTCTATTTTATCAGCTCCACTTACAATATAGGTGCACTTTGTAGTTCTACAATTACAGACTGTAGTCCATCTGTTTCTCTGCATACTTTGTTAGCCCCCTTTTACCCTGTTCTTCAGTGGTCAGGACATGGACCCTCACAGAGCAGGTGCTATTTGGGTGGTGGATCATTCTCAGCACTGCAGTAACACTGACGTGGTGGTGGTGTGTTAGTGTGTGTTGTGCTGGTACGAGTGTATCAGACACAGTAGTATTGCTGGAGTTTTAAACACTGTGTCCACTCACTGTCCACTCTGTTAGATGCACCTGCATTGTCAGTCCACCCTGTAGATGTAAAGCCAGAGACGATAGCTTATCTCTTGCTGTATAGTATGAGCAAATCATTCTCTAGTCCTTCATCAGTGGTCACAGGACGCTGCCCACAGGACGCTGTTGACTGGATATTTTTGGTTAATGGACTATTCTCAGTCCAGCAGTGACAATGAGGTGTTTAAAAACTCCAGCAGCACTGCTGTGTCTAATCCACTTAGACCAGCACAACACACACTAACACACCACTTTAGTCAGTGTTACTGCAGTGCTGAGAATGATCCACCACCCAAATAGCACCTGCTCTGTGAGGGCCCATGGGGGTCCTGACCACTGAAGAACATGGTAAAAGGAGGCTAACAAAGTATGCAGAGAAACAGATGGACTACAGTCTGTAATTGTACAACTACAAAGTGCACCTATATAGTAAGTGGAGCTGATAAAATAGAAGTAGAAACAAGGAGGTTGTCATAGTGTTACGCCTGATCAGTGTATATATCAGTCTTAAAAGTGTGGGGAACAAAAACAGCCTGTTTAATTTATTTAAAAGCTCACAAATGTTATGCGGACAAAAATAAAATACAAGAAGAATGTAGGTTATGGGCCCATCTTAAGAGGTCTTGATACATAATATAGTCATCAGTACATGGACACTAGAACCTGTTCTTGATTTACTTGTATTAATTGTAAATTGTAAGGAGAATTTTCTAATTTACACATAATTTATACAGTACTCTGAGTGACTTTGTTTACATCTTTGGGAACATTTGCTTATATCCCATGAACCATTTTAAAAAATCATTGGAATTCCACTTTAAAGCTGGTTCCCAACTTGCCAAATTTTTCATACTGTGCTAATATGTGGAATGTCACTAGTCATACAAAATGTATGAGTATTTTGTAATTTCATGGCAGGAGCGCTTGGTAATGTCTATTCTACCTCGTTTCATTGCCTTGGAGATGATAGCTGACATGAGTGCAATGGGGGATGACTTACTACCTCAGCAATTCCACAAAATCTACATCCACCAGTACAAAAATGTCAGGTAGTCACACTACACCTGTCTTGCTGTATAAACGTTCCATTCACCACTACTGTCAGGTCTCATGTTTCCGCAACAGGTAGATGACATGATCTAATATTTTGTTTCTTTCTCGCCTCATTCAGTATCCTGTTTGCTGATATAAAAGGCTTCACCACGCTCTCAATGACAATGTCTGCTCAGGACCTCGTACGTACGCTGAATGAGTTGTTCGGTCGCTTTGATCGCCTTGCAGAGGTGAGGGAGGACAGAGATGTACTCTAGCTGATTTAAACAGTGTGCAATCTGTCACAAGCCACAAAAGAACTCTTGTTCTAATTTAATTATGGTCATACAGCTAGGCTCTATTGAAACACTTAGGAATTAAGTACTTATATTTCAGTATGTACATTTTTTGTACCAGAAAGTCATTACATAAGGGAAAATGGGGGAAACCACCCCTTAAGAATAAAGTCCTTTCACATAGCATGTACAAAAACTAAAAAGCGAATGTATTGTTTTCTCCTTTCCCTGCACCCCCATCATATACTTTGAACAACATTTCTTAATATAAATGTATATATCAGATATAAATTAGATCATCTAATAGAATAAATTAGAATTAATTGGGCCATAGCTCTTCAGGAAATATGTAGAGATTAGACTGTAGAGAGTGATTGTCAATCACTTGCTGCTCTTACTTAAGAAAGACAAGTAAGAGAATTTAAAATATGCATTGGCATTTAAATGGCCAGCTAATCAATGGTGATTCATTAAAAGGATGCAATTTAATAGACCAACGTTTTTTTTAATTTAATCGAGTAATCATTGCTTTTATATTGTCATTTAGACATTTATTTTTAGTTGTGTCATATGTTTATACAGTGTGACATATGTACTGAAAATGTCTGTGCTGAAATCTCAGGAGCACCACTGCATGAGGATAAAGATTTTGGGGGACTGTTATTACTGTGTTTCTGGAGTACCAGAGCCCCAGAGAGCCCATGCTCGCTGCTGTGTGGAGATGGGTCTGGCCATGATCAACACCATACGGTATGTGTGTGTAATTATGAAAAGGATTTTTAATCTTGTCAGACCAGCTGTCCCACTGGCACATTTCACATTGGTTTTATAGCATCACTGATTCTCAGTTCTTTTAGTGAGGAAGATGCATTTTTTGCAACAAAGCTAGAGATTGGCCTAAATAGCAAGCTGCAGTGTGGACCATTCCTTCCCTCATCAAACCACCCTGTAAATTTATAGAACAAACAGTTTGTCTTGCACTCTCAGGCATTGCTTGCTCTATTGTTTTGGTATATAGATTCGTTTCCACCATCTTTGTTGGTGACATTTCATATCTTCTATTCTAGTGATTTTGGGTGCCATATATCATTAGCTCATTACTGAATGCCCATATGTCATTAGCTGAGGTTGTGCTGAATCTGGAGATATAGCTACGATACTTGATGGGGATATACAGAGCTGTAAAAAAGTATTTGCCCCTTTCTTATTTTTTCAATTGTTGGATATTTGTTACATTACTTGTTTCAGATATTTAGAAAAAAAATAACATAAAATAAAGACAACCTGAGCAAACACAAAACACAGATTTTAAATCATCATTTCCTTTATTGGAGGTTATGCAACACCAACTGGCCTAATGTGAAAAAAATAATTGCCCCCTTAGATGCTCAATCAACCAAATAACCAAATTAGGTTGATAATTGAGTAGACTGGAAAGGTTTACAAAGCTATTTCGAAGGCTCTAGTACTCTAGCAAACCAAATGAAGTGGTGAATCTGCCCAAAAGTAGCCATTCTGCCAAAATTCCTCCAAGACCACAGCAACAAATCATCCAGGAAGTCTCAGAAGAACCCAGGCAAACATGTCTAAGGAAATGCAGATAAGGTTAGTGTTCATGATTCCACCTTTAGAAAAAGACTGAGCAAAAATACTGTCCACAGGGAGATGCAAGGTGAAAGCCACTAACCAAGAAGAACATGGAATACTGTTCTGTGGACTGATGGAACTTCTTGGAAGACAGAGGTCCCCTTACATCTGGTGTAAAGCTAACACAGCATTCCATAATAAGAACATCATACCAATAGTCAAACACACTGACAGTAATGTGATAGTGTGAGGATGTTTTGCTGCTTTAGGGCCTGGGCAACTGGACAGAACCATGAATTCTGCTCTCTACCAAAAAATCCTCCAAGAGAATGTCTGTTAATCAGTCGTTGATGTGAAGCTCAAGCACAGTTAGATTATGCAGCAAGATCTGAAGCACTAGAGCAAGTCCACCTTTAAATGACTCAAAATAAGCAAAATTTAGGTTTTGGGAGTGGTCTAGTTAAAGAAAAAAAAAATGATCATTTCAGTGTTTCCATGTGTGCTCCTCTTATTATATTCCATTTTGTATGAGGATCAGAAACCGTTTAGTGTAAAAACAAATGCCGAAATAGAGGAAATCAGGAGTGAGCAAATACTTTTCACAGCACTGTAGCTACAGTACTATAAAACAAAAATGACAACACAGTTTTAATGTTGAAAGGATTAATCTTTATACACTCTCCCTGACTTTCTCAGATATGTTCGCAACGAGTTAAAGCGAGATGTGGACATGCGCATTGGAATCCACTCTGGCTCAGTACTCTGTGGGGTTTTGGGTCTGCAGAAGTGGCAATTTGATGTGTGGTCCTGGGATGTTGATGTTGCCAACATGCTGGAGGCAGGAGGAATCCCTGGGTGAGTACACTTGTTTAAACAGATAGTGACAAAAAAAGAAAAAGACAACTGTGTGTAGTTCGGGGCCCCACCCTGTTGCCATGCAGTCACAGCTGTCCACAGTATGGACAGGGAAACCCTGTTGGCCAGTTAGGTTCAGCACCATGGAAAATTCTCAACTGTCTTAGAGGGCTTGGCAGTTTTATGTTGCAGGTGGAGGATAACCGTCCTACCGCCACAAAATGTAAGGGCTAAGCAAACGGCAAAGCACCTGAACGTTTTTAGGTCATCACAGATTAAAAACAAACATTTGAAGCTTGTGGAAACATTCTATATTCTTTATTTGAAGCTTGTAACAGAATATATTAACATATACGTGCATACATATATAGCGGTTTTACCTTGACGCTTTCAGTGAAGAGAGTGTAGAGCTGCTACCGCTGTTTTCCATTTCTAACAACTGACTGAAACCTATGCTTGCTTTGCTTGTATTCACAGTCAGTGACGCATCTAGGACTTCCAGAAGGACTGACATTTTTTTTCTTACAATATTGGTCCAGCCCAATGGAAATCAAAACTTGATTACATGATTCCTCTGTCAGTTCCTAAATATATTAGTGGTTTATCTGACACGTTAGGCTTTCAATACAGTGCCTTTTATGAAGGCCTAGAAGACCCTGAGGGTTTCACCAGTGTTACAGACCTATCAGTGCTGATTTTGAGAATAGGGCAGGAGTTCTGCCTCCAGATAACCATCGTTCAGAGGATTAGCTTTTGCTCACTAGTTAGCTTTCACTCACAAGGTCAGTGTTTCCCAACCCAGTCCTCAGGGGGCCCACAGACGGTCCACACTTTTGCTCCAACCTAACTCACAACCTAAGCATGAAGGGAAAATATGGAACAACTGGGGGGCCCTGAGGAGTGCATTGGAAAACACTGCACTAAGTTACTCAGACTGGAAGAGAGTATTCTGGCAAAGTACATGTAGAAAATGTTGGAGAAGTGTTCATAGGGTTGACTTTGAACATGTGTATTGTGTGCTCACAAGACTAGAATTAACCTAAGTAGAAAAGAGTTAGCTTTCCTATGGCTTTAAAGTTATGAAAAATGTTTCACCAGGCGAATTCATATCTCCCGGGCCACCCTGGACTGTTTGGAGGGAGTGTATGAGACGGAGGAAGGTCGTGGCCATGAGCGTAACGAGTTCCTGCGCAAACATAAGATCGATACATTCCTCATCTGCCACACACCACAGGAGGACATGGAGCCCCCTAAGGCCCGGAGACCCAGTCGGGAGGAGACATCCTGGAGTGCTGAGCTACCCTTCGACAACATCATTGGCATGAACTGTGTAGGTTTGCTCTCCCCACATTGATTTCAATATGTTTTTCTCTCCTCATTTGAAATGACATTCTTTCCTCACGACTGGTGTCAGGTTATTCAGAAAACAATTATTTGACAACAGTGAAAAGTATTGAATGACCACTCTCTAACACATCTGGTTCAATTTAGGTGATATGGTGGGTGATATCTGATGGGTCATTAAACTGTTGAGTTCTGCGGTCCTCCAGGTGTGAAAATGAAAAAACACTGCTTTGTTGAAGACCAATGAATGTTAACTAGTTAAAATGTTTTGTTAATGTGTCAGTTACTAAAACCTTACATGAATTTGTTTTCTCGTTGCTGTTGAGAAATTAGGCAAGATAGGCTTAATACAGAGTAATCTTTTATGTGTTCCTGTCATGTCCCTATGCGGCAGATCTTAGCCACTTTCACCAATGGCTCCTTGGTGCAACTACCTAATCCGATCGCTGCTCAGTGCTCCGGTTCCCGAGAGATCAACAAGAGGATCAAGCAAGCCATTGAAGTCCGCAGCAGTGAACGCATGCAGAAAGAACACATCACTCCCCTAACGCTGGTCTTTAAGGACAGTAATGTAGAGGAAAAGGTACGGATAAAAGAAGCCTGGATTTCTGCTAATAGTCTTGATGACAAATCCAAATTTTTCAGTGTTTTGAGCTATTACACATTGACTCACCTGGGACCTGACGTTATGCATTTTTGTGAAAAAAATTGACATTTTCTTCTATTTATTTCTTGCTCCAAATAGTTCTTTGGTTTATTTATGAACTTTGACCCATTTTTTTCTAAATTGCATCTTAAATATTTGGTTTAGACTTGTGTCACAAAAGTCAGAGTCAGATCAGGTCATTTTTCAGTTTACAAAATATATATTTTTTAGCTAAGTTTTATGTCTTGCAACCCTATGAATAACAGAGAAAATTGATTAATTCTTGACCACGACACAGAGTTCCTGAAGCATTATAAATATACATTTAGAAATCACGTTTTCTATTTTATTGTTCACTGCTTCCTTGTATTGTGTTAATCAAACACCTCATGACCAAAAAGTTATTATACCACGATGGGCACATAGCAAATCTGTCTTGCTTATTTGTTAATGTTAAGACAAAAATGAGACATTCTGTAGAAACTAATGCACAAAAATTTAATTTATCATGACAGTGAGTTGGTGTAGAAAAACCCTGTTTTTGTTACATTACGTCAGCCTAATCTGTTGTGAGCATTGCGAGCAGCTTCAGATATTCATGTGCCATACATCAAAAAATCTAACACTAATTGTCGAAGCGCAACATGGCACATATTCTAGAGGTTAAGCCTAGTTTTAGAGTAAAATATCTTTTTTTTAAGCTCTTTCAGTGTATTCTTCTTTATTCTATATTGTGTGTTCATAAGCTTGCCTTAAGTGCGTGTTGTTGTCTTTCAGTTTTCACAAATGAGAGATGAGATGTTCAAGTCCAATGTGGTCTGCTCCTTTCTCGTACTGCTCCTCAACATGACTGCCCAGTGTCTCATGCCTGCACCACAGTGAGCAATCACTCAATATTAATAACTTACTCTTAACATTATGTTCATAAAATGTCTGAGATGAATTACCAGTGATTCTAATGTGTCCTAGATCATGTGTGCCGTATTGTGCTTTATCACACTTGATACTACTTAGCTAACCAGCCCTTAATGATTGAAACAGCTACATTAGGGGAAGGAAAAGTCCAATCTGTGCACAATAGTAACTCTCCAGAACTGAAAACATTCAATAAAATAACCAATAATAAGTTTTTTTTTTTTCTTATTTTTTTTCTTTTGTATTTCTGTCACTCAGGATCAGCCCTATGGTGATCCAGTTCTTAATGTTCTTTGTGGCCTACTCACTGCTGTTGCTGGTCACTTTGGCTGAGGAGTTCAAGAGGTCACCAGCGTGTCTTCAGCACCTGTGCTGCTGGATCCATGAGACCAAGAGTATCCGCAATCTGCTCACACTCACCGCAATCGCCATCAACTTTGGGGTGGCATCTTCAGACATTGTGAGTGCATGGTGTTTGTAGTGAAGTTGATGCTGAAGTTTATTTATGTAACCTCAGATAATCAGACATGAGACCAACATGATCAACCATTATATCAGACATGTATTATAAGCTTTTCAAAAGTCCCCTGAACCATTGCTCTTTAAAAAAAAATGGACTTGGTTTATGTTGGCCAGATAGTTTATGACTGATGACTAACTATTGTGCGTTTTTTTCTGTCTGTTTTGATCTTTCAGTTGTGGTGCAGCACAGTTGAAGCAGAGGCTTCAAAGATCAATAAGAGCTCAGAACAGCAAGGAGCTCAGGGGCCAGTCAACATCTGCACCTATCCAGAGGTTTACTTCAGCACCATCATTGCACTAAATACACTTTAAGCAGGTGGCCTATGTACTCTAAATTGCCAGTTTATTAAGTGCACTTTCTGTTGCGTCACCATCTGTTGCTGCACAGTTTATCAACCACACTTTATCCCACTAATCAATGGACGGTTGTTACTGTAGGACCACTGTTGACTGAGTGTTATTTGGGTGGTGGACAATTCTCAGCAATGATACCATTTACCAGAGTTTCTACATGTCTTGTAAAACCTTGAAAATGTGGAAATTTTCCAGTCATGGAAGCACCCAGAAAATGTTTAAGAAAAGGCAGGATTAAACTCTAATAGGGGTAAAATCTTTTTAGAGAGGGAGGTGGGCTATGTTTAAATACTATAATTATCTATTTAAATTCTGGATGTTAATTTTATTGTATGTTAGTTTGAGTATAAAAAAGGCAGCTATGCTCTCCATAAGTCCATAAGAGCAGCAAAACGCGATGCTAAAGTGGAGAACCAGTTCAACACCACCAACACGAGAAGCCTGTGGGAGGGGTTAAAAACAATAACGGACTTTAAGAGGGAAACTCTTTCCGTGAGTAACATCAGCACTGTTCTTCCAGATGAGCTGAATGCTTTCTATGCCCGTTTCAAGGCAAATCACACCGCGCTCGCGGAAGGAGTCCGTGCCCCGCTACCGCCGCTTTCCGCGTGCTTCAAACTGGCCACCATTGTGCCAGTTCCAAAGTCAGCCAGGGTTAATACTCTAAATGACTGGCGCCCGGTTGCTATGACCTCCATCATAAGCAAGTAATTTGAGAAACTAGTCAGAGACTTTATCCGCTCCTCACTATCTGCCACTCTGGACCCACTGCAGTTTGCTTACAGATGGAACAGATCCACTGATGACGCAATAGCCCTGACTCTACACACTGCCCTCTCCAATCTGGACAAAAAGAACACGTATGTGAGAATGCGGTTTGTGGACTACAGCGCATCATTCAACACCATCATGCACTCAAGGCTCAACATTAAGCTTCGGGATCTGGGTGTGAACAGTTCTCTGTGCAGGTGGATCCTGAACTTCCTGACAGGCCGACGCCTGGTGGTAAGGATGGGCAACATCACCTCCTCCTCAGTGACCCTTAACACTGGGGCTACACATGTACTGTGGAGAGCATTCTAACAGGCTCCATCACCACCTGGTATGGAAACTGCACTGCCATTGAGCAGAAAGCTCTGCAGAGGGTGGTGCAGACAGCCCAGCACATCACCAGGGTCCAGGTCCCAAACCTCTTGGATTTATACACCAGCTGCTGCCTGAGGAAGACCAGGAGGATTCTAAATGACTCCACCCACCCAAGCCACTGTCTGTTCTCACAGCTGCTGAGCTGGAGGAGGTACAGAAGCATAAAGTCCAGAACCAGCCGGTTCCAAGACAGTTTTTTCCCCCAGGCCATCAGGCAGCTGAACAGCCAGTAGTGCGGGTGTATCGGTCTATAGGCCTCTCACTGCACCTCTGAGTCATCGTCTCCATGGACAATCTACACTTTATCCACATCTCATCAGACTCACTCTGGTCTTCTGCACCTTCAATCTAGCAAATCTGTACTTACACATATAGATTGACGTCTTGTACATCTTCTATCCATATCTTGTATAATCTGGAAGATTTCTATATCAATATTTTATTTCCTGTGTACAAGCATCCCATTTATTTATCTACCTCAGACTAACTGGACATACAGAATGTGTACAACAGTACATTTCATAGTTTTATTACATAACTTATCACTGTACAACTTTACATTGGAATAGTGCAATACTAGTGTATATTGTGTATATGTGTATATTCACAGTTGGTGTATACATATATATTTATATTTCTTTTTTCTTCTTAGATATATATATATATATATATATATATATATATATATGTATTTAAATTCTATAAGGGTGCTACGTACCTAAGATTTTCACTCACTTTCCACCTGTGTAAATGTGATGTGATAATAAACGTGATTTGATTTGATTTTGATTTGATTATTTGTGTTTTGTTATCAGTAAAGTGCCATTAAGGACTGTATTGTTGACTTTTATTTTAAAGCTGAAAGTAGTTCTAATATGACCTTCTATGGTAAACAGCTGTGATGTATCATGGAAAATCATGGAAAATGTCCTGGAAAATTATTTCCTAAAAAGAGTGGGAACCCTGATTGGTTGTCCTGAGTTAGCATGTATTGCATCTGTGTGAGTGTATCAGACACAGCAGCGCTGCTGGGGTTTTTAAATGCCTAACTGTCACTGCTGCGTTGAGAATAGTCCACCAACCAAAAATATTCAGCCAACAGTGGTCCTGTGGTCAGAAACGGGATGGCAATATGATGAAATGTTATAGTTCTCATGATAAATTAAGTCACTATATGCTTTTCTGCATATATTGTGGATATCATCAGTACTTCTAGAACACAGAGCAAACTGCATGTATCATCATCCAAAAAAATAATGCTGGATGATAACAGAAAAAAGAGATCTGAATAGCTGGGGTCAATCCAGAGGCCCCGGCTACATTACACATTTTGGCCGCTCAAAATGAGAACCTTTTTCCCTTATAACAAACCACCTGCCCAAGTAAACTTTAATACATTCACAAGTACATTCACATTAATAACATAGTTACTAATTTTCTCTCCTCCTCCTGCCCCAGCGCAAAATGCAGGGCTTGTTTGGTCAGACACAAAATTAACTACATCAATGCAGATTTTACAATAGTTCCCCAGCAGTAACCACCATGATGTGATGGTGATATTCTTGTTAATGTTATATGACTGTTTTTTTTGTTGCTAATGCATGTTTGTTAATTGTGTGTGTGTGTGTGTGTGTGTATATATATATATATATATATATATATATATATATATATATATATATATATATATAGATATATATAGATATATATAGATATGAGAGAGATGTTTTGGTCACAAGGTTCATTGGCCAGTGCACATTTTTATATCCATCCCTGATAGTAGGTGTACCTGATAAAATGGCCAATGGTAATAATAAACTGTCAATTTAGTGTAAGTTCAAAAACAGTTGAGTGCAAGTTTGCGTCCGCCTTAGATTACCTGTAAATAGTTCAAAATCTCCTTTAATAACTATTCAAGGTATTAAACTTGAATATGTAAAATTAGGTGTCCAGTCACATAGGTATCTGTGGCGAGAAAAAAGAACTATGCCTAGAGGAGCAGAACACCATTGCCACAGTAAAACATGGTAAAGGATCACTATTGTTTTAGGGATGTATGGCTGCATCAGGGACTGAAGTTCTGCAGAAGGTGGAAGGAAGAATGAAATGCAGGCCATTATCAACAGATTTTAGAGCAAAACCTCCTACCATCAGTCCCAAAGCTCAGAATGAAGCGTGGATGGATCCTGCAACAAGACAGTGATGCAAAGCATAAGGCAAAGTCAGGCAAAGCATAAGGCAAAGTTCAAAGAATCTGGAGAAATCTCTGTATGCTAGTGACCAAAACCAGTAGCGGCTGGCTGTGAACAGACACAATTCTGTAGTGGAAATTCCTGCATGGGCTCAGGAACACTTCTAAAAACCATTGTCTGTGAAATAGTTTGTTGCTGCATCCACAAATACAAGAAAAACTCTACCATGCAAAGAAGAAACCATTTCATTGAGTTCATTAAAATAACTTTCTTTGTCTTACTCCTTAAGTAAGTGGATACAAACACTCAACTGTATGTAGAACTGAAGACCAGGCAGAAATATGTACTGTTTTAAGTATGGCAAAGAAATGTTACATAATTATAGTTTATGTGTAGTGAAGCATACTTCATATGCAGTCTGGCAAATGTGCAACAACTAACTGTGATATATTTTTGCAGTTCTTTATTCTGAGTGGGGTGGTGGCTATGGTGACATGTGCCGTGTTCCTGAGGCTGAGTTGCCTTTTGAAGCTTGCAATGCTGATGCTGGTCATTGCTGTTTACACATACCTTATCGAAGTGGCCTTCCATGTGCTCTTTATTCGTGAACACCAAAATGGACAAATTCAAAGGTAAAGCTTTTTACGCTTCGTTTTCCAATGGAATGGTTTTTATTGCATCATCAAAAATGTATACTTTTTTTATTTTATCAATGACAGGTAATTTTAAATTTGTCTATTCATTTTCACAAATTACATAACAGAATGAGCAGCTCTAAAACAGGGTGCTGTTATACACATACAATTGCTTTCTTTCAGGTTATCTCTATGTAAGTTGAAACTGTGTTGATTTTATTCTTCTTTTGACCTAATTCCGTTCTTCTGGAACAAACTTACCTAGGTCTCAGTACTTGAGAAGAAAAGGCATCTCTGTGTTGTTGATGGCCATGTTCGTTGTTGTAGTACTTTACAACAGCAGAAAGGTGCGGTATTATCACTTTTCAATTAGATTAATATTTCTTCACATTCCTTAAGCCTATAAAGCTATATACACCAACATCACTTGCTCTGAATCCTATGTCCATGTTGTTATATGCTATACACAGTGATATATGCATTGCATAAGGCTTTATTACTTCCTGGTAGATGGCCTGGAAAACACATTTTAACATTACAGTAAAGACTTAAAGTAAGGTTACATAATGTTTATATGTTTATAACAACATTGTAGACTTCTTCCGGGAGCTGTTACAGTAAACTTGTAATTACCATGCCATGATATTTTATTCAAATTTGTGTCAAGCACTAATAGGCCCATTTTAATGGTTTTCCCTCAGTTAGAGACGACTGCCCGACTGGATTTCCTGTGGCGCCTACAAGCTAGACAGGAAGTGGAGGACATGAAGGAGCTGAGAGAACATAATGAGTGTCTGCTTTACAACATTCTCCCTGCTCATGTTGCCAGGCACTTCCTTGAAAGAGATAGGAATGATGAGGTACCTGGCTGCAAATCTGTCTCACAAATCAATAGATCACCTAACAAATGTTGCATTAGCCATCTTAAGACACATGGACAACCCAATTTTTTGGTATTACGGCCACAGATGGCTTAGAACCACACCAAGAACATGCTTACTGAACATATAACATTCTCTGCCCTTGGATATTCATGATTGTGTCTTAAATTTTTGATATTTGTGGCCCAGCATAAATTCAAGTTTGTTTCTCTCCGTATTGCTCTGGTTGCCAGGACCTATATTCTCAGTCTTATGAGAAAGTGGGGGTGATGTTTGCCTCTATCCCGGGTTTCACTGACTACTATGAGCAGAAGGAGTTGATTAATCAAGATGTGGAGTGTCTGCGCTTGCTTAATGAGATCATTGCCGATTTCGATGAGGTAAGCAGTTGGTCCAAAACATTTTCCCAGAAGTTCCCATTTTGAGGGTCACATGTGCAGATGAAATTTGTAAGCAGCGTTCTGTAAACAGATTCTAAATAACCTTTTCTTTCTTAGCTTTTGGGTGAGCCTTACTTCCACGACATTGAGAAAATCAAAACTGTAGGCAGTTGTTACATGGCTGCCTCTGGACTTTCTCCTGATAAACAGGTAAGCAGCTCCATTTTCTCAGAAAATTTGCAACAGCACCTCATTTTCTCATAGTTTGCATGTTTGGGCTCTCAATATTGTGCACATGTGCCTAGTATACACAGATAATACCTTTTTTCATTTAATATGTACTTAAGATGGGTTGTCATTATTACTGCATATTTAAAAGGTTGTGTTTGTGTTTAAGGAGCGAGAGGATGAATGGGCTCATCTCTGTGAGTTAGTACTTTTTGCTTTGGCCATGCAAGAAACACTAAAAGAAATAAACAAGCGCACATACAGCAACTTCAGACTACGAGTTGGTAAGAATGTAGAGAACTGATCTTAATACGATAACATACATGCTTTTAAATGGTGTCACAACAGATTGGTGGTTACAGTGAATCATTTGAATTAGTTTATTCCCCTGGTGACTACAAATACACTCAGCTGTCCAAGTTCAGACAAGTGCACAACATGCTAATTGGCTTAAAATGGATATCAGTTTGACCTTAAAGAAATTGGATTGGACAGTTAAGATGTTACACTAATATGCTGTGAAGCTGTGAGCTCCTGGAGATTTCTGATACTGTAGCTACAGCCCACATTTCATAAATCATTTTCTTTCAGATCTATTATTTTACATAAAGAGTGAAAAATACTGAAATTGACTTCATTCAAATATCAATTTAATATCAATTAGAAATTCAAAAAGCTTTATGGTATGTTTTGTTCCCACTGATGTAACAATGCACAATTGCATGAAAACAAAATATGTACCAGTAAACATCATCTTTTCAGAATACAGTACAGGGTACATAAGCAAACTGCTTAAATAATTTTTCTCAGCAATGTATCTTTTCACTAGTAAATATACCAAATTACATTAAAAATAAATACAGCCATACATTAATACAGTAAAAAAGTAAAAAGAATTCCTAGTTTTCAAAAAAGTAATTGATATCTTGTAAGCTGGGTAAAGAAAAATAAAGAGTTTCAGATATCTCCTCACAGCGCCCAGCCATTGCATGGATTTCTTAATTTTCATCACTAGCACACCTGATATAATGTATTAAGTATTGGATGATAACTATAATTAGCACTGTGTCAGTGTAAAGAGAGATTTGCTGATAGTTAAACAAGCATCTCAACATAGGTAAAATCTCTACTTAAAATATTGATGTTATTTGTATTTAATATTAATATTTTTTCTGGGCAATTAAATGGTTACTGCCCAACTAAAAGCTCTTAAAAGTTATTTTCTCAGGCAGCTAAAACTTTTGAACAGTACTGTACATTTATACCTACAATTACGGTCTGTAGTCTGCTATTAAAAAAAATTGTTGAAATTTAATTTGGATGGTAGCACTTTATTTTGATGATCTGCTGTAGGTGCTCTACAGATGCCCACGTTGTCTTCAACTTATGTTTAACATAATTATTAATACCTATTAAATCTAATTATTCTCTAACCCTAAATCTAACACTCTTTTCTTTAAACTGACACCTTAAGTTAACAATTATTATTATTATTTTAACAATTAAGGCGTTTGCAAAAAAGCAATGTAAATGAAGTGTGACCATCTGGACTATTTATGCTGGGTTAACTTATACATTAAAATCAACTTCTTTGCCAGTGGGACTTGGCAAGAAGGATAATAAGAGCACAAGATCAATGACATGATGATAAAAATTTCTTCAGTCTCATGAAACTCAAATGCTTCATGCAGGCATTGCCCATGGACCAGTAGTGGCAGGAGTCATCGGTGCCACCAAGCCGCAGTATGATATCTGGGGAATGACAGTCAATCTGGCTAGTCGGATGGACAGCACTGGGGTGAGCGGGAGCATCCAGGTCTCAGAGAGCACCAGCCACATCCTGGCTGACCGCGGCTTCGTTCTGGAGCTCCGGGGTGACATCTATGTCAAAGGGGTGAGTGAGCGGCAAGGAGGTGTCCGCACGTACTTTGTGAGCAGCAGGGAGCAGAGGTCCAGTCATGCTGAGAGGACGACCACTAGGAGGCTCTCTCTGGGAAGAAACACTTTGGCTGCAGTGGTCTTTGGTTTGGTGCAGGCACGCAAGAGGGAGACACTGCGTGAGGCTAACGGAGTCTTTCATCTAATGGAGATGACATGAAGTCAAATGGAAACCCAGATGTCACAAGTTTGTCCAATAGGACAGTTCCAGCAGTGTGACACACTGCTAAGAGTTATTGCTTCACAAGATTTTGAAATGAACTCTATATATCTCGCAAGTTTATGAATTGAAGTGTGTTGCTGGTACAGTATCACAGCCTCCTTAGGACTTAAAGGGAACTTATGTTTGTTGGTTACAGTGTTTTTCAGAACCTTCTGAAATTGGAGTATTTAACACCAACCCCCTCCCTCAACTACAACTATTCCTAATGAAATTTTGATGCACAAATCTAGAATACAAATCTATAATTCTAGTTAAAATTTGTGCAAGTCAGGCCAATAGGGCTGAGTTGTTTCGGCAGCTCCTCTCTGTGCCATTATTTTGTACAGAAAGCGTGGTGAAAGTGTATACACCAATAGCAAATATTGGGCTGTGTGATATAAGAGATGTTATTACATCCCATTGTTGGCAATAGGTCATTTGTGCCATGTATTTCAAAATTTTAAATAAATGTTACATGAGTTGAATGCCTTTTGTACAGAGCAGAGATGGTTTAAACATCTTTAGGTAAAAAAATGATAGCTAGCTTTGTTCCATATATGGACTGTATGGAATGGGGAATGAATTATATGTTTTGAAACTTTAACAATGTCTGCAGATTACATCTCTATTACTAAAAAAGCAAGAAGACTGAGTTTTATATGATATGCGCCCTTTAAGAATTATGTGTAAGCCACTTGTATATTGTGTTGTCTGAGTTTAGGGTAGCTAAAAACAGTTTCAGAATCTGCAATCAAAATGAATTCATTCAGATTGACAAAAATCTCTGTATGTAAATGTAGTCAGTGTGTCTGTTACCCTTTATCTTACCATCTTCTGTCTCTGTGAATGGAAAAAAAGCTTTATGCTTTCCACATAACAAGGGCATATCAAAGATGGACCATTTGGAAGAATGGTTCTGTTTACGCTAACAGTTTTGTCATAGAGCAGAATGTTTTTGGCTCGATAGTCACCCTGGTGCAGATGCAAGAGCAAGGAAGTGTATGTGTGGCTAGATGTGGGCCTATCATGATCATTAAATTTTAGCTGCCAGTTAATTAAGATTAATCAGTGATTCATGATCAATAATTGAGATTAACACCTTTGTGTTTATACATTGTATGCAACCACTGAATTACAATATGCAACTGAGAAGTTATTAAGTTTAAGCGTTAAAATAGACAGTTTGTGTCTAGCAGCTTTTGGACCAAGAAAAAGAACCTGTTTTTGTCTGAATTGAGTAGGAGGGAGTTACTTGACATCCAGTCTTTTATGTCTTTTACACAGTCCTTAATCTTAAGTTGAAGTTTAACTTCTGGTTTGGTTGATCTGTACAATCGTGTGTCATCAGCATGGCAGTGAAAATTGATGCCATGTTTACTGATATCCAGTGGTAGCATATATAATGTGAATAATAGAGGTCCTAAAACAGCCTTGTGGAACACCAGACTTTACTTTTGTACAAACAGATGATTTATCATTTGCATTTACAAACTGATAGTGATCAGTCAGGTAAGACCTAAATCAGGAAAGAACTATTCCTGTTACTCCTACAAGGTTTTCTAACCTATCTAACCAATCTAGTAAGATAGAGGGGTCTATTGTATCAAATGGCACACTAAGATCAAGCAGAACCAGACAAGATACATTTCCTTGGTCAGAGAATAAAAAGAGATTGTTTACAATTTTCACTAGTGCTGTCTCTGTACTACCGCGACCCAGAGGGATAAGACTGAATTTTTTTGTGTATGTGATTGCTATGCAAACAGGAACTTAGCTGTTGTACTACAGCTTTTTCCAAAATCTTTGACATAAAGGGAAGATGATTTGAGATAGGTCTACAATTTGATAGCTCACAGAGATCAAGATTAGGTTTCTTAATCAGAGGTCTAATTACTGCTATTTTAAGAGTTTTTAGGATATAGCCAAGGCTAAGAGATGAGTTTATTACTGACAGAATAGGCTTGGTTATTTCTGACAAAATTTCTTTGAGTAAACTTGTAGGAATTGGATCTAATATGCAAGTAGAAGATTTAGAAGCTCCCTTTTCACTCTAATTGTCTGACCATCTGTTTTAAAGCTTGAGTATGATCATTGTATTGTGGGGCAAGCTTTTTCTGCCTAATTCTTTTACTTTTTAATGGAGCTACACTGTCTAGAGCAGAACGAAAAGTCCTCTAAGCATTCAGTCATCTGATTTCGTAGGTTCCGACAGACAGCTGATAGAAGCTGATTGATCTGGGAGGTTTATGATAAAGCTACTAGCTGTGGATGGTGATATTTTGCTTTAAACATGACAGTGTGGTGATAGAAACATATATTGAATGGCTAAATGATCTCTGTTTACACCAAAGGTCAAAATTAAGTCGAGTGTGGCTGCAAGCCCCTTTATATTTTGAGTGAAACCAGCAGAGTCTAAGATAGATATAAATGCCTTACTTAGTGGATCCTGTGGTTTATCAAAGTGGATATTAAAATCTCTGACAATTATTGCTTTATTCGAAACCCTTAATACACTTGATTGAAAGCCAGCAAATTCCTGTAAGAGCACACAATATGGCCCTGTTGGCTTATTTGCTCTTATCTGCTCTTATTTGTTCTAAAAGAAGAGAATTTGTAGCCTGCTTTCTGGTTCACACCTAAAGCTTTTTTTTTAAAAGCAAGACAACAACCAGTGCATATAAGCAGCAAAGACTTCTTCAGCTGTGTCAACTGTGTCGCTTGGTGATGAGTCATTGCCTTACAAGTTGGTTTCATTATTTGTACCTGATGTAGCTGTAAACAAAACATTTAGTCATATCAGTTCCCATCTTACTGGAGGCCTAAACATTACAGTAAAATATTAAGGCAAATTAGAGAAAAATTATGTACATGTATTAGTTCCTGTGAATTCTAGTAAATGATTTTCATGAGATTATGTATCACAGCTGAAGCTGAAGGAGGTCTTGCCTAATACTTGTATGATTTAACACAGGATTGCAAAGTATTGTGCAATAAATGAAATCGTCAAAAATCATACAGACAAATACACCGATCAGGCATAACATTATGACCATTATGACCACAGCACTGCTGTGTCTGATCCACTCAGACCAGCACAACACACACTAACACACCACCACCACCTCAGTGTTACTGCAGTGCTGAAAATGACCCACCACCCAAATAGTACCTGCTCTGTGAGGGTCCATGGGGGTCCTGACCACTGAAGAACATGGTAAAAGGGGGCTAACAAAATACGCAGAGAAACAGATGGACTACAGTCTGTAATTGTAGAACTACATAGTGAACCTATATAGTAAGTGGAGCTGATAAAATGGACAATGAGCGTAGAAACAAGGAGGTGGTCATAATGTTATGCCTGAACGGTGTACATGCAAACTCAAGAAACAAAAACTTAAAGTACCTGGGTTTTCCAATTCTGCACCTGGATAATAATAATAGACTATTAATTAATCTATAGTGGGGCATAGTGCTGGACGGTAATTAAATTAAAATTCAATATCATGATATTTTCCAATTATATCACAGTACTAGATAATATTTAAATGTACATTAATAAAATTAATGAATCAATGTTTCCTGAGTACTGCTCCTCTAAGCTAAAAGACTGCTTTAAACACCTGATTGGACTGTTTTGTTTCGTTCTGATTCTCTTGAAGGGGCAGTCCAGCCAAAATGTGAAATACATCCATTAGCAGCAAACGTGCCTACTCGCCTCCTGCAACCACGGTAAAGTTAGTTTTATTTTCGATATTCGCCTTTTCGGCGCTGATAACGTGATCAGACTACGATAGTCAGTAAAGACTTACATATTCATGACTGTACGACCACAGAGAGTGATGCACACCTGTTCTTTTGCAGTTTGGGTGACATTTAACGTACCGCTATTTTGTGTTAATACCATAGAACTAAGACAAGTGTTTCAGTCGGAAGGAAAATCATGCACTTCTAGAACACACCTACATCCATGCACACGCCTCTGTTTTCCTCCAAAGCGTTTCAGTGCATTTAAATACATATTTTAATTGTTCATGCTAACAATAGACACCGCCAGACAATAAAACGTCAATAGCTCCATAAACACTGTGTCCATGCACATCTGATTAATTGTGTTATTTGCTCTAAATTATGGTTAGAAACCCACACCACTTTAATTTAGAAAAAGGACTTTGAATTAACCTGTAACTAAAATGTACTTGCCAATAATTGTCCTAACAGTACTGAGCATACCTTACCTGTAAAAACTGATATTACCTGTATACCAATATAGCTAGTTAGCTTGATGACGGAGGTTCAGTAATCGATTAGCAGTCTTGAAGGTTCAATAGATCCTTAACCATCTAAAATATTAGTTTAGAAAATGAGAGTGCAGAAAAGAAAACGTCTTATTTAAGTGGATCAAATTGCAAATCAAAAGTTTTTTAAATCCATCAAACACCAAGTGAGTCAGACTTAAGTTTTAAATCTTGTACATTTTTTTCATTTTGAATTTTGATAACATTTTAAACATTGAACATTTAAATCAGCAGTGTTTGGTGCAGATAAGTTTCAAACACACAAACTTTGAATTTTACTTGAGGATATAATGTAGCTAAAATACTGCTTAGATGCAGCATTCACTGAAATTAATGCAGCTGAAATGCTTTTGAAGGTTAAAATACAAATATTAATATAAAGTAATTATTGCAGTACATTCAAAACTCAAAAGTTGTGTATGATTGCCGTAACTTACCTGCACCATACACAATTGTTTGTAGTGTTGGGTGTAATACAGCTGAAATGCTACTGAAATTCTAAATTGATAAAAGTTAAATCAATATATCCAAAATTTAAAGGCGTTGCATCATTGCTGACACCTCACTGCACCATACACAGCTGTTTTTAATGTTGTATATAATTCAGCTGAAATATTATTGAAATTCAAAACACATAAAAATTAATAAAACATAGTTACAGCAATATATTCAAAATCCAAAAGCTGTGCATCATTGCTGATACCTCACTGAACTATACTCAACTGTTTTTAATGTTGTAAATAATGCAGCTGGAATATTATTGAAATTCAAAATACATAAAAATTAATAAAAAGTAATTACAGTAATATATCCAAAATCCAAAGGCTGTGCATCATTGCTGACACCTCACTGCACCATACACAGCTGTTTTTAATGTTGTATATAATTTAGCTGGAATATTATTGAAATTAAAATACATAAAAATTAATAAAAGGTAATTACAGCAATATATCAAAAATCCAAAGGCTGTGCGTCATTGCTGACACCTCACTGCACCATACACAACTGTTTTTAATGTTGTATATAATGCAGCTGAAATATTATTGAAATTCAAAATACATAAAAATTAATAAAAATAATTACAGTAATATATCCAAAATCCAAAGGCTGTGCATGATTGCTGACACCTCACTGCACTATACTCAACTGTTTTTAATGTTGTATATAATTTAGCTGGAATATTATTGAAATTAAAATACATAAAAATTAATAAAAGGTAGTTACAGCAATATATCAAGAATCCAAAGGCTGTGCATCATTGCTGACACTGCACTGCACCATACACAGTTATTTTTAGTGTTGTATGTAAGATGGCCAAAATATTATTGAAGTGCAAAATAAATTAAAATTAATATAAAGTAGTTATTGCATTATATCCAAAATCCAAAGGCTGTGCATCATTGCTGACACTGCACTGCACCATACACAGTAGTTTTTAGTGTTGTATGTAAGATGGGCAAAATACTATTGAAGTTCAAATTAAATAAAAAATATTATGTATTTATTGCATTATATCCAAAATCCAAAAGGTGTGTATGACTGCTGACACTTCACTGCACTGTACACACTTCTTTATAGTGCTGTATGTAATGTTACTGGAATATAATTGAAATTCAAAATATATAAAAAAATATTTAAATGAGATATTGCATTAGATCCAAAATCCAAAAAATGTGTATGATTGGTGATACCTAGCTGCACTATACATGGTTATTTTTGGTGTTGTATGTAATGTGGCTGAAATATTATTGAACTTTGAAATATTATGAAAATCCAAAACTTGTGTATGATTGCTGACATCTTGCTGAACCATATACAATGGTTTTAGTGATGTATGTAATGTGGTTGAAATTCTATTGAAATTCAAAATACATAAACATTAATATAAAGTAGAAAGCTATTTCAGCTAAATTATATACAACATTAAAAACAGCTGTGTATGGTGCAGTGCAGTGTCAGCAATGATGCACAGCCTTTAAATTTTGGATATATTGCTGTAACTAATTTTTATTAATTTTTATGTATTTTGAATTTCAATAATATTTTAGCTGCATTATTTACAACATTAAAAACAGCTGTTTATGGTGCACCAAGGTGTCAGCAATGATGCACAGCTTTTGGATTTTGAATATATTGCTGTAACAAATTTTTATTAATTTTTATGTATTTTGAATTTCAATAATATTTTAGCTGCATTATTTACAACATTAAAAACAGCTGTGTATGGTGCAGTGAGGTGTCAGCAATAATGCACAGCGTTTGGATTTTGAATATATTGCTGTAACTAATTTTTATTAATTTTTATGTATTTTGAATTTCAATAATATTTCAGCTGTATTACACCCGACACTACAAACAATTGTGTATGGTCCAGTTTGGTTTCAGCAATCATATACAACTTTTGAATTTTGAATGTACTGCAATAATTACTTTATATTCATATTTGTATTTTAAGCTTCAAAAGCATTTCAGCTGCATTAATTGCAGTGAATCCTGCACTTTGAATCTAAGCAGTATTTTAAATGTTCAATGTCTAAAATGTCGAAATTGAAAATGGAAAAATAACTTAAGTCTGACTCACTGAGTTTTTGATGGATTTAAAAAAGTTTTGAGTTGCAATTTAATCCACTTAAATAAGACGTTTTCTTTTCTGCACTCTCATTTTTTAAACTAATATTTTAGATGGTTAAGGATCTATTGAACCTTCAAGACTGCTAATCGATTCAAGCTAACTAGCTATATTGGTATACAGGTAATATCAGTTTTTACAGGTAAGGTATGCTCAGTACTGTTAGGACAATTATTAGCAAGTACATTTTAGTTACAGGTTAATTCAAAGTCCTTTTTCTAAATTAAAGTGGTGTGGGTTTCTAACCATAATTTAGAGCAAATAACACAATTAATCAGATGTGCATGGACACAGTGTTTATGGAGCTATTGACATTTTATTGTCTGGCGGTGTCTATTGTTAGCATGAACAATTAAAATATGTATTTAAATGCACTGAAACGCTTTGGAGGAAAACAGAGGCGTGTGCATGGATGTAGGTGTGTTCTAGAAGTGCATGATTTTCCTTCCGACTGAAAAACTTGTCTTAGTTCTATGGTATTAACACAAAATAGCGGTACGTTAAATGTCACCCAAAACTGCAAAAGAACAGGTGTGCATCACTCTCTGTGGTCGTACTGTCACGAATATTTAAGTCTTTACTGACTATCGTAGTCCGATTACATGTTATTAGCGCCGAAAAGACGAATATCGAAAATAAAAATAACTTTACCGTGGTTCTCTAGCTCTAGCAGGGGTGCCACAATATTCTCAAGAGTGAGACTTACTAGTTTAAAGATGAGGAAAGCCCCCTGCTGATGATGTATCTTGAAGGTGGGAGGATTTTTTGAAAACCGCTTTGGGGCATACATGGATGGTAGGCTGCCTGATTTGTTTCCCATTAGCTAGCAGGAAGTTAAATATCACGTCTGTATTTATTATATTCTGAAACGTTCTGAACGGTTGTTCATCTCTCTCTCTCTCTCTCTCTCTCTCTCTCTCTCTCTCTCTCTCTCTCTCTCTCTCTCTCTCTCTCTCTCTCTCTCTCTCTCTCTCTCTCTCTCTCTCTCTCTCTCTCTCTCTCTCTCTCTCTCTCTCTCTCTCTCTCTCTCTGCCCGTGTTTGATTGACCGCTGAAGAACTGTGCTGTTGCTCTGTTTGATAAAGATGTGTCACGTGTTGTTCGCTGAACTGTCCCAATCTCAAACTCTTTATTTCTGATCACACGGGTGATAGCTGGAGTTCTGCCACGCACTGCAGCGGGGTGCTGGGATCGAAATCATGGAGGAAATGAACCAAAATCATCACGATGACTTAGTTCTCTTTGTAAATGGCAAAAAGGTAACTTGAAAATGAATGATTTCGTTACATTTTTGCGTTCTCCCTTTAGCTAATGCAGTCTAGAAAAGAAACGCCAAACTGAATGTTCAGCTATTCAAGTGTTGATAGTTGTTTTCAGTGATGAGCTTCTCCAATATTTTATTATCAGTAGTTTTTTCCAGATGTCAAAATCTCCTGTTGTGCAGGGTGTTTCGTTTCTAATGCTCTCTCCGCAGGTCGTTCAGAGAAATGCTGATCCAGAAATGACGCTCCTGACCTTTCTCAGGAGAAAGTGTATCCTCACATCTCACACTGCTGCTCGCTTAAGCTTTTGGATTAAAATGTTCATTAGTATTTAGTAACGTTTTATAGACTGGTGTGTTTGAATAAAGTAGCGAATCAGTGTCACTGAACTGATTGTTATTTGATGGAGCCTCAGTCTATCGTAAGTATCTAATAACCTCTTTCTATGTCTGTTGTGTTCTGTGATACTTCTATAATATTATATTATCTACATTATTATCTGTATATTACCTATGATATTTTCACATCCCATAATAGTGCTGTAAGACTGTCTTATAGTGATCTATAATACGTGTGTAGTATCCTGTAGAAAACTATAGTAAGGTTGTAATATAATTTACTCCTGTAGGAGTCCGGTCGAAGTTCTTGTAGTATTACTATCGATTTTTTAAGGTGTGTGAACATCTTAGAAATTAAAGTCTGTCTGCTCGTTTTGACAAACAAAATGATTTCCTCCTCTTTTTTGCTGCTGGAATTTTATGGAAGTTGATCCGATGTGTTTTGAAAATCATACCTCTTGATTTGCAAAGTACAAAGTTTATGAAGTTTACTGTGAGTACAGAATGGGGGTTTGGCCCTCTGCTGTCTTTTTATTGTATAATGTGTTCTCTGCATTGGGTTTCTTGCTAAACAAGGGGAATGTCAGCATGTTTATTAAGGATGTTAAACATAGTTCAACCTGAATTTATGAGAAATAAGAGTAATGAAAAACTGATATTTTTGCTACATATTCCTTTATTTCCACCATACATGCATGAGAATATCCCAATCTGAGTGTTTTTCTGAGCTTTCCCTTAACACTGCCAGTGAGTCTGACAGGAACTAAGCTGGGATGTGCTGAAGGTGGCTGTGGTGCCTGCACTGTGATGGTGTCCAGGTTTAATTCACATCACAACCAGATTATGTATCCTTTTCACAAAGCCGCAACTTTCCTCATATTTATGTTAATGGATTACACTTAAACTTAACTTAAATTTACTTAAACAGATAACTGTATAGTGAATAGCAGGTATACACAATAAACTGTTGTCATACGTGGACTGTTTCTGATAGCTTCTGCTGTTCAATTGCATGTTAAGTCTGTCTTTGTTTCAGTTGTGAAGTATGTCCTTGATAGCTCTGTCTCAGTCACCATGCTGTTAATGCCTGCCTAGCCCCTCTGTGCTCTCTGCATCATTGTGCAGTCACTACAGTTGAAGGAATTGGCAGCGTAGCCAGCAAACTCCATCCTGTCCAGGTATGAGAACAACCATTAACATTTTCAAAGTTCTTTTACATGTGTGGCTTGTGACTTCATAGAGTGTATATGTCTCATGATGTAGCATATCAGTCTGAATGTTACAAAAGTGCTTTGTTTTCCTCTCAGAGTTACCTTTGTTATATTTGTGAATTTCAGTGTGTTCGCTATAAAGGGTGACATTTCTATATCTCTCGCAGTATTTTTACAATATGTTATGCAACATTGCACTCGTGCAGGAACGAATTGCAAAGGCTCATGGATCTCAGTGCGGTTTCTGCACTCCAGGAATTGTCATGTCCATGTATGCCCTGCTGAAGAACAGCCCACAGCCTTCAATGCAGGACATGGAGGAAGCCTTCCAAGGTACAATGATTATTCACTGGTTTAATGATGCGTTTTGTCCTTGCCAACTATTTTTCTACCATGTTGCTTAAACTAAGCTCCCTATGAACACATAGGGAATTTATTCAGTCAAATGCACTAATACAGTTTTGGTGGTGGTCATAGGTAATCTATGTCGCTGCACTGGCTATAGGGCCATTCTTGAGGGCTACAAGACCTTCGCAAAGGTAATACAGTGTCTAAAAACTAGTGTTGTAACTTTATGATTGAATGTACCCACGGGTTATGCTGCGCGTTAAATTGTATTATCTTGTATTTTCTGTTATTTGGTGTTCAGCTACTGACCCTCAGTTACCGTTTTTTTTTCTTGCTAACGTAATCACACTGATCACTGTCTATGATGCCATCATTGGCATCATCATAATCATGTGGTAGTGTTCCTCTTTTGATGCTCTCCAAATGGAAAAGAAGAAAAAATTGCAATAATGTAGAAATGTTTCTTAAATTATTATGTCTAAGTTTAATGTTTAAGTCGTGATTTATCTGGATGAGTCATGTAGCTATATTAGGTGCAATCACAAGTTAAGAGTTTTCACCACATCTAAACTGTTATAAACTGTGGATGCTTTTATTAGGTACTGAACAACACATTATTTCACTGATATAACTGGTTGATATCAGTATAATCAGTATCAGTGAAAATCCCACCAATATGGCACCAATATTTAGTATTTATTATTTAGTTTTGTATTATAATGAAAAAATGTATAAAGAAGTGCTAATTTCTGAGCATTTTGCTGCCTTTATGGTCTTATACCAGCCTTTTCAGAAGCTTCTCTTCATGATTTTTTTCTATTTTCCGTTATTAAAACAGTATGTGCTCAAATAGTAAACTTGAAAACAAAACACCAGTGTAGTTAAAGTAATAAAATGATGTAAATGTATCCAAATCTAACCTAACATGAGAATAATATAAAACCTTTGAAGAAGGTGAAGAGAACTGGTTAAAATGAATAAAAATATGAGGTAATTTACAGAAACCAACAAAGCCAACAGTAAGCTCTTCCCCTAGCACTGCGATTTATTGACTTTGAGACATTCTGTTTATTTGTTTATTTGAGATTAAGAAATGCGACAAGTGACAACTGACAATCATATCAGTCAGTAAATTAATGAATTAAAACCACTGGAGTCTATTTAACCTTTGGCCTTATTAAATTATATTGGACACCACAATTAGTTTTAGAATTGTTTAGCTCATTAAAATAAGTATTGGTGATAAAAGTTTCATATGAGTTGAGTCCTACTTTTTAGAGTGCATCTGACGATCTTCTCCCTTCTATGCACAGCAGGGAGGATGTTGTGGGGGCAGAAGAAAGGGCAACGGCTGTTGCATGACCAGTGCACATGAAGATGAGCATGTCAATGTGAGCACAACCAATGTGAACTGGTGCTACAGTCTCAATTCTCACGCATTAGTAATCGAGGCATCACCATTTTGTATCTGTGCCTACTCCTGGTGAACCTTTAGTGTTCCTTGCTGGAAATCAATGTCACGGCAGCCATGTCAGTCTCATAGAAAGGGAGTCACATGTTTGTACAGGAATTCATGAGGCCATGAGGTGAAAGATGCAGTCATTAAACTGGTCTAGCTCACTTGTTTCACAAGCTCTTATTCAGCCATAGTACTGTGCAACAAAGTACACAAACCTAATCTATAGATCGGTTTATCACAGATCTCATATCTCTGTAAAGGATTTTTCTTGAGTGCATTGGCCTCTGCTCTTTACTCTATATGCATTAGTTTGATGGATATTTCTGTTTTCTAGGGAGATTCAACTCATTCAGGTCAACAGCTGTTCGATCCATCAGAATTTATGCCACTGGATCCAACACAAGAGATCATTTTCCCTCCTGAACTGATAGTACGTTCACAAACATGAACTATAATGTATCTAGTTCCATTGCAGTACCCTCACACTCACATACACCTTATTAGGAACACCATTCTTATACTAGGTAGGGCCCCACATTTTCCCTTCAGGCTAAATTCTATGAGAAAGGGATTTAACAGAGAGCATTTTCTTAGAGATTCTAGTCCATATTGACATGACTCCATCATGTAATAGCTGCAGATTTGTCAGCGGCATATTCATGCTGCGAATCCCATTCTACCACATCCCAAATGTGCTCTGCTGGACTCAGATCTAGTAACTGGGCAGGCCACTGAAATACACTGAACTCATTGTCATGTTCATGGCGATTAGAAGATGGGTAAACTATATCCATAGAAGGATGCCTGTGGTCAGCAACAATGTTCTGCTGTTGCAACCCTTCCACCAGTTTGACGCTGTGCATTCAGAGATGCTTTTTTTATCACCACTGTTGTAAAGAGTGGTTATTCATGTTAATTTAACCTTCCTATCAGGTCAAAAAAGTTGTATCATTCGGTGTGAACTCTAGAAACTGTTGAAAATGAAAAGCCTAGGAGATCTGCAGGTTCTGAAACACTTAAACCACCCATCTGGCACCAACAACCATACTATGGTCAAAGTAACATTTTCTCCATTTTTATGTTTGATGTGATTATGAATTGAAATTCCCGACCCATATCTGCATGATTTTATGCATAGCGCAATAGTTAGTGATGTGTGCAAAAACCTCAGCAACTCATACCAACAACACACACACTACCAGTGTCAGTGTCACTGCTGTCCTGGGAGTGGTCCACTACTCAGACAATATATGGACAGCAGCAGTCGTGTTCTCAGAAATGGACCAATTATGAGTGGAGTAGAGAGAGCCTGAAAAATGTTCTGTGACAACTGTATGTGTACACCTGAATAACGGACCTACATGATAGGTGGACCTCAGGAAGTGGCCAGTGATTGTAAACACATGGTAGAAGCTTCTAAGAAAGTGAATAGCAAGAGAATAGCTAGTGTATAATTTTGATGTCACTCTACAGAGTCTTGGTAAACAGCCACCTAGGTCATTGAGATTCATCGGGGAGAGAGTACTGTGGATTCAGCCCAGCTCGCTGAATGAACTCCTGCAGCTCAAGGCAGTCTATCCAGCAGCCAAGCTGGTGGTGGGGAACACTGAAGTAGGTGAGGCCCTCAACTGAAAATGTTGTGTACTAAAATCATACAGAGAATATCGCTCCACAGGTCTGGATAGTGTTGTAGTCAAAAACGCTAGGTCCGAGTCCGAGTCAAGGCCATTTGTCTTCCTGCTCCTGCTGTCTGTAGGAATGCATGTGTATGGGTTTCAGCAACGCAGAAAAAGTAGCTCAGAGCAGAGAGTTAAGTACACAGGGAAAGCACTGTTTTACTCTGGTTTAATTGATATTCAATAATAATTCATCTTCCAGTTATCTCAGACGGAGGCATCGGAGCATGAGGTTGAGACTGAGACCGCTTGTTTATGGTCTCAGGAATGGACTACTACAACAACTCGAGTACTAGGTCTGGAATCTCAAATGAACGTGGACAAGTTTCCGAATGCCAAAAAGGCACCTTTTGGGGCGATACAAAAAAAATGTTTTTGGTTTTCTAAAGATCCTTTAATAACCGTTTCATGGTTCTTGAAAGAACTATCCTTGTAAATGAGATGTGCGAGAGCAAATAATCTTTTTAAAGTTTGAAGAACCTCCACATAATGTGTACGTTCTTTATTGATTAAAGGTATTTCCTGGAACTATACAAATCAAAAAACAAGTAGAGAATGTATGACATGTCAGTCACTTGACAGCAAGTTGAATTCAGTTGGTGATGAAAGATGTCGCTGGTTCTTCTTTCATTGTCGTCATCTTTGTGGCTTTAAGGTATTGAAATGAAATTCAAGAACCTCCTGTACCCTGTGATCCTGGCACCAGCATACATCCAAGAACTCAGCAGCATTCAATACACTGAAAATGGTCAGTATGTTGTTTTCTCTTAATGTACTAATATAAGGTGTAATTCCATACAGTCACTTCTTTGACCTGATATAGATTCACTGGTTACAACCCTAATCCAAAGCTTTTTCTTTGGATTTCTCTTTGGTTATATGTCCAGGCTCAAGAGCAAGATGGCTTCTTCAGTATTCATAAATATTTGACAAGTGATAGCATGCTTATCATATAAGGCATTGTGATAAACAGTAATATGCTATGCAAAAAAAGTTATGTGAAACACTGCTATTGTTATATGCATTTCAACTGTTGCAATTTCACCTTATCTTGGAGAACATTGCCCATGTCTGTCTGTATGTTTCTGCCTTAGGGATTGAATTTGGAGCATCTGTCACATTGACTGTGCTGGGGAAGAAATTGCGTGAAGAGGTAGACAAGTTGCCCAGCTACAAAACCGAAGTCTTCCAGGCCATACTGGAGCAGTTGCGCTGGTTCGCAGGACAGCAGATCCGAAATGTTGCTGTATGTCACTTCCCTTTTAGTGAAGTGCTGAACAGCATACCTTACCCCCTTTAGTCTTGAGAAAAAGTTTCTAGGTCATTAACAGTAGGCCAGCAGTAGTCAATTGTGTGCATATTGAGAATTCTATGACTTAGAATATGGCTCAGCCAATCAGATTCTCAGATCTCAGTATACACACAATTGTGAACCAAAAGTTTTCAGTGACACCTATCATATGCAAGCCATTATCACCAACAGTAAATAGTAAACACAATAAATTACATTACTTCAGATTGTGTACCTAATGTCTTGCTAATGTGACCTGCTACAGATGTATAAAAAGGCTGGGCGTACCGGTCATATTACATGTTTTGTTGATTTTGTAAGTGAAAATAAGAACACACTATACTGATGTACAAATACTATTTATTTGCAGCATGTAACATATTGTTAAAAAAAAAAAAGTGCAAAAGTTGTTGAATATTTTATATTGTATATGTTTTATTTTGTTCCAGTATGTTACACTCAGCAAATAGATTGATTTTCTGTAAGATTTAAAGGAAAAATACCATATTTAAGGTTAAATCAAGTATTTTAAAAAATAGGCATCTCAGAAATCACTGATGCCAGATTCACAAATGTCTGTGTTTGTGAGTGTTTCTGTATTTGTAAGGTGTGTGTGGGCTGACTGTCATGTGTGTGCTGTCAGGCTATTGGTGGGAATATTATGACAGCAAGTCCTATTTCAGACCTTAACCCTCTGTTTATGGCGGCGGGCTGTAAGCTAACTCTGATGTCCAAAGGTAAAATAACGATTTTTTTTTTCTTGTTGTTTTCTATTTAAGGATCAAAGGTTACTTGGATCTCTGCGTGTTCTGATACGGGGAGAGTGAATGCAAAGGACATAGTCTGAATGAAAATTGAGAAGGAAACGGAAATTGATAAGATGCCGTGTACTTGATCAACAATTAGTGTAGTTGTGATTTGTTGGTTAGAAAAATCAATAATGGATGATCTCATGATATGATTAAATAAGTAATTTAACCACACTATTCATTGAATACAAGATGTGTAATCACATTGCATACTTATTGTTTATCATAATGTATTAAACATCATATTGTTTGTTTGAAGAGGGGAAACGTGTCCTTCAGATGGATGACAAGTTCTTCAGTGGCTACAGGAAAACTGCTCTGAAACCTGAAGAGATTCTGCTGTCCATTGAGATTCCATACACAAAAAAGGTCTGATTTAGCACATCTTCAAAAGAAACAAAATAAATAAAACCAGTTTTGCTGCAGTTACAAAACAGAATGTTATTTGGTTTTATAGTGTGAAACGATTAACTACACTGTATACCAAAAAAACAAAACAAACATGCTTTAAGGTTATTTTGCTGTAAATGTAACAATTGCATCAGAATAAAAATGAGATTACACTGTTTTCTAGGGCCAGTATTTCTCAGCCTTTAAGCAGTCAACTCGCAAGGAGGACGACATCGCCACCGTCACTTGTGGAATGAATGTCATCTTCCAGCAGGGCTCCAACATCATTCAGGATATCCAACTCAGCTATGGAGGAATGGCCCCCACCACTGTTCTCACCACTGCTACGTGCAACCGGCTCATTGGCAGGTAATCTAGATGCTGTTTTTGTAAACTGAGTATAGATTACAAAGGTAATTGCCAAAAGCTTTAGAATGTATTGTTTAAATTGAACATTGATTATTACAATTGCCTTGTTTACATGGCTGTAGGAGGTGGGGTGAGGAGCTGATGGAGGATGCCTGTTCTTCCCTAGCTGAGGAGATGACACTGTCCCCCTCTGCTCCAGGTGGGATGGTGACATATAGACGCGCGCTGACCATCAGCCTGTTCTTCAAATTCTACCTCACCGTCCAGCAAAAACTGGCTCAGATGGTAAAACCGACTTATGTTTGCTTCAGTCATAGCCACGGTAAAAAAAAATATGAATAGTAGGTTAAATGATTGTATATGTGCAGTGCAGTTCTGTGCCAAACTTAGAGACCACTCATTCATTTATTTTCGGCCAAAACAACTATTAACATACTAGCAGAAAATATAATTAATAGAAAATAACACAGAAGCATCATCAATTAAATATTTCAGTATTTTCAGTATTTAGTGTGTCCACCCCTTACATTTATTACAGCTTCCATTGTTGTGGGAGACTTTCACTTCTTCAAAAAAATCGTGCTTCTTGTAAAGCTCTTTGCACTTTCTGCTACTCACAATCCAAGAAATCTCCTCATTAGATTCCTCATTCCATGAAACTGAGATGCTCCACATCTCAGGTGTCCAGTTTCAATATTCTAGTGTAAATTGTCTTTGTTTTTGTCTATTTACTTTTCTCAGGAATGGCTTGTTGAAAGCTAAACATTTTTTCAGACCTATATAATTGAATTGCCTTCTTACAGTGGAAGTTTGGATAGAAACACCTGTGGATTTTTTCAGATCTGAAGCAAGAGTGGAACTTGATTTTCTCCTGTCTCTCAAAGACAAAATCATGAAGTACTGTTTATGTGATGGTGATTTCAAGATTGGAAGGATAGAAAAATTAAAGTGGCAGTAGGGTGCGCGAAAGTAAAGAGTGGACAAATTACAAAAATTACTGGCTTCTGTGATGTACTGTGCCAGCTAATTGTTATCTGTGTCTCTACAGCATCTTTCTGTTGAAGATGTCAAACCTAATTATGCCAGTGCTATAGAGCTGTTCCACGTGGACTCTCCAACCAGTGTTCAGCTTTACCAGGTACACTGCCTCAAGGCTAGTTCTATCTTCTGCAAAAGCATTAAAATCTAATTACACAGCTGATGTTTTTTGTACATCTCTGCTAGATAAAACATTACGTCCATTACTTTTCGTAGACAGTTCCACCTGGTCAGAGCACAGATGATATGGTAGGTCGTCCTATCATGCATCTATCTGCCCTTAAGCAGGCCACAGGAGAGGCAGTGTACTGCGACGACATCCCTCAATATGAGAACGGGCTCTATTTGGCCCTGGTCACCAGCACTAAAGCTCACGCTTACATTAAGTAAGTATAAACTACTTATGTTAAATGCAGTATTTTTTTTCTTTGTTTTGTTGTGAAATGAGGTTAAGTGTGTAAAGGTGTATTTATACCATTTATATAAGCAATTATGAAATGTTGATAACACTCTTAAAAATAAAATTAAAGATTTGCTGTGGTGAAAAGTAATTTATTGCATTAGTTACTGTACATGTCCAGTGGATTGATCCAGGTATACATACAGTTTGAATATCTTACAAAATCATAGAAAAAAAAACTTTACCCATGTATTCAATTAAAGATTTGCTTTATTTAAAACAGATTTACATTTATATTCTCAAAGTAATGCAACTGTCACACTACCATTCAAAAATAAAGAACTACTTGTCATATTAATGACCTTTGTAATTTTACAATACAATTACAATAAACTAGACACCAAAATGTATTTTAAATGTTTATTAAACATTTCAAGAAGTGATTGAATGGTAAATACTATACTGTTTTGTTTTTTCTTTTCTCCTTTTTTTTGCCTAGATTTAATCACTACTTGACATTCTGGATGTTTATGTGTTAATTCAATTAAATTCTTAATGTTTTCTCAGTCATTTTAAAATCATATAATTGTATTGTACAGCTCTGTTCATCTTTCTGGACTCAAATTTCTTTTTTCCCTTTAATTTCCTACAAATTATTTGAGGCCTGTGAAGTTTAACAGTACTAGCACTTTACCTGCTTTAGAATCCTTGTATACATTTATCTATAACATAATTGATTTTCCATTTTTGCAAACATTGATTCCACACTTCTGATTCCACATTTTTTGAGCATTAGTCATGTGCGTGTATGTCTTTTGGCAGATCTATAGAAACTGATGATGCTATGGCAGTTCCAGGAGTAGTTACATTTGTCTCTGCCAAGGACCTCCCCGGGAGCAATGAGACTGGACCTGCTGTCTATGATGAGACTGTCTTCGCTGACAAGGTTACTTGTATAATATGTAAACACACACTATTACTAATAAATGATGGTATATGGAGTAATGGCAAATTGATTTATGTACCAAAAGGTTCATTTTCTGTCACTGGACATTTACATCATTGTATTGCATATGGTTTGTATGGTTATGGCTGTAACCTCTGAAAAAAAAGGGGCATGGAAATAAGGTCATCCTTGTGACATGTTTCTAGTCTAGTGTGTGAAATCTCTCACATGCACCTCACTTGACATCTGAGTGTTCTGTTGCACATTCAAGTAGCAGATCAGAGATTTCAGGGCTTTATTCATACTTATTGCACACTGGATAAACATCTAGTGATGTAAAAGCATAATGTAAGTTATGTAAGTAAGTAAGGCGTGCCTGTCAGTCTCTAGTTTGGGATGGTTGCAAATCATCTTTGGGGGACGTGCTAGTGACATGAGCAGTATAGACTACTGTCAGTAGTTCAGTGATTTAAACATCTTCTATTTGCATTCAAGTCTTCAAGCCTTCTACGTGAGATACACAAAAAACAATATTATATCACTCATTTTTGATAAAAAACATTAACATAACCATGCCATAAACACGCTATTGCAGATGACATATGCTGTCATGAGTGGTCATGACAGTTTTCTTTCAGTGATATAACAATGTATAACATTACAGATAATTGTCATGACAGATGCCATTATGTTTGATTTTGTGAGAGCTTATGTCACATGCTAACTTTTTGTTAAGCATACTCTAGTTAGCCATCATGGCACCAAACATTATGACATCTGTCATGACAATTAATGGTAATGGTAACATAGCACTGTTATATTCTGCTGTGGCACTGTGAAAAATGTAAATTAAAAATATTAATAGAAAAAAACCATAAAAATATTGAAAAATATATTCCCATTTTGAATTTGATGCCGGCAGTATGTTCCAAAAAAGTTGAGATGGGGACAACAAAAGACTGTTTATATGCACACAATGAACTAGGAAATTAATAGGTTTTGTTGGTATTATGTCAAGACAAATACAGAGTGTGTCACAGTGATGTGCCTCTTTTAATCAGGTCACATGTGTGGGACACATAGTGGGAGCCATTGTGGCAGACACGCAGGCTCATGCACAAAGAGCAGCCAAAGCTGTGAAGATTTCTTATGAGGAACTCCAGCCTGTGATTGTTACCATTCAGGTATGTTGATATTCCACATTTGTCTATCCCCAAATCCCCAATTGTGTTTACTAGCTTTACTAGTTGGGAGATCATGTAATTCTGGAGGTAAATGCAGGGATGGAAGTAAAGAGAAACTATCCTCTTCTGACTTGATTATAATACAAGCATGGAGAAAAGAATGTACCTGAGTGACAGTCAAAAAGTGTCTATTTAAACAGGTATTTAAACATACTGAAGTGCATAAAAAGGAAATGTTTTTGCAGATTAAATTAAGTGTCAGGAGTAATATTAAATAACTTTAATGCTGTACTCACCCAGACTAGTGAGGCTTGCTAATGGGCAATACTAGTCATTGCACGAAGATGAATTAGCACAGTTGTGAGCAAGTTTAATTCTACCTTGATATCTTAGTATCCATATTGGCCTCCTGATTTCTTCTGATTTTGCATATTTGTCAGACTTAATTGTTTCAGAACTTCAAACAAAATAAATATTTTTTAAAAATTAATATAAGACAAAGTCAACTTGAATAAACCCAAATGCAGTTCTTAAATGATTCATTTAACACCAACACCATTCATCACCAGCTGGACCTGTGTGAAAAAGTAACTGCCCTCTTAGTTACTCAACCAACCCTTTAAACTAATCAACAAATAATTGGGATAAATCAAATTAGACATACCCTAGTTTAATTACTACCACCCTGTTGAATCTGAACATCTCTTAATTTGAAACATTCCAGCAATATGAAGTAAGCTAAAAGGTCTCAACACGCAGCACACTCTGCCTCAATCAGATGAAATTCCAAAAGAGATGAGAAAGAAAGTTCTTGAAATACATTAGTCTGGAAAGGCTTACAAAGCCTGGCTTTCCGACTTCAGCGAACCACAAAAGGAGAATACTTTGATCAGCAGTGAACCTTCCCAGAAGTGGCCAGCTACCAAAATTCGTCCAAGAGCACAGAGAAGATCACATCAGGATCCACTATTGCCAGCCAAGAACAGAAAACTGAGGCTGCAGTGGGCACAGACTCACCAAAACTGGACAGTTGAAGACTGGAAAAACAGCCTGGACTAATGAATCTCAATTTATGCTGGGGCACACCGATGGTAGGGTCTGCATTTGGTGCCAACAGCATGGACCCAACCTGCATTGCGTAAACAGTCCATGCTGGCGGAGGTGGTGTAATACTTTGGGGCCCTATAATACCAATCAGTCATTGCTGTAATACCACAGGCTGTTTGAGTATTGTCGCTGACAATGTGCATCCCTCCATGGCCACAATTTACCCATTTTCTAATGGCTGCTTCAGGCTTTATAATGCACCTTGTCACAAAGCAAAATTACTCTTAAACTGGTTTCAGTAACATGGAAATGAATCCAATAGAACACCTTTGGGATGTGGTATAACGGGAGATTCACAGCATCGAAGTACACCTGAAAAATCTACAGGAATTTCATGATGCACTCATGTCAACATGGACCATAATAGCAAAGTAATGTTTCCTATATCTTGTGGAATCTATGCCATGAAGAATTGAGGCTGTTTTGAGAGCAAAGGCAAGCCCTACCCTGTAATAGTATAATGTTCCTAACAAAGTGTTCGGTGAGTGTAGGTGTTGCAAAACTTTTTTCCTGCAATAAATAAAATGCTCATTAACAAACTGTTTTGGGTTTCCTCAGGTTCTTGTCATTAATTTTTACATGATCCGAAAGCATATATTAATATTTACCTAATGCTTTCTACACAATTAAACACATCAGGGAATAACAAAGCATATGTGTTAATAAAAGACTGGGTAATATGTGAGTAGCCATTAATAATAGCAGTTGTTAAGCATTAACATATTGCTTACTCATTCTGTTAATTAATACATTAACTTGCTTTCTATACATTAAATTAATACATTAAAATGCTTCCTATAATGCATAATGTCTGTTTGGAAATGATGTAGATTAACAGGATAAAACATAAATAAACTATTAAATCTATAAATCTAATGAAAATAAATATATAATTTCAGTCACAAACAGAAGGCTCTCATTCCACAGACGTGCATTACAACCTTATCTACTATCTTTCTTTGTTATGTGTTTTTCATCCACCCAACATACCACTGAACCAAAATTTTCCCAAAGGCTAAAATCTTATTAATCGATAGTAAAGCAGTTAAATAATGTTGAAAGGTTTAATGGATTAGCACTAAAGTTTCTCTTATCCAGCAGAAACGTGGTTCCACAGAGGGCATGCGTCGTGTAAGAGCCCTCTAATTTCAGATGTCTTTCACTGAATTACACCAGAAAAACTGATGGCTGGCAAAAGAAAACATATATGGCTGACCCTGGTGTCCTACCGGATCATGAACACCAGTTAGGGCAACCTTTTTTTAATGACTCAGGCAAAGCAAACTGAAATCTTTTGTGCTTGTTCACAGGATCTTTAGAAACTCTGTAAAGAAAGCCATTTACCAATGTCAGTTTCTCCCAGTCCTTCAGCATTTTCAAAATCTGAGGGATTTCACTTAAGTGCTCGTGCTTCCCAGTCTGACTCAATAAGGTAGCAATAACACTGCCCAAGGAACCACTGGAAGTCTTCATATTGCTCACCTGGGGCTTGGCAGTATTTGGACACTCACTTGTGAAATGGCATGGCTTTTAGGCAGTGGCAACAAAGTTGATGAAGTTTACAATGATCAGATGTTGAGTGTTCTTGTTTTCCACTCACTCGACAAGGCTGGTGGGTTTGTCCCTGACAGCTGTAGGGTTGTTTGTGTTGCTCTTAACATTGAAAAAGAGAAGTTATGCAAAGTAAAAGAACTTTGTCAAGCATACTAACCACCTCTTTACAGCTTGGCTTTGGCCAATAGGATCAGAAGATGGATTAACTGAATTAGTGAAGCGCTGCAGGACTGTAAATGACTAGGGGTTTGAACAGGTTCTTGAGACTTGTGCTGTTTGATAATGGCTTAATTGGTGTGAGGCCCATCCTATGTTCCGTTACTAATGCCTGTGAAGTGTTCACTGTAGTTTTTGTCAAATCCAGGCAGATCACAGCTCTCTGAGTGGGCATGGCTATGTGTTGAGAAGACCTGTCACTCAAAATCAGTCTAATAGAAAGTGCAGGTGAACGCCTTCTTCGAAGTCCCACCCCCTGTTAAAATTTCAGAAGCAAAAGAGCAATTCCAGAATCAAAAAATATAATATATATACCAGCAAATATATACTAGCAAATAGAAAAAAAAAATAAAGCAAAAAGGTGAAATAAGTAATACATTTATATCAGACTGAGAGAAAATGAGTAGTAATCTTTTTTGAAAAATTAAGTTTGATTAAACTCTCATTATTTGTATTTGCAACATATTTTGGACATTTTGATACTTTATATTTTGCTTGTGAATTTAATTATTTTTTTGAAACTTTTGGCACAAAATTAACTTCATAATTTTATTCTGATAACAGAAATAATACAGCCTTTTAGTATTGGTTAGCGAGCCACTGCTTCCTCTCTCCTCTCCTCAACTCCTTATAGGAGGCAAAAGTCAAAAGGGCACAAAGCCTAGCAAAGGTAACAATATAATGTGCGACAATTCTAATTCAGAAACAACAGCTGATTAACAATAATAATTATTTAGCTTTGTAAACAGACAGATGGGCGCGTACACTTAACACTTAAACTCCGCTGTAGCGCTTAAAATAATATTTCAGGCTTTTACAACTTTATACATGAAATGCATACCTGATAAAATAAATAATACAGCCTTTTTTATTGGTTAGCAAGCCCCATGCTTGCTGACCAGTACATTGCATGGAACATGCAGTGTTATGTTAGCAAAATGTGCATGACCATAATTCACTCTAAAATTGACCATCAACAAAATATGACAATTGCTGATAATGATTAAGATTAGACATGAGGCATAATCTGATACCTACCTCCTTATATGAGACAAAAGTCAAAAGGGGAGGATGTAGGGGAAGGGAAGGAGAGTTAAGAGAGGAAAAAGGGGAAGGGGATGTCCCAGCATAAACTGTACCACACAAATACAGTCCATATTATAGAGAATTTTGTGTAATTATAACATTAAAAGATATATAGATTTTGAACTCATACAAGATATTGATTTCTGTATTGTTATTAGTCCATAATTTGTGTTTACACATCATCTTCAAACATACAGTATACATTATAAAAAGGATCTTAATTAATATAGCATTGTTGTATTCATTAACCAAATTAGTTAGCAATATGTTAATGTTTAACGATTACCAATATTAATGGCTATTCATATATGACTCCATTCTTTATTATATATGCTTCATTATTCACTAATGTGTTAAGTATTAGTCTATACATCATTGATTCATTGTGATGAAAGCACTAGTTAAATATGCTTATTTGTGGACCAGTATTGTAAAGTGTTACTCAACTACCTAAAACAGACACCTACATGCATGTGAACTCGCACACATACCAAATGAGAACTTTGAACTGTGTTGGCAGGTTTTCCAAGTACAGATAAACCAAGCTATACCCTTAGGGGTACAGTCTGTACAGTTTAAGTGATATTAAATAATGTTTCTTTCTTTTCTAATGTTTTTTTTAAAGCTATTCATAACAGAACACAAAATATGCTATATGGTATTCAAGAAATGTTTATGCTTTATCCAGTATTTCAACTGTCAGCATTACATAATATGGTTATACAGTCCGAGGGTTTCAGCGAAATGACCACAGCAGGTTAGAAAGTATACAGCAGAAGAAAGATAAGCTTGATTACATCGGTTCCCTATCAGCTTGTGTACATACAGTGCGTGCTTGGGTCGTTTGCTCTAATCTTTTTCTTTTGTACAGGATGCCATTGCCAATCAATCATTCTACCGGCCAGTGAGAATGATAGAGAAAGGAGATCTCGCTAAAGGGTTTCATGAGTCTGATAACATCCTGGAAGGTATTATACCCTCTGAATGTTTAAAAATAGAATCAGTAGCCTAGTTAATGTACTTTGCAATAGAGATGGCAGGATAAAACTTATATAAAGTATTATATAGTATTACTAATATATTAAATACCCATACTGAAAAACTTCGACTGATATCAGTCCAATATTTTTAAAAGAGCTATATTTAATTCCAACATTTCACTTAAGATAACAATCTAAAAGTAGGCCACCATATTCAAATCACTCAAAAACTACACCACAGGAAGAAATACACAGCTACATCACATGAGAAAATGTGAGTGTGTGTTATTTCAAAATAAATTTGTTTTACAAACAAATGTTTGTGCAAAAGTTTAAATATTCTCAAATTACCTGTTTTGTTGATTTCCTCAGTGAAAAGAATAACATCCTCTACAGGGAACAAACGTAAATAAGGCCTTTTTGATGTCCCATTTTTGTGTTTGTGTTTATGTGCCATAACTTTTGCACAGGCCACATTTTATATTTTATACATTTTTTTCCAAATATGTTAAATTCAGCAAATAAACACTAATTGTGACTAAAAATATGCAAAAAAATTGAAGAGGATGTGTGCTATTTTCTGTTCAGAAAATCAGCAAAACATAATTAGATCAGTGCCTTTAAGACTGTATATCAGTCTTAAAGGCACAGTAACAAAAACTGTTTTTGGACAAACATTTGTTTTAGATGAAACCAAACAAATGTTGTAAGTGGACTTGAGGGAAAGGAAAATGTGGGACATTTCAAGAAAAATGTGGGACCTGATCCTTTTTAATAGCTTAAATGAGTGTAATATGTAAAAGTTACTTTAAGTTTTGTATGCTGCTTGGTCTCTGAAATCACAGAAGCTGTTTGTTTGCAGTTATATGCTCAATTGTGACTGAATTAACTTCTGCCTGTTGTTTTGGATTGGTTCTTAGGTGAGATACACATAGGAGGGCAGGAACACTTTTACCTGGAAACAAACTGTACCCTGGCTGTCCCGCGAGGAGAGGACGGAGAGATGGAGCTGTTTGTGTCCACACAGTCGGCCTCCAAGACACAAGTAATCAAACATTTTGAGTAATCAAACAAAAACTGTTGTGAGGGAGGTTAAATGATTAAATGGTTTTCTGGTTAACATTCTCCTAAGCTCTGATTTTAAACGCTTAAAGTTGTTCAGAATTTTCTCTCATCATATCGATGATATTTTGTTGAAATAAATGTGAGAAAAGTGATGCAAATGCAAAATAAGGCATTTATACGGTATTTAGAATGAAATAAATACAAAAAATGCAATGGCAAAATAAGACTAAGCTGCAAAAGAAAGCTGCACTAAGCTGTTTGGAAGGTGTTAGAGAAATGCTACACCATGCTAGTACCCTGACAGTTTATGCTGCTTTGTTTCAGGCACTTGTAGCCAAAGCACTAGGAGTGCCGGCCAGTCATATAGTGTGTCGAGTGAAAAGAATGGGAGGAGGATTTGGTGGGAAAGAGAGCCGGAGCGCCATTCTCTCCACTGTCGTGGCTGTTGCTGCCCATAAGTAAGAAAACAAAATGCATGCCTCGTGCACAGACTCTAACTAGAACTATTCAATCTTAAACATTCAATGCGTCACACTATCCTGAGTTCTTTACATATTCACATTAACTTGTTGTCATGGTAGGCTGCTAACAGTAGTCATTGGTTTACGTGGATTGTATTCTCATTTTCACTGCTTCAATGCTTCCAACACTAGTCACAGCTTTCAATCTTTTTGTAGGTCTATTTCTCAGTTTTCTTTCTCTGATAGGTTCTAATAGTAGTCATTGGATAATGTAATCTATCATTTCTCTTCTTTAATCCATATTCTCTGTTGTGAACTCATTGCCAAATCTTATTCTTTATTTATATTGCTCATGTTGTATTACTGTTTTGCTCCCAGAGGAAGGTGGATTCGACTTTTGAGTCTTAAGTCTTCCTCTTGCTCTCAGGGAGTTTCTCCTTGCCACTCTCGCCCCTGGCTTGCTCATTTGGGACTTAGAGCCAGATTTTTTTTGTAGAGCTGCTTTGTGACAATGGCCATAGTAATAAGCGCTGTATAATACACATTTTGAATTTAATTGAAATTGAACGTGAGTTTGCAGATATTCAAAAGCACCTCACTTTTAAAATGTCTTTTTATAGAGTCAAAAGACCAGTTCGCTGCATGTTGGACCGTGATGAGGATATGCTAGTCTCAGGTGGCCGACATCCATTCTTTGGGCGTTATAAGGTAATACTACCTTATATATAATTTATTTAAAACTATGTTCCCTAATGCCTATAAAAAATCACTATTGGATAGACACATCAAATTAGTATCAAAGTAATATTCACCCCAAGCTATTAATGACAAATTTGCTACAATGCATGTAAGGAACTAAATATAGGTCTACATGATGTTTATGCTCAAGTGTAACACTATATTTCCTAAAAATTGTTTAGGTTGGATTCAAGAAAAATGGAAAAGTGATGGCTCTTGATGTGACTTACTACAGCAATGTAGGAAATTCAATGGACCTTTCTCTATCAGTGAGTATCAGAATTTGAGCTTTTTCACAGAGTCTGCTCAGTAGTGCCACTTGATGGCTTGAAAGAGAAATCACACACATTACACACACCAGACTTTGCATTTCACTTTTATGTAAAATTGCCTCACTCAGTTATTGAGTTTGAGTCTCAAAGTGGTGCATAGCGATATTTTTATTTATTTATTTTGGCTTTCTTTAGATTATGGAGCGGGCGCTCTTCCATATGGACAACTGCTATAACATCCCTCACATTCGTGGCACTGGTTATATGTGTAAGACCAATCTACCCTCCAACACTGCGTTCAGGGGCTTTGGCGGGCCGCAGGGAATGATGGTATCAGAAAGCTGGATAAGTGACGTTGCTCTGTGCTGTGGCATCCCTGCTGAACAGGTTTAGTTTGAACTTTCAGGATTCTCTCGTTTTCTGTAACATTGGCCTAATGTTATCAGTGTTGTGATCAGTAGAGTGGGTATCTAGCAAGTTACCAAGTGAAGCTAGTCAGCTTCATACCCACATTCTCTAGTGCCAAACAAAATTTGTAATTGTATCTTGTCTGAACAGATGTGTTTCAGCTCAGTCTTTCTTACATTAAACAAAACGTTCACACAAGCTGCAGTAAACGTTTATTTGGCAGTAGTGAGTGTGGGTTTGAGTCTCAATACCTGGCACTGATAAAGTGATTATCAAGTAGAGGATATAAGCCCATTCTGTCACTCTTTTTTGTCTTCATACTGCAAATATTCATCTGGGTGACATATATGGCTGCACTCTTGAAAAAGATGGTTCTTCAAGGGTTCTTTAGTACAGATGAATGGTTCTATGTAGAACCATGAACACTCAGGAAACCCTTTGCATGCTTAAAAGATTCTTTGCATTGTTAAATTGTTCTTAGGATTGATGGAGAATGTGTTGTATATGGTTCTTCATAAAACCTTTTTGAAAAGGATTCTATATAGGACCAAAAGAGGTTCTTCTATTGTTACAAGCTTGACATTGTAACAATAGAAGAACTTTTTTTGGTGCTATATAGAAACCTTTTCAAAAAAGGTTCTGTATAGACCCATATACAACACATTCTCCATCAATCTAAAGAACAATTTCGTGATGAAAAGAACTGTTCAAGCATGCAAATGGCTCTTTGATTGTTCATGGCTCTATATATAACCATTTGTCTGTACTAAAGAACCCTTGAAGAACATTTTTATATATTGCCTTCCTTAACTATTAGTATCTTTCTCTCTCTCTCTCTCTCTCTCTCTCTCTCTCTCACTCATTTGAATTATGGCATTTCTGCATGCTCTCATGTTCACAACTATCCAGCACAGCAAGCCAGCATTTTTGCTTGTTTAACAAAATGCTTATTATAGTATCTGCTTGCACTTGCAGGTGAGGGAAATAAATCTATACAAGCAGGGAGAATGCACCCCATTTAATCAGTGTCTGGAGCAGTTCACCATAGACCGCTGCTGGGAGGAGTGCATGAATATCTCAGACTTCCATCAGCGCAAGGCCAGAGTGGAGCTGTACAACAAGTAAGAGACATGATGCCAATTCAAGACCAAAAAGCTCATTCTTAACAATAACGCTTTTAGAATCATGGTTTATATGAAATATCATAAAGAGGAAGGGAATGATCTGGGCTAATCAGTTTTAAAGGCATTATTAAGCATCACGCTAGCTAGTAAATGTTACCAAACAGTTTGTGTGATATTTTGGCAGACAACATCGCTGGACCAAAAGAGGCCTGTCCATCATTCCCACCAAGTTTGGTATCAGCTTTACTGCCATCTTCCTCAACCAGGTCAGATCTCTTACAGCCTCTTATTCACCACTGTTTAACAGTGTGTGTGGGGGTTGATTTAGACTGATAATTGTTTTGTTTTGTTTTGTTTTGCAGGCAGGAGCGCTAGTTCATATCTACACAGATGGTTCAGTTCTTCTCACCCATGGAGGAACAGAAATGGGGCAAGGCCTTCATACTAAAATGATACAGGTAATGGATTGCAAAATGCATCCAGACATGCTTACTTGTCCTATGATAAAGTTATCAGTGTTTTACTTTAGAAACAATGTGCTGTTCATTAAGGACATACCAATATAGACCAATAATGGGCCAATAAGTATAATTAACATTGTTTGGCCATTGCTAATGCCTGTAACCAATGAAGTTTTCTTTTTGCATTTGGAATTTCACACTATAATTCATATTTGACGTGCAGCTTAACCCCTTGAAACATGCATACATACATATTAGAGTGTTAATCTGAAGACCTATCATTCAGTAACTTCTATGAATTATTCTGTAGCTATTATGAAACTAATAAACAAGTCACATAATTGTACAGGCCCTTAGGGTTTAAAGTCAGCCTGAAATCATAATGACCCTGGTCACATTAAACTCAATCTAGTAATTTAAAAGACAAAATTCTTGTTTCCCATAATCTTAGATTGTTATTGTCATGACTTTGGCCTGCCTCTAGATCAACTTCTGATTTTTGAATACATTATCCTGCACCAGCAGGTGGGGAAAACTAATATTAACCAGTAATATCATGTTTCACCTCCTACTCCTACTCCTACCATCCTAGCTGCTAATGTTCGCTGCCTCATACATAGATCGCTGGAACTGTGATCTTTCAAATGACTGATAAGATTCATGTTATTGAAAGTCTATAGTGCTGGGCATTGATTAAACATTTCTGTTATTTCTCTTGTCCTCTGCTGAAACCATGAAAAAAATCTTTGCCACTGCAGCATCAGAGTATAACTGCATGTGAGTGCAAATGGGAGCAGAAATACAAAGTTATTGGTTGTAATTATTAACTGTTATTCAATATCAGACACCCCAAATAATACATCGGTCATTGATAAATCATTGCACTCCTAGTAATTACATGTAATAGTATAAAAAAAGTACATGTGTTTTTGTTGCCTAGGTTGCCAGCAAAACTTTGGAAATCCCCACCTCAAAGATTCACATCAGTGAGACGTGTACTAACACAGTTCCAAACACAAGCCCTACTGCTGCCTCCGCTTCCTCAGACCTCAATGGCATGGCTGTCTATGTAAGATCCACTGAACCGATACCTATTTTACAATGTTATTTTCTTTCAGTATCTCATGTCTATGGAATACAGACCCTTTAAAAAACAGACTTATCACATCTTTAGCTCTATCATTCAGTAACTGTGTGGAAAGCAATGCATACTAGGCCAAGTTGTAAAATTGTAAAGTCAAAGGTCTGCCTTCACCTTTCCAGACTGGTGGTGTTTTTGTCAGTAGAGGAGCCATTACAAATTGACTGTTTACAGTGGCTCTCAACTACCGCCCTACACTTTTTAAATTTTTCCCAATTATTTCCAACACACTTGATCTAACCCTGATCCAACTCTTAAAGGACTTGCTAATTATCTGATGAGCTGTATCAGGTGTATTGGTCTGGGAGGTGCCAGATCCAGCTTATTCCGGCACAAATTAAGTCCTGAAACTCTATAGGGCTATAGGGTCTGGAGTTGAAAATTTCTGCATTAGGTGGTAATGGTAAAAATTAGTTTTAAAATGTGAAAGTTGTTGGTATGCTTGTGAATGTGTGAGCAATATAAATACATAAAACTATGTTTAATCTTCCAATATTGCACAGAATGCATGTCAGACATTGCTGCAGAGACTGGATCCATACAAAGCCAGGAACCCAAAGGGGAGCTGGGAGGATTGGGTGTGTAGATTCAGATATATATATATATCACTATAGGTATTCATTTATGTATGCACTTATTATTTCTCTTCCCACAAGAAAATCATATAGTGTAATATATTTAAAACAAGCTTTGATTTCTACAGAAGTACCGGATTACTGATTCTAGTTTAGTGGTGAAAAACATCACCGATGTAATATTGAAAAATCAAATTACTAACAAGGCTAGAGATTCGGTTTGTATCTTTGTGTGTTGTATTTGTTTTTTTTTGAGGCAGAATATCTCAACATCAGTTTTGTTGTGTGGTAAGCACGTCTAGTCTCACTGAAGTAGCAGCAGAATAAATCGCTTTTTAATTTGGAGCTGTATCAGCCTCCAGTGCTATGGAACAGTCTGTTTAATATGATAAGCTCACAATTTCTATGATTTCTTCTTTTGCAGGTGAAAGCAGCTTACTTTGACAGGGTGAACTTATCAGCCAATGGGTTTTATAGGTATGTCAATGCTTTTTGTGATCTTGGATGACATTGTCTTGTTTGAAAAGCTGCATAAATCATTGGTGTTACATTTTACATATATTGTCAGCATGCATTGTTCATCTATTGATTCTGATTGTAGGACTCCAGATCTTGGCTATGACTTTGAAACAAATTCAGGACGTCCATTTAACTACTTCAGTTATGGAGTAGCTGTCTCAGAGGTGGAGATAGACTGTCTGACTGGTAGTCACAAGGTAACAACAACAATAACTATAATTGAATTTAAAGGCATAATATACCTAACAGCAAAATATAGTAATGAGTCATAACGACTTAACTAGAATCAGTAATCAGTAACAGTTTACTTTACATGATTAGTTTGTGTGATGTCATTTGCAGTGATAACAAGATAGATCTTTTGCTGCTCATAATTTCTGTTTTTTTTTACCATCTTGTGGGCCCCTTAGAACCTACATACCTCTATTGTCATGGATGTGGGCAAAAGTCTGAATCCAGCGTTGGACATTGGTCAGGTATACTTTCTTTCAATTTCAATCACCTATTCTACTGATAGTTCTCTCTGATATATAGCATTTAATTTGCCATATCTGTGCAGGTGGAGGGTGCGTTCATGCAAGGTGTGGGTCTGTTCACACTGGAGGAACTACGCTACTCTCCCCAAGGTCATCTGTACACCCGTGGACCCGGCATGTATAAGATTCCTGCTTTTGGCGACATTCCAACTGAACTGAAGGTGTCGCTCCTTAGAGATGCCCCCAATGAGAAGGCCATCTTCTCCTCCAAGGTAAGATTGACTCATGATTTACAGCATGCTGCTGAAGGACACGTGATGTTACCTTTTTCACTCATAGTAGATCTAAACAAAACTGCTGTATATTAGTGCATTAAGTGTTGTAAATGTAAGAATGTAGAAATGTCTATATTTCTTATATGTTTAGGCTGTTGGAGAGCCTCCTCTCTTCCTGGCAGCTTCTGTCTTCTATGCCATTAAAGATGCCATTACTGCTGCCCGGGCTGAGTCTGGCCTTTCTGGACCTTTCAGATTGGATAGCCCTGCTACCCCTGAGAGAATACGCAATGCGTGCGAGGACAAATTCACCAAACTAGTATGTTGAAAAAGTGTCTCTTTAAATGAACAAGTTTACTTTATACCCACAGAATATAATAATAAGTCATATATAATAATAGAACTTATATAGTATGCTGAGATACATTAGTGCTGGGACAACAATAATAGCTACACATGAAATATGTTTATTGTTCATTTTTTGGCCAGCAATATTGCAGGTTTGTAAAAATACGATTGATGTAAAAACACTGAATTTTTTTTTCCTGTCACAATAAAACATCAAATAGTTGCAAACAGCAGTTTCAAAAAATGGATTAAAACAGATTAGTTTCAATACATGGTTATATATCGCTGTTGTTGGAAGAAAACCTCGTATCTCCATTTTTTATGTTTTTTAGTTTTGACATAATTTGAAAGTACCTGTTACCCTTTACATTGGGTATACATTTCATGAAGAATGGACTAAAAGTAACAGCCCAAAACGACTTGTACTGTTCCATTGACTTTAAAAGTAAAGTACTTTTTTTCCTTTTCCTGTAAAGTTATTATTTTTTTAAAATTCAAAGTTAAAATATAAATACATGTATAAATATATATATATATATATACAATTAATGGAAAACATCAACCGTTTTACCGATATATCACAGATTGGAATTTCCTTAATTACTGTTGTAAGTTTTATCACCTTACAACCAAGTATAAAAACAGAATCAAATCAAAGGAAAAATCTTTTTGTTTTACTCCAGAACACCAGTTACTGACCTTTGTGTATGTGTGTTTTGTTTCAGTGCCCTCCCCCAGAGCCAGGGACTTATACACCATGGGATGTGAGAGTCTAATACAGGGAAGACCAGGAGCACCTACTATTATCCTACCATTTAACTTTTAGCTACTTTTGCTGGTTGTATATGAACACACAAAACTCGTCATTGTTGAGATCATGTCATAGGAACTCTCATTTATGTACAAAGACTGCGAAAGAAAGAGGGATCCAGTATGTTGTTCATGCCTTAAAAGGTGGAGTTATACATCATAGAATAATTTAGGTATTGGCTTGTGGTAGAACATTGCATTGTTTAATTGCTTTAATGACTCCATATAAATATTTAATTAATGTGAATTTACTCAACAAAACTAATTTTAGTAATTTTATCTAACCACTATTGTACCAGTTGTAGCCTACAGCATACTCTGGCCACCATCCTCATCATCATCATCAGTATCATCATCATCATTATCAACCGCTTAGTCCAGTACTCTTGCCATCATGCTAATGACAATCATAAGCACATCAATTGTTGACAGAATATATTCTGAAATGATTATTGCCTTTATGAAAATATGTCTCTGTTTATAGTATGTAACCCCTTGAGGTCACCAGTTAAAGAGAATTTACTGTGCTGTTGGCAAGTGCTGTAGCCTAAAGCAAGGTTCTCTTTCAACAATCATTTGATATCTCACTATGGAAAACACCCGCTGCATGACCAACCACCAGCAAGAAAGGCACCACAACTGGCAGTGCCAACTAACAGACCAATCATGACCATGATTTGGGAGCCCCCACCTCCCCTTATAAATTGCGGCGGTGCTCACATCCATTAATTCTAGTTCTCTTCCCAGTGAAGACGCAGCAATAGTTGCTTGCTACTAAAGGTGTAGAGGTGGAAGGTGAAAAAGGGCATGGAGGTTTTTTCACGCTTGCTGCGTAAGGAGCCAGAGGATGACGATGAAAATTATGCCATCCTACCTTCAGCTCAGATGCCCTGGTCTGCTAGCTTCCTAAGTGAGCCTTCCTCCTATTACGACCTAATCAGATTTTGCAGACGAGCTGCAGCTAAGCTCCACATCGACTGGCCCACTTCCCTGAGCAGCCAGGGAGTGGAGCACTATATGTTCGATGGAAAAAGACTGCACGCTTGGCCTCTGGCTTAACAAGCTAATTCCCTCTCTGTGGAGATTAAATGGTTTTGGGACAAATTGTTTTTTCACCACATGCTTTTCTAGGCTGGACATCAGTGGTATGGACGAGCTTCGGCTCTCCAGCCCTCCTGTGGTGGAATCTTTGGTGGAATCTGCACCTGAAAAGGAAAGCTGCTTTCTCCGCAGCTGATCTCTCCCTTCTGAGAAAAACAGAGCAATGTACTGCCACCATTCCCAAGAAGATTTTTACGTCTTCAGCTCTGGCTGTCAGAGCCCTTGATGCTTCCACACTCCTCGCTGCCTACCAAGCTGAGCTCCTGGAAGAGATGGGCAAGCAGCTAACCCCATCCTATGGGAGAACACCTACATGGTCATGGTCTGCATGGACATCATCCTGCACACATCACATGGTGCATTCAGAGCTTCGAGTGCTTTATGGGCATGGCAGTAATAGGAGAGCACTTTAGCTGAATTTGTCTGAATGACAGGGAGAAATTGGAGATCTTGGATGCTCCCATGGACCCAAAGGAACAGTTTGATCCCAGCAATCGTGGCCAACTTCTGGTCTGGCTTGCCACAGACACTGCATGTCTCCTCATCCTGTGTTCACATTCTCTCAGGTGCTGCCTGACTGTTTAGCCTCTAGAAATTAGCCTCTGCCTATTAGGCCTGATGGCTTTCACCTTATTGGTAATTCTTCTTAGCCTGCTCAAAATGAAAGTTTTCCAGCACTTAATTTCCTGGACGGGCTCTCATAGCCATAGTTCAAGCATTCAAGATTGTGAAAACTAAAATTCTCTCTATTAAGATAGTTCTGCTACTCGCATTGGTGTCCACTAATTGAGTTAGTGAGCTGCGTATATTATTGATGCACCCTGCATGCTTGCACTTTGATGTGCATGACACAAAGGTCACTTTGCTCCCTAACCCTGCGTTTGTGCCAAAAGTGACTCTTCCAATACCTGCAGTGTTTTTGGAGCTGAAGGTTTTTCACGCTCCCACATTGTCCTCAGAAGAGGAGCAGAGATTACATTGTCTGTGTCCAGTCAGTGTTTTATGCAGCCACAAAGAGACTAAAAGCTTTAGGAAAACTTAACAGTTCTTCATGTCTTGGGCTGCCCCTCGCAGAGGGTTACCCATCTCATTCCAGTGCTTCTGCCATTGGATGGTGGAAGTGATAAGTCTGGCTAAAAGCCACCAGCCCCCACCAGTGGAGTGGATGCTTTGTGGACCCTCTTTAGGGGCATTTCCATACAGGACATTTGTGCTGGGCTTTGGTGGGCTTTATACATTCATCAAGATCTATCGACTAGATGTCACTGTGCCATCAGTGGCCCATACTGTCCTCAGTGTGGGCATCACACGGACACAATGTATATGGTTAAAGTTTATAACTAATATCGCCTTTTCATGCAGCCATTATGACACCCAGACGCACGTCTTCTGTCTTCTGTTGACTGTGGTCAGACTTGGAACTCTGGCTGCCTTTATCAGTGCCTGTCCAGACAGTGCATCATCACCCACTGTCTTAAATGAGGCACAGTGCAGTCACACTGGGCAGAACTGTAATGGATTTCAGTGCCCAGGTTGCTTACCTACCAGACCTCTCTTGCCAGTCAGTTTGGAAAGCATGCAGTATGGGAGCTGACTATATCTTTCCCATAGTGAGATGCTAAATGAATGTTGAAAGAAAACCTTGCTTGCATATCCCTGGTTCTCTGAAACAGGATTAAGGTATCTCACTACACATCCCACCTTGCATTTCACTTGGGGAGGACTATGCTTGACAGACCCAGAAAATGCCTCAATTTATAAGGGGAGGCGAGGGCTCCCAAATCACGGGTGTGATCGGCACTGCCAGACGTGGAGCCATTGGTGCTTCCATGATTGGACACAGGGGGCGCTCCCCATAATGAGATACCTCATTCCTGTTTCAGAGAACCAGGGTTACACAGGTAACCATATGGTACCCAACTCCATTACTGGAGAGCTGGAGTAAAGACACAGTTTGGCTCATTTTTCCTGCTGTAACAAGCCTGGAAATAAACAAGTCAAGGGTGACATTGGCAAGGAAAAAGTTCTCAAGAGAGCATAGAAAAGCAACTAGGATTACAAGATAGATGCTCAGATCTTGCAGGGTCTGTGCCATTTTTAGCTAGAAACAAATACATTGGCTTAGACACAAAATGTCAGCTGATCTCATTCAACATTAAAAACATTTAAGTCACAATCAGACAGGCCAGTTTTTAGTCTAACTTAACTGTACTGTGTACTTTTACCCAGGGCTGGGGTGTCTGTGGCATTGTTTGTTATTTACATATAACACTGCATCTAAAAGTAAATCTCACTCAGGGGGCCAGCAGGAAAAGCAATAACGATTACACAGGCTGTTACACATCGGTTGGAGTGAATGCACTCGAGATGGTGCCATTTCTTAAAGTAGTGCATTTATATGTGTCTTGAGGTCCCATTACTGTCTGTGCTATCAGGCAGTGGAGAAGTCATTCGACAGCAGAGAAAGATGGCTTTGAAGGCAACACGAAAGGATTTCAGTTTGAAGGCATAGAGCAGAGGGTTAATGGCTGAATGTGCATGTGAAAGGATGATGGTGGTCAAGGAGAGTGGCAGTGGTATTTTACAGTGTGGACAGAACAAATGTATGCAGTTCACTGTGTATAAGGGAATCCAGCAGAGCGCAAAGACAAAAACAAGCACAAAAATCGAGGTTGCCTTCCTTGCCTCACGCCGCATACCTGTGTTTTGCCTGGCCTGCAGCTCTAATGCAGTCTGCGTGGCTGCAATCCGCCTCACATGGCGCCTGACGGTTACAAAGATGTGTGCGTAAATGATAAACATGGTTACCAGAGGCACCAGAACACAGCCAAAGAAGTTAAAGTACACCATGTAGGTCATGTCCACCACACAGGAAAAGAAGCAGTAGTTCATCTGATCAGACCTGCCATGCCAGCCCATCAATGGCACTGAGCCCAAAAGGAAAGCTAGGAACCAGGTTAGCAGTATAACTAGCCTAGCATTCCTTGGCTTCAAAAGCCTTTGGTAGTGGAAAGGCAGTAGAATAGCCACATACTGTTCGATGGCCACTGCTAGCAGGCTGAAGATGGAGCTTTGGGTTAGCATGAGGAGCATATACAGAATGGCAATGCAAAGATATAGGTTGTGGTGGGGTAAACCTAGATCTGTCATTATAGCGCAGGGGATGGCCAAAGTGCCTACGAAGAAATCAGCTACTGACAGAGAGACCAGGAAGTAGTTGGTGACATTTTGGAGCTTCTTGTTGCGTCCTACTGCAAGGCAAACCAGTAGGTTACCAGAAGTGGAAATGATGGAAATCATTATTTCAGCAGCAATATATGGCCATTGAAAGAACTTGGGGCTGACTGGTTGAGTTGAGGCATTTGGATAAGCCATCCAGGTGCTGTTAATGTCTCTCGTCATGCTGGTAGAGTGGACCTCCTAAGGTCCAGTGTTGGATCATGGGTTCAAGGCACTGGAATAACAAAAAGAAATCAAAAGCAGTTAGATTCATTCTAACAACATAAGAGACTCATGGTTAGCTGGCAAGATGCTACCTAGGTTATAGTGGAGCTGATTAAATTTGCTGCTGTACTGAAAAAGTATACTGTCACTGTGTTATTGAATTACCCTGAAAGGGCAGAGAGTTTGTGTTCATTTCTCAGGATATTTGGTGTTTTCAGCTTGAAAACACTGAGCTTATGTGCTTGTTATTACTGTTAGCTGGCAGAAGGATAGATGCTGATAAGTTTATGAGAGTCTATCGTTCTATCCGCCAGCAATATTTACCTGACAAAATGTCAACTGTAGTGTTTGTTTATCCAACATCTAGTGCCTGCGTGTTCTTTCATGTCTCAATCTCTTTGCTCTATTGTGTAGGAATACAGGGACAGATAAATACCTGCCTAGAAACCTTGAGCATTTTACTTTGACAAATTAATGTTCAATAAATGTTATTCCAATAATATTGTAACATGAAGGTCTTCATTTCACAAAACAGTGGCTTACACTGAAAGAACAGCTGAAAGAGTTAATGCTACAAATTTCTTGCAGAACTAATTCAAGCACATTCAAATCTAACATCAACAGCAGTCAACTTTGTTTAAATATATACTGTTTATGTTCACTGAATTGATTTTTCAAATATGATGCAAATATGATATTTCATTTCCTTTAGGTTTTCATAAAATATTTATAACATTCATAAGCCATGTATAAACATTTAAAAATGCTTGTGTAAACATTTGTTGGCACAATATCTATGTGATGTGATATTAAAACTATTTAATAAAATACAGCAAGTCTCTTCTAGCTAAAGCTGACTTGGAGTAGACGCTACCTTAATGCAAAGTCCTGTTGGCCAGGACACTCCTGTAAAAGAGATTTTTAAATCTCAGTGACATTCTTCCTGGTTAAATAAAGGTAAAAACTCATGATGTAAATGCAAATGCAAAATGCAAGATGTAACATTTTGTGGTAACTAGTAGCTACTTACTTGTTACTATATTGCAATAATTGTTTATGGTCCTCAAAACTATTTACATAGCTCTTATTATGATACTATAAATGATAGACATTCCTCTGTTGGCCTTCATTTAAACAGATGATAAAATGTTAACTTACTAATATATACTGAATATTGTTACTGTGTTTTCAGCTGCTAAGGGAATTGACTAGTGGATTTGGTTTTACCATGCTAAGGTGCATAACGCATAGATAAAACTTTATGAACACATCTTTAATCTTACATTACACAGTTTATCTGTATATGGTATATACACCAATCAGGCATAACATTATGACCACCTCCTTGTGTCTACGCTCATTGTCCATTTTATCAGTGCCACTTACTATATAGGTGCACTTTGTAGTTCTACAATTACAGACTGTAGTCCATCTGTTTCTCTGCATACTTTGTTAGCCCCCTTCTACCCTCTTCTTCAGTGGTCAGGACCCCCATGAACCCTCACAGAGCAGGTACTATTTGGGTGGTAGTCATTCTCAGAACCGCAGTAACACTGATGTGGTGGTGGTGTGTTAGCGTGTGTTGCGCTGGTCTGAGTGGATCAGACACAGCAGTGCTGCTGGAGTTTTTAAACCATAGTGTGTCCACTCACTGTCCACTCTATTAGACACTCCTACCTTGTCGGTCCACCTTGTAGATGTAAAGTCAGAGACGACAGAAGGACGCCTGCCATGATCTAAAGTATTCATTTGAATGAATTCAGCAACTGGGTAAACTTTAAGACTCTGTTTACACATGAGTTTTCACAATGGTTTCATTATGACAGAAAATTGTAATTCGTGTTGTTGCAATATCTTCTAATCCTTAGTTAAAATTTCCACATATCCATTTTTGTAAATCCCAATAACCAAAGCTACTTACACGGTTTATGGAAAATAATTGTCTTAATTCACCATTTGAATTATTATTCTCAATGTTTTGCATCAGATAGAGATATCAACTGTTTTTCCTCAACAAAAGTTAGAAATCATATGTGGAATATCTTTGAACGGAACATAGACCAAGTAGATCATTCTGTATGTTTTATATGTGTAGTGTCCTAGTCCTACGCTTACTTCTAAAATGATCTTTTTTGTTTTAGTTTTATTTTTTTTAAATTAGGTGTTATGTATGTTTTTATGTAACCAACCAGTGCCAACCAGCAATGGAAATTGCCTCAAACCTGTTTTTCTAGGGAAAAAATAACCAAAAGTAAAGTGACTTTGCATTGACAATTAGTTAAGACAACTCTTCACAATGAAACACAGAACAATTGCAAAGCCAGTTTTTCCTAACACATCAGATATAAATTTTTTATATGGGCTGAGATTATCTCTTCAGTATACCTCAATATATCTGTATAGGTAATGTGACTACACTGATAAATCATAATGTAGATGTAATAAAATAAAACTCACCTATTTGGAGAAACAGTTCACACAGACCACTAGCTCTGCATGTAGATGTAATTATATGGATACTGGATTATTGCCAGAGATAGTGTGCAAGCACAGTGGATACTCCTTTTATATCAACAGTCACAAAGGGACATGTGTGACTCAGCAAGTAATGTAAACACCATGATCACATGGAAAATGTGAAACTTCTCATAGATTCTGATGACAGTTCTCATATCATCTGGAATTTATGCAACAACACTTGTAAGTAAAAGGCAAGTAACATTCTGTTTCATTACTACAAACCACCACATATTGTGTGAAGCACAGAGGATGACTAATAAGAACAGGACTCATCTAGGATAGTGCTGATGTAGGATTGCTGAGAGGAGGCAACACCAGAAGCAAGTCAATGTACAAGGCAAAGACCAAGTTGCCCCCAATTCAATTCAAGATTTATTTATATAGGTTTTACAATGGGCATTGTCACAAAGCAGATTTACAGAAGAATTGAGTCCAAGCCCAAAATAAACAAGCCAAGGGTGAGTGAGGCAAGGAAACTCCATAAGAAACATAAGAAAAAACCTTAAGAGGAACCCCATCTCAAAAGGGGACTGAATCCTTCTCTGGCTGACACCAGACAGCAAAACAATAATACAACAAGAGCAATATGAATGAAGAATAACATTTGACTACAATAGTGGATACAGAAACAAAAGAACAAAAATGAGATCGGACAGCAGTATTTAGATTAACCAATTATTGCTAATGACTACTGTTAGGAGCCTATCTGAGTAACAAATGAGAAATAGATCTATGAAAACCACTTACTGCAACTAACTACTAACAGTGTTACAATGTTACTGTCACTGTTACTGTCACTGACTACTGTTAGATGCCTACCAGAGTAATAGATGCATGAACACCAGTGACCACTGTTAGAAGAATATCACAGTGAAAATGACAGTACAGCGTGCATTCGCTTTGAACTGTTTTTCAAAACTGTAGTCTGTAGTTGCATTTCACTGTTGTCAAGACCTATAGATCTGGGATCAGAGTAGCTCAAAAAGTTATGTTTGTCGTGGCAAACATGTTATGAATGTTGTTATGAAAGGGGGAAGTGATTATCTTTGGTGCCAGTGGGGGACACCAGCAGGCTGCATACACAAATCAGGTAGGGGGAAGATTCCACTTTCAGCTCATTATACATGACCAGTTAAGTCACTACATTCCGTGTGGCAGGGTCATGACAGTGGGTGTGGCAGGAAGAGCATGATGGAGATTGTTCACTGGTGGTGCCATGGTCAAAATTGAGGGTACTGGTGGAAACCTGTTGATGACTGGACTCTCATGTCAGCATTCATCATTCCAGTGCCAGTCCAGATACCCCATGTAGATCTCTCATGCTTCTCTTCCAGGCAAAAAATAGGAGACCAATCACACTTGGTGACAGCCAATAATTGGAGAAGCCATCACTCTTTACTAATCAGTCAGTGTATATATATATATATATATATATATATATATATATATATATATATATATATATATATATATATATATATATATATTTATATATATATTATACAGAGGTCACGGAAATTACCAAAGGCAGTAAAATGACCAGGGATTAGCAAGCAAGTGTATTGATATAGCACTTTTTACAACAGGTGTTGTCACAAAGCAGCTTTACAAAACAAAACAAAATCAGCATTATAAAAAGAAATCCGGGTCCAAACCCCCATGAGCAAGCCAGTGGCGACAGTGGCAAGGAAAAACTCCCTAAGAGACAGGAAGAAACCTTGAGAGGAACCAAGACTCAGAAGGGGAACCCATCCTCCTCTGGTCAACACTGGATAGTAAACATTGCTAGTACAAAAACGGGGAAAACAGGTGGAGCAAATTATTAATTTGATTAGTTTATGTAGCAGCAGCATCAGTGGGGTCAGGATGTGAGGGTGAGGTTGCACAGCGTTGTACAGCTTGAAGCTAAATGGTGGTCAAGCCAGTCCAGAGGGCTGACAGCAGTGACACCCGATCAAGGCAGAAGAGGCAGTAGCATCAGACGCACAGGATGGGTAGCTGTTCAACTCGGCAAAAAGAGGAAAGAAAGGAAAAACACACAGAGAGTCAGTTCTGTAATGAGTGACTGATCACAGATTACAGTGTTAGCAGAGCAGCAGAGACTCTGGCAGGTATAGAACCGACAGGGAAAACTAATTACCAAAGGCTTGACTATACAAGTACGTTTTTAGCCTAGACTTAAACACTGAGGCTGTGTCTGAGTCCCGAACATTAACAGGAAGATTATTCCGAAGCTGGGGGGCTTTGTATGAGAATGCTCTCCCCCCTGACGTAACTTTATTAATTCTAGATACTAGTAAGCCAGCACCTTGTGATCTAAGTAGACGTGATGGTTCATAATGGGAGAGAAGTTCACTCAGGTACTGAGGGGCGAGTTCGTTTACAGCTTTATAAGTCAGTAAGAGAATTTTATAATCAATGTGAAAGTAGGTTAGTAG